AACATTTAAAACCAACTCTCTAAACCCTTGCTAGAAAACAGGGAGTTGTCTATATCGCTTCCGTTCCTTACTCCCACTTTCGCTTACTCTGTATATATAACTTTACGAAACTTCTGTGTCTATCCTGATAGTCAAAAACTCGTTTCGCTGCATGTAACTCATGAAGTATTAGAATCGGTACGCTTATGGTGATACAATTATAAAAGGAAAATTGAACATGGCACTTAACAACTATTTCAGAGGATAGGGCAACCAAAGGATCTTTCGGTTTCTGCGCCTACAATTTGTGTTCTGCAGTGGAAGTGGAACTATAGTCTACACGTTTTCAATTCAAATTCAAGAGGATAATATCATTATGTGCGCAATCGGGGGCTATCTCAAGAGTGTTTGGCTTCTTTGAGAGTCCTCTTTGTTGCGGTTCGTTCATATGGCGGATGCAGTCCTCCTCGGATTATTTGAGGCTAACAATAGCGTAGACTGTCCGAATTCAGGCAACTAAAAACGTTTACAACCTCGATAGAGTTTTTGCCAGCGTGAATATGGTGCACAGTATCTAATTCTGGCTTTTTTCTTTCCGGATAAAACTGGTTTTCCTCTATCTAGTAGCATGTCTACCAACGAACAGCCAGTCCAACTTAAACTAGGGTAGTAATAATAGTGATAGGGTGACGGGTGGAATCCGACAAAGATAGAACGATTTAAGATGCAGGTTTTCTACATTAAAGGCTAGATGGATGACACGACATATATTTTTTTTTCACTTCTTTAAACTGAGTCGAACGGCTAAATTTAGGGGAGTTATTTGCAATAAATTTGTTTACTAGAAACTGCACAATTTATATAACAGAGCAGCTCTGTGTGACTCGGATTATCGTTTTAGTAATAAAAGAGATAATTGCGATACATACATTTTATATAGGAATTGAGATAGATACGTTACTTAGGCCGCTATAAAAAAATTATGAAAAATAAAATTTAAACGAAAACTACACTTCAAGTAATGGATGAGATTTTTGTTTTTCTAGTTTTTTTCAAAATGGTAATTGACTTATGCCCAGCACATCGTTTAAAATGGTAGTATAGGTTGTGGTGGATATTTGAAATAATATGAACATGTCATTAAAACGGTTGAAACCATAAGAATAATGAAAGGCTTAAATGTGATAACAGTATAATGTTTCGCTTATGCTAAGGCTGTCTTTATATTAGTGAAATTAGCCTCTAAAAATAAAGTAAATGGGTATATTGAAAAAGTCACGGTGGGGGTGACAGATGGCGCTAGTGGGATTAGTTCATTGTAAAAGCTTCGGAGGACGATTATTTTGGCTGTCGCATATGTGTCCTATTGTTTTTATTGAGAAATTATTGATAAATATTGTAATTCGGTGCGTTTGAAAAGATGCATATCAGACGTTGTCCTTTTCACTATTTTCGTGCTGGAAAAAATGCTGCCGATACGATTAGAATTGTTTGGCCAGTCAACAGCGAACGTACAATAAGCGTTACTGGTTACTCGTTCTTGTTTACTCGCTTCTGAATTGGCGATTTCAAGTTAAATGACAAACCACGCCCTGGATGGCCACAAGAAACGAACGGCGGTGAATTGCAGGCACTGCTTAAGCAAAATGTAGTTCAGTTGACCCGGGAGGTTTCTGTACGGCCAAAAATGATTAATCAACGGTTTGCACGCCCTAGGAAAGATCCAAAGGAAACAAACAACAAAGAATCTAAAAGGAAGAGAAGAAAAAAGCATCGCTAATATCTGAGACAGCTTGCGCGACAGACAGAGAGGTCATTTCTGTATAAAACCATCACCGATCATACAAGATATCTTTTCCGACATCCTTAAACGCAAACCAGAATGGTCCACAAAATGGACAGAAATGGCCTTGACAACGAGCGACACAAAACGATATAGTGAACCAGCGAGGGTTAACTGACCTCCAGTTGGAAACTTTACCCCCATCAGTAGATGCAGCCCGGATGTTGCTCCATCTGAGTATCAATTGTTTCGGTCAATGCAGCATAGCCAGAAAGGCAAGTATTTTAATAGAGGCCCCTAAGGTTCGCAAATGGATTTACAAATGTCTTTACAAACGAACGACGTCTTTTTTCTTCGCGAGAAACGCCAGCTACGAGAAAGATGGGCGAAAGTCGCAGGAAGCAAAGAACGCTACATTGAGCTAGCAAGCGCCAATAGTATCAAAATATAAATGCAAACAAACTGTTGCGTGAAAATGATTAAACGATTGTGTCGCCTAGTTGTCAGGCGCTTCACTCGACGATAAACTCGTAGGTCAGCGATTGTCATATTAGGTGCACTGAAATTTTTTTTTATATCTTTTGTTTCGTCCGCTTTGGCAGAACTGAATTGAATTAGGGAAATCAGGAACATTTATGAGATGAAAAAGCTTTATTTTTATATATGAATCTATAGGAGAGACGCACAAGTCGATATCGTATCAAGACAGATTTTCTCAAAAGTGTTAGGAAATAGTGGATATTTAGAACACATTGTTAAAATTTATCCAGCACTTGACAAGATGTAATTTACGAGAGTTTTTGCTAAAGCATTTCTCGTTGTTGACGTTGCCGTTATCAACGAACATTGCGTCATACTCTAGCAACGTTTAATACCCGCGACGGAGTTCTTGCAAAAACGTGGCGGCAGGTACGCTCTCACTGTGCTGAGAGCTCTTCTGAAGACGTTGACTCGAGCGTCATCTAGATATTCATGGTTGCATTTAGTAAAGACGATTGGATTGAGGTTTGCCATTTTACAGTTCAAAACTTTCATTAAAAACTTCAATAATATCCCAAATTTAATCAGATGCTATGCTATCTACATAAAACACACATGCATATAAAACCCACTAATAACTAAAATCACCTATTCTTTGAATAATTCGTTTAATAGATACTACCTTCAACATGTGAAGTTGGTGTAAGTGGCCGTGATGCTTGATCATTTGTGAGTGTTAATTATCAATGAAATGGATTTTATATTAAAATATATTTGACTTATGTCTGCATCGTTTTGGTATTCATTAGATTTCCGATCTAAGCTCAAGAAATCTGTAACTTTCTTTTTAGTTCGATAAGCATTATCACTGGCCTCAAGCTTTGAAAACTACTATTTTTACCTCTATTACGATTAAAAATCTATGAGATATTAAAAAACTAATTGAGCCATATCGTGGATAATTTTAAGCAACCTAGACAAATTCTGAGTATTATAATACGACGACCATAGCTTTGGTATAGAAGGCCGCAGAGGTAGATACCTCATAAGTATCCTGTAACACTTGGCAGCTGTCGAAAATGACGAAATCATGCTGTTTCCATTGTGAGTTCTATTCTTTGAGTCATATTACTCATTTTATTATAGAACTTCTCTTATTAGACAAAATAAATAAATTAGAGAAATAATTCAAAAGAAAATTTTTAAATCTCCTGTTTGTTTTCCCAAATTTTCGAAGACTGCCTTTTTCGTGCACGCCATTCTCTAGCCACGCAAAATGCTTACGAAGCACAATTTTGCAGTCATGGAAATCTTTGCAAGTACCCAAACTCGTATAAAAATGAATCAGCTGATTGATTTTTTCATCCATCTGATACGGCGACAGTAATACCGCTTTATTATTGGTACAAGGGCATTATACCTGTCTTTGTTTGCCTTCTGATTTACTGTGCGCAAGCTAATGCAACAATATAAACTTAGGACCAATATGATTCTTCTGCAATGAGCTATTCAGTGAATACCTGACGTAGATTAAATACAGGCCAAAGCTGACCATTTATTAATGAAAACCAGAGAGTCAGCAGTCATCACGGACTGGTTTCAATAGTGAGTTAAACAAGAAAATTCACGTATTAATAAAACTTTAAATAGAAGCTGGGAACTCATAAAACCTAAAGAACCAATATTAGTAAAGCGTATAGTAGACAGGCTGAGGTATGAAGTTCTAGATATGAAGCAGATGTGGAAACTTTTTTATTTAATATTCTTTATTTATTATCTTGAAGTGAATAAGTTCTAGGAAACAAGCATATATTCTCACTGGAGGTCGAACCGGAACTTATCAGGAGTTTCTCCAACACATCTATGAAACAACATGGCAAATATGCAAGACACTTTTGACTGATCATTTTCCTTAATTCTGTTTTTATCTTTCATTCCATGCTTTCCTGAGTGTTAGTATCTGGCGATAATTTTTGCTTAAGTTAAAATTTGAACCAGCGTGAAGGTTATTAGATCGATTCACTTACAGAGATGTACAGTAAACACTCAGACCACACTACTCTTACAATATACGAATTTGAATGGAACAAGGCTTGAGTAACCGACGTGAACAAGCACATCATTTAGAAATCTAGTAGAAAAAACTTCTTCTCTAAGAAATATATTACTTGCACAGTAAGTTGATTTAGTTTCGAGTCTATATTTCAAGTAAATGAACCTCAAGTTGGTAGTTTATTTATTATTTATATTACTCATTAATAAAAATCAAGGCGCTGTCACTTTTACAATGTATAGCGCTGTTATTCGAATGGCACACATTTATTTACACATTATTCCTTAATTAAAAGAAATAACAGCGTGACATCTCTATAGCTAAATCGTATAGTTTTTAGTATAGATGGTTATATGTACTATCATCGTGTCTTTTTGAGCCATGTTTTTCGTAAGCCCAGTAAAATATTTAAATATATATATCGAGTTATTTTAATATGCTGTTACCAAAAGGGAGCGATGAACAGCGACCACAAGTGTATACACTAAAAAGTATAAAGCAATGACACTTTAAAACACCGTGATCACAACCGCACATATTACACAGTTTGCCTGAATACAGAAAGCTATTTTCATATATACAGAAGTTAACCTAGTTATCCCTACACCGAAAATAGAGCTCGGAAAGAAGGGGCGCTTACAAAAACCTGTGCTTCGAACATTGAGTTCCAAACCCTTCCATGCTCGTGAAAGTAGCTTTGCTTACCGTTTTCAAGTACTTCGAGTCCAAAGATGTTCTCAGCGCGAAACTTGCATTAGGGACAAAAGAATACGGGGGACTCGAGGAACATTGTTTGTGCGCCGTAGCAAAGGTATATGCTCTACGCAAGACCAATTACCACAGATGTTAAGTATCAGACGCACTGAAATAATATTTCGAAAATTAAGCAAGGGGCAGATTTTGCGAAAACGATCTAAAATGCAGACAGTAAACATGTTTCAAGCTTAAATTAACTGTTTTTGTAACTAATTGCGATTTGCTATGAAGAACCTGTTTTGAATGCTGCCTTAAATTACCTATACAGAATTGAACATGCTCGCAGAGGATTTAACCGCAGTTGATTTAGTCAAGCTTGTGCTTCAGATCGTGTAACTCTACCCTACAACAATATCTGAATAGCTCGAGAATTTACTTCAGTTTAGGGTGGCACAATGTAGGAAATAACATAATTCACTAACTGATTTCACGGCTCAATTAAAAGCAGCCAAAGATCGAGTAACATTAGGAATCGAATCGAAAAAGAGCGTATAGTCGATCTGATAAAGTTTGAACTTCTTCAAATTAGATCTTGTTCACTGTAATTAGCCCAGTGTAGCAGGCAAAGAAAGCATTCTATATGCCTTCTGTGATTAAGTCCTTTAATTTGAATTGACTAGGCGCAGTTCTAAGGCAGCTGGTACGACGTGAATATTGGCTACAGGTATTTTCCCACGTGTTTCAAAGACGCCGCTTTAGCTTGCTTACTTACTTTGTAATATTAACTAACGATTAGCATTTATTCACTATTTATAACGCTTGATCAACGACTGCACAAATTAAATTTCGAAAAAAATTTAATTCCAATTTAACAGGACAGCAATTACTATTAACTAAATTATGAAAAAAAATACTTTATTAAAATGTAATATTTAACTATTAGCGTTTAACTGTCAACAAAGTTTCACTAATGGGTTCATAACGAAATACGCTTACATAATCTGAGCGCAACAGCGGCAAGCAGTAAATTTAATGCCATTTATTGTCAATATTGTCGGTTCTGATACAATTCGACTCTCGGCACATGAGGAATGTAAAAACCCTTCAGTATCACAACTGTAAACGTTTTAGACCCTGAAAAAAGGATACTTAACATTGTAGTCCACGGTTGCCACCCTGCTAGTAGAACTGCTGGTGGAGGACATGTACAGCTGAGAAGTCCCAATGAACTTTTTTTACCATGTTATTGTTTCTGCCGACTATCGAATAAGATAACATGATCCAAGTTTTTTGAGACATCCACGAATATTATCGATAAGACGTTTGAAAAACTGCCTTTTGGCTACAGGGTTTCAATTTTGAGTCGCAACGAATAAACAACACACGGCCTTCAAGCGTCCGATAGGTTATGCGGCACTCGTAATCATGAAAACAAGGCTTGCATCGTCTAATTCAATTTTGTCCAGCCTTATACATCAGGCTTTATTGGAAGTCAAGTCTGGTATGCATCATACATTGGCTCTTAATCTCCTTGAAAATAATTAAAGACGTAGCGCAGCTATTTATTGGACTGCAGAGTATTTTGCGTCTTTCGGAAGCTTATCTACTTATTGCAAGCTTATTGCAATACTCATACTTTTTCTGTCTATCGACTGTAACGTTTTGTGAAATAATCGAGTCGTGTGTTATCATGCCTAGTTATTAGAAGGGGGACACATATCGTTTGCTATATAATATCAATTTTGTAAGATACGCAGGAAGGATAAAGGAGGCATTGAAACTGTGCCCTCCTTGCCTCGGATAAGTATCTGCAGAAGAAGATTTGACGAAAGAGAGGCCAAAAGAATGCCATGAAAGCAAGCGAAACGAAAGCGCCAAATGCTAGCCATAATGACTTCATGTCAGGAACGCTCCGGCCTGTTCAAATTTTAGGTTTCTTCTATTAAGTTATCGAGATCTTAGGAATAATTGAAAATTTTTAGGACCAATATCTGGTGGGACAGATAGCCTTCAACTGTCATTGCTGCAGTTTTGTTGCCGTGTGTGCCAGTTTGACACTTGTTTTTTAAAAGGTTTGTAGGAATGACCTAGCTCTGTTGAATAATTTTCACGGCTGAATATATAACTTGTCCATTGCCTACTTCAGTTGTTAAGGGTACACTTCAGCCGTAATCGATAAACCAATATTCATGAAGCCACAGTGACGCAAAACTGGTAGCATAAGCTATTGCAGCTGTACATTTGCTCAAGCGTGATCTCTGCTCCATTCAAATATTTCTATCCAATAGTGTGACCGTCTGCGATTGCCGTGAAAGATCCATTTTAATCGCAGGTTACAATTCAATAGAAGAATGGATTACTATTATAACGTGAAAGCCAAGGGAAGCGCCTCTTTACGTCTTTATCTTTGGTTCTCGGTCAAATTACGTCGTACCTACTTGCTTATTTTTTTTACCTTACGAATTTGACCAAGGTAAATAAGTATGGTTCTTTCACGTACATTAGACCTGAGTGCAGAAATTCATAAACTTCGTTCAGAACCGGACCAGCTTCTACCACAGCTTCCAAAATTTCACTACTCACTTTAGTATGGAGTCTTGCACAAGAACAATTTTTAAATTCAAATTTTTTCTGGAACCTTTTACAGCAATGATACACGATGGATATTTCCCATGTCTTACTGCAACTGGCCTGTAAAAAGCCTGAATGGCCTTATCCGAGTGAACGCTCTCAAGTCACAAAATGTACACATGCATTTCGAGAATAACAAGGGTGCGCAATCTCGCAAAGTCGTAAAATCGCGCCATTTTGAAATAAAAAATTATTCTTATATAAGTTTGCCTGTACTTATTTTGATAGCCATGCATAGCTTTGAAAAAATACACAATATTCGAGTTGAATGAGTCCGTAATGAATTAGATTGCCCCCAAAATAACCCAACAAAAACAATTTGATCAAACTATAAATAGGTCAAAGTAATAACTTTTATGAGTGACACTACTCCTGATTCCTGATACTATTGGCGATGTCATCTTTCAATTAAACATACAACTAATTTAACAACAAGTGATTAAGTTGGAAGGATCTTTCTTATGCTCTGATGTTTGTTACTTTGGGAATTATCAAAATGGAAACGTACCTTTAAATTAGCATATTCATTGTTGTATGAAGTAATAAATAGAATACTATCACAACTTCATTTCCAAAAAAATGTTTTATTTACATCGTCATTTGCGATACCTGCATAGAAATTATTCAGGTAAAAGGCAGACTCGCGCCCTTTCGCTGTTTTGTAGCTGGTACAAATCAGCTGGCCTAAGATTGCGCTGTGTTTTATGTTGGTGACACCCGAAAAATTGATTTATGATATTCCCTGAATATAGTTGTATTTGTTTATACTTTTCTTATTCAAAGTAATATGTGTAGCTTTGTTTGCTTACAAAAGTGTAAAAATCCGGAAAAAAGCTGGCAGCCCTTTCCTAAATAAACGTAAACATTGAGGCTAATGCCGACAGTTGGTGACTGGCTAGTCACTGAAAAGGTGCCTATTTCAAAAGTGAAAAATTTATAATGAAATGTATGAGATGTGCTTAATGTATAAACCGAATTGTACGATTCGTCTTTTTCGAGTGTTAACGTATTCATCGTAACTGTCCCTTTCAGAGGCTCACATATATTGTACGAGTAAATTAAATTGCGTCAGCTGACGGTATGCATAACAATTAAAACCGTATACACGTGACAGCAGGTACGATGTTCTTCAATAAATTAAGTTACAAGTTTCAATTATAGTTGTGAATGCGAAGTCAAATGGATGGATAGCTATTACGATTAAAATACTTGTTTTTTTTGTCATTTTGCTAGATTCACAAGAATATTTAAATTATTGTTTTCTCATGCATATCTCATGCGACCTAATGTGACATCTAGTAACACATAGAGCACTCCGCCACTGTTTTGGCAACGCAGGTGAGGAGTTTCGTTTGTGGATGAGGCAGTTGGTGTAATTTTTAGAAAATGTGCTAACTTATGGGTATAATAATCAAGAACGAGGACACCGTTTATAGAAATGCTTCATATATATGACATATATAGTAACTTGAAATGGTAAAGAAGAATTTTAAAGTAAAGTTTTATTAGCTGGAACATCCTATGGCATGATTTGAGAACTAACACAGTGGAATAAGCAGATTACTTAAACCGCTATATTAAATAATAACTACATGTTAATTTAACGTTTCAGGTTGGGCAGCTTGTCAAGGTGAATTTTTCTTAAATAGAGCTCGATTAAAATGGACCTGGAGGATCATTCTGAGGTTTGTCAGGTGAGCAAGCAAAACTGTGAGACACTCCTATTACCCTCGGAAAGCTCGGACAGAAAGGCTGGTCAGATTAAACGATGCATTAAATTTAAATAAGTAATTTTTAAATAAATTCCAAAATTAAATTTAAATAAGTAAAATTTAAATAATAATTAAATAAGGTGGACCCTAAAAAAATCGAGGTTGCCTGGGAAGGCGGTTCGTATTAAGAAATTTCAACCCGTATAAAGTAAATCGCTTCAGGAGTTTGTAATGCAAAGACAACTGGTAGTTTACAATGCAAAGGCTGATCGCTCTCGTAAAGTCTGGTCAAATTGACAACACGATGGCAATTGCCTTGACTAGACTTAGGGGTTTGGATGTTTGAATAGAAGATATACGCCAGCAACGCGTTGAGTTATCCCATTTTTTCTAGTAGAAAATTCGGAAAAATATAATAATATGTGCCCTGTCGGTATTCAATTAAAGAAAATCTATATGTGACTGGTATACGCGACGAAGTAAGATGTAACAGTTGTTTGTCGCAACCAGACGTTTTTGTGAGTAGGATATGCGACATGAATCGTGTATAAATTATTTCCTAGAACATTATTACCTAATGGCAACTAATGGTTAATTGATACATGCTTTAATGAATCTATAAGTTGAGAATTGTCCTTAATTTTCTCGGAAATCGGCTCGCAGTTGGCCTTGAAAATTCTTGCTGACAACGATGGAAAGAAGGAAAAAGATTTCTTCGATATAGGATGCCCATTCTGAACATAATACGTATTTATATTTTAATTCAAAACATAGTGTTATATCTACTGTAAACCTGCTTGCTTAAGCGTCGGGGCCTCTGGGTCCGACTTAAAGAGATTAAGCCGTTCTATTCAATTACGTTGCAGGTGCTTATGCAGCACGAACTTCGTCGTTTCGCCAGTGTTGTCCGGAATCATATCATCAAGCTTGAAAACTTAATGCCTGAGGAACGTCGGCAATATTCTAACTCTACCCTTCATGTACATAAATACAGTTTATTATGATATTACAGATAATCAGCTAGACTTTTGATTCATATAAAAACACTACTTGACATAAGTGATAAACAGCGAGTAGGTTTTTTCGTAAACTTTGGTACGGATCTTGTGACGTCAGAGCAATCGGTGGTACCTTTTTGATATTTTAATAGTCGAAGTTAGTGCTTAACTCCAGGTCACACAGAGTTGATCGTTTTAATACAAAGCAGAATAATAAGTACTTCTCCAGTGGAATAATGAGGTGTTTTCGTCTGACGGCCATTACACTTCTTTTTTTTTTTTTTTTGATCTAACATTAGTCGTCCGAACTAATCCTTTCCTTGAGATATAATACATCCGTTCCTTATGTAACCATTATTATTTCTGCTACTATCAAGGTGTAGTCTACTCCGACCTGCGAGGTTTGGGTTGTTACCTTTATCATAGAGCGGTCAAACGGCAGGGGCCATATCAGCGTTTATTCTGTAGCAATGAAGCTGCAAATATAAAATAATAGTATTATAGCTGGTGTTATTGATGGCTGCTAACTGAGACATATATGTGATAGTGGGAGAAATCACTATAACTGATTAATTATGTACGAAACTCTTCAGGTAGGTCGTATAAGCCAAAAACCTGCTGACGGTGTGTGTCCTGTTTTTCTGATAAAGACGGGATCGCCTAATTTCAACAAAGTAGCATTGTCGATAGCTAGCATCTGTCTTGAGCTAGAAACACTGGTTCAAGAAAATGATTTCGCTCGATTATTGCATTCTTATGGAGAAGGCGAGGGAAGCGCGGATTCTCCAGAGCAACAGGTTAGTTTCAACAAATTTGCATTAGTAAATTTTTCGTTACCATCAAAGCTAAAAATTTAGCAGTCCTAACTGACGGCCTAATACTCAAGGCTTCAACAGTCTCTTTCTTTTCTCTCTTATTCTTGTGGACTGTATTATAAGATCCTGGCTTTAAATTGTACAAGTTTTTAACACAGAACTCTATACTATTTTTTTTAAATAGGCAGTTGATGACACAAAAACTTCAATATCGAAACCTTTTTCTTTCTGTAGCAAAGAATGTATTTTCTTTCAAAATATTTTTAAAACTGATTAAGGAGCCGTAAAGGTACAGTAGCAAGCAAAAGAATAAATGTGTACTATTGGAATAACTTGAGAAAGAATATTAAAAAATTGATCAGGTAGGAATATACTTAAACACGCTGTTCTGCTATTTTAGTGCGTATACGTATAGCTCTGGAGCTAAATGTTCATATTGCTTTTTACTTTTACATACAGTCACGTATGGCAAAAGAATCGTGTGAAATGTATCTCATTTTTTACACTATATTTAGTTGCTACTGCAGCCCATATTTTTAATTATGGCTATAATCGTCGGAAATTTTTTCAAAAGAACCATTTTGTGTTCTTAGTAGAAAAATACACGGTTTCCCCAATGTGGAGAATTGATATTTTTTTGCTTTGTGTATTTGCGTATCAGAGTATTTATTTTGTGTTTCAGTTAGCACGATTTCTTCCCGTTTTAAAACGTATGAAGGCATATATCTCCCGATGCGAAGACGCGATTCAGCTTGCTGTTAATCAGGTTTGCTGCAGTTTACCATTTTACTAGCTATTACCTAAGAAGTGCATACATTTGATTTATATTACAATAGAAGCATATGATGAATCTTTAATGATAATATGCATATTTTTGTTGAGAGTGTCGTGGTCAAATCTATATCATAAATATCCGGAAATAAGAAGAACGTTTTTTAAAAAGTTCCGATCAAGAAAAAATGGGGTAGGAATTCGACACACAGCGGGATCTCACAACAATATATGCATCTCTCAAAAGCTGTAGATTTCCGCACGCATCTGATAAGGGTTATCAATTCTGATGAAAATTATCTTCTAATTATTATTTCGTATTCCTATGGTATACCCGATGACGAAATCCGACATTACTAAGGCGAACGTTTGGCGAGCCTAGTCGAAAAAGCAGGAGTATTTATTACGATATAAAACCGTGTAATTATCGGTCTTTATTCAATTTTTAAAAAAGCAACTAATATGACAAAACGTTGTGTAATTTCTGGATTTTTTACAGATTGCCGGTTTCTTTTCTTTTGCGCCTCAGAATGATGCTTTCACTATGCAGGTCTGTAAACAATGTTTCGAATTTTTAGCTCGTTTGTACAGTGTTTGTACAAATGCATAATATGTATTTTAATAACGTTATAAAGCCTGGAAAAATAACAGAATAAAGGGTGCCAAGGCACTATTTTTTTGCTCAATGGCGAAATTTGAACCAAAGTACTAACATTTTAAAATTAGTTGATATAGGCTTTCACGATGAGATCGAAAGCCCTCGCATGTCTGATAAGTATAACAATACTCATCTGTAGTAACTCGTCTTCTAAAGAGTCTACCAGTTCAGCCTTCGTAGCGAGGGACATTGACACGTAATGACCTAGAATACACGACTGGAGCCTGTGTAGTAGAAGTGGATACTAAGCTGTGTAATAGCCTAGGGGACCTGACAAGCCTGACCAGACAATTTGATAGTTTCTCGAATGGAAGAGATCTGATTACAGGAAGGTGCAATCATAGGTTTAAGGTACTGACATTCAGAAAATAGCCCAGCCATAAAATAGATCAGACTTGCAACTTCTCAGGTTTTACTCAGTGACGTCGAGTAATCCAGTTAAATCACTGCGCTTCGTAAAGATATTGCCGAGTCTGACTCAGTGGGTAGGCTTTTAACGGTACTCGGGAAGGTTTGGTTAAAGGAAGTTTAAAAATTTACTCAGTGAGCTGGCAACACAATTTCTTTCTTGAGTTTCCCCTTGCATGTCTTGCCGTCAAGGACAGCAATCTGAAAGGTGAGATAGTTTGGTTGGAAATGATCGAAAAGTTCAGCGGGCTTCATGAAGAAACCGCCTCAAAAAGACTGTCAACATTTTTCGAAAACTGGGGAAGCCGGCCAAAAAAGTTTTCGGTGCTGTTCGATTTCCAATGTCGGCAAGCCTAGAGAAATATGCACCTCTAATAGACGAAGCTGTTGTAGGCAGAGACATGAACAGAAGACTTACAAGGAAATTCTGTGCAGTAGGGTACTGGAAAGATTAGCTAGTGGATCCACAGAACAACTACCCTGGGATGCTCGTGGTGAATGATTAGAAGCAACATCTAAAGAAGGAAAGTGCCGGCTATACTAAAAAGACGTGATAAATTGTTTCTCAATATCCTACCTAATTTCTAACATAGCCTACGAAATTCTTTTAGCAAGAGAGCCATCCCACCTCCCACCGGTCATAAGTGAGGAATTTTTACGAACGCGTGAAGTCAGAAAAGACTTTGGGTGCCGGTAGAATCCCAGCTGCTCTACTTTAATTCATGTTCGAAAAGTATCCACGATTTGTAACGAAGGTAGCAGTCAAAGTCTTTGTCTTTCAGAAATGTTAAAGACAAAAATGGTTTTTGTTCTAAAAAAGAATCGATAATAGAAACCCATCTCCCATTTAGAAGCCGTGTCTAAGGGATTTGAGGCCGTCATTGAGTAAGGACTATTAGGCCTTGCAAAAAAAATGGTTTTTTCTTAGAAAACCAGTCGGTCTTCAAAAACAGTGTGCTTGCGACGCCAAGCAGAACAAGTTAGAGAAACCCGGTCACACTCAAGGCTGTCGTTCAGGGCGGTCCAGCTGAGCGTTAAGAAACATTTAGCAGGCTATTGTGGATGTCGATACTCGACTTTATGGTATGACAAAAAAACGGTAGATATAACACGTAATTGTTTCCAGTTATTTGAATAACCGCGCAGTCACAAAAGTTCCAGGCATGATATGACTGCAGGTGTCGTCCAGATATTTATTCCAGGTCGTCCAGGGACTTATCCTGGGTCCCCCAAAGATTTATACCTGGGTTTCTTGTGTGGAACATACGTTATCATGGTGAACTAAAGACCCTATCATCTAAAGTGGAAGTGATACATATGCTCACGATGTGGCAGTGTCTACCACAGTCTGGTATCCTGAAAACATAGAAGGGCGTACAAACCAAGTTCTTAGGGATATGGCCATATGGTTGAAGTGCACGATGCTTCAGTTTACAAGTCAAGGGCGGTTTTTCCTTACGAAAAGGAAAACAAGTGTTTTAAGCTACAAAATCATTCTATTAGTATACACTCTTATAAATTCCTTTATGGAATTACTAAATAGAATTGGAGTTTTACCCTTGGGGCAGCCGTGCAAAATTGTTAGAGGCAACCCTGAAAGAAGAAAAGCGCCGGCTGCGCTAACATGTAAAAAGGGAGGCTCTTGCTTTGCTATACTTGGGTGTCTTTCCTGCTGGAGGAACCTGCAGGGTATGTAGTCAAAACTCGGGAACCTCGTAAAGCACATGGTTAAAATTTTTAAAATTAAAGTTTTAATCCTTAATGTTTTAACGCTCTGGCTTGCAAATTCAATTCAATATTCTTTATCTTGGCCTTCCAATCTGAACTGCAAAAGAGCAGTTCACGTAATTTCAAGTTATTTCAAGTAGAATTACTATTTAGTTTAAGCTGGCCGGCGGACGCAAAGTATCTTTCCCTTTTGAATCATCTGCTTTTGTTAAAGAAAATGTGTTTGTATTACACGGTTGGATGCATAGGTCGCTAACGTCGATAATGCTTGTAAATTGAAGCCACTCGTAGAAAGCATGACGATTTCACCAACGTATTACCTAACTTCTATGGACCGATGTATAGTGTTTATATACCACCATTATTATTATTCTTTTTTCTTATTACATCCATTTTTACAATTATTTATATGCACCGTTAATCTTACACTCACATACCACTATTATTCACATGGTCTAAGGAGCCCTTTAGTTGTTCAACTTTAAGTTTAAGTAAGGCCGCCATGTCGAGTACCAGTTATGATATCATTTGATTCTAACTTGTAGATCTTTTATCCATCTCCACCCGGTTAGTTCAGTTTCAATAAATTCGTTGTGAATCTATTGCGATTTGTCTGGCCAAATTGACTGAAAGTTTTTCTCTAAGATTTATGCTAATATATATGATTTGTACAAAGGATTTATTGATTACTGTCCGTTCTTGACAGATCAATTTACGCCTAATGTGGACTCTAATTCGCTCAATCAAAGTATTCGAAATCACATCACTATCCTTATCGACCCCTCTCTATGTCGTTCCACCTCTTCAGTTTGTCTTCCGTTACTCCCGTTCGTTTTGCTGATAAGCCCACTTTAAAGGGGCGGAAATCGCTCTTACCCTTGTCATCGTCGAGTTTTACCTGGAAGATTTTCTTTTTAACAAAACGAAAACCTTCGCAGGCTATTTTACCTCATTATATTGTCTGTTAACACCAGCGACCTTCGCGGTTGCCAACAATCACAAGTTCTGAACACACAGATTGATATCCCTGAACCTCATATGTATATATGCATATCAGCTGTTGTATCAATTTAAAGCAAGGGAAAACACCCGATAATGTGCCATCCATATCTTCTATACAAAAATTCTGTTAGCCTTATTTTCGCCACAATGTAGTTATAATGATGGCGTTGTCCTATATATTTCTCTCTAAAGTATTGTCACGTTTACATTCAACACAAGTTGGAAAATAAATTTAGGTAATTACCGCCCAGTTATCAAGTGCTTAATAAGGTTAAAAATAGTTCAAAATTGGGCCATGTACATAAAAAATCTAAAGCCGTACCACTGTGTTTATTCCGGTGATAATCTGGACTTTACTATGGCTCCTACCTTACCTCACTGACAGGTCTTTTTTGCAAACGATGAAATTGTTTTCAGCCTCAGCTATCTGCTCTCCTTAATATCCCTTAAAGAAATTGCATTAACACTTGATTATGCGCAGTTTTTGTGCTTGAAACAAAAGACTTAAAATATCCGGATGATTTGAAGATCCACTTTCAACTCGACTTGCGGTTGATGGTTTGACAGTTTTTTTAACCAAAAATGAGTAATATTATAAAATGGAGCGAGTAATTTTAACTACAGAATTAAAAATAGGATGCTCCTTTTTGTATCTACTCTTCGAGAGACTGACATATAAAAGTCTGCAACATTGAACTTCAAACTAGTCAAATCATGCATAGTTCTTGTAAACACAATTTTTATATTTTTTTTTTCGAGATAAAACCAGGGCTGTTTATATTCGTCTCTGCAAAACTAGAGTCATCTGTAAGTTTTTGTACAGTTCTCTGGTGTGAGAATTACATAAAAGACAAGCGTCTGCTTAAAAGTGTACAAAAACGATTTTGAAGGCGATTACGTTGGGGATATTGGTTGAGGCGTCAGCAAATTGATTGACTTCCCACATAATTCTTACCTGAAACAAAGTCTCTTTCAATTAGATACCCTCGATGTTGCAAATTATTATTTAAATTTCAGAGCTACTAATCTTCATAGTGAATAGACCATTTTAAAGCCATTGGTAGAAACGAAATTACATGTAATAGCTATGCGGGGAGGATGCACAGGTGGTTTCATAAATACGGCGCATTTACTTTCCCTCTTAATTAATTGATATTTGTGCTTGTTTGATGTGCCACGCACTCTCTTTGTGCAGATAGACCTTTATAGCTTTCTACAGCTAAAACTTGTTTTGATATTTTGCTAGACTAATTGGTACTGTACTGAATCAAAAATAGTTGTAGGTCTCTAGCATTAATGAAAACGTTTCGAGTGATTAAATTTCGAAGCTAAAATGTTGAGCATAGTAAATCCCTTTCCATTATGTAATGCACCTGTTTTTTTTACAATTTACATACAATTAGAGTTTCTTCTATAGTTACTTTTCCTCACATTTTCAATCAAAGAAGTAATTTTCATACATTCACGTATGTCTCTAAGTAACATTTCTCAAGCCATTTTTAGTTTCATTAAGCGACAAATTAATCGCGGCGGTTCTTCACCAACGTATTTTCTTAAGACATTGAACCGAAAACTGATTATCACGAATTTGAAGGAGTTTAAGGTCCTGCTCCTTATCTGAATCGTTTTTAGATAATACTTATCTAAAAGCGATTCAGATAAGAAGCAGGATTTTTTTTCACTTTTTTAATGAAACTATCAGTGCAATTCGCATGCGTTCGAAAGCGAATTTATAGTTTCGGAAGATTACAAAAGATTTACAGTTCCCTATCATTTTAGTAAATAGTAGATTCTCAGGTAATGTCATTTGCCATAGCAGTGCTATGACCTTGACTAACTGGAGCTATCGCCAGTGTATATAGAATAAAAGAGGTTTCAGCTCATAAGCTTTATCTATTGTTTCACTATGCATTCCTGAATTCTATGATCTTTTATGCTGTTGAAGATTTCGGAAACCGTGGTAACCGTCTCACTTCAATTCTATCTTTGATGTTCGGCTTTTTTAGTTATTACACCATTTCCTCTAACTCTGCGTTTGTATGGTATTGTTTCTAATGCTGATCTTAATACTTCCCCAACATCTGTATAATAACTAAGTTTTTCTTGTCTGCAATTATTGAACCTTTATTATAAAAGTATAAGAATTCATTTTATATGGAATGACTCTATTGTATGGAAAAGACTTGGTATCCGCAATGTAAAGAAGTCAATTTTAAGTCTTAATCGAAGGAATACATAACAATGAAATAATAGAACAGGTAATAGTAAGAAAAGTTATTGTTAGTATACTTATCCTACCGTATTGTAGAAACTATGGTAGGAGATAAACTATCCATAAATATATAAAAATTAACAAAGTGTGTTGCCTATTATATGATAATTGTATCCCAACACCGATTAGTCAGTGCCATATAAAACAGTAACAATTCTATAGTTCGTACTACAAAGTTCATTTCAATTTATAGAAAGTGTGGTCAGGTTTCCGGCAATTCTTAGGTATACGGCACATATAGTCCATTTAATTTGAATATAGAAAGCCTTATTAGGTATAACACGCGTGCTTATAATTTTTCTAAGAACTATCTGCAAAGGGTTGAGAAAGAAATAAGCTGACAAAACCGTACGACTATTATATAAAATACACATCTGTGAGGGTTCGTAGTTACTCGTTGAGTTGAGATCATGTTAAGTCTATTTTTCGTGTTTTATCTCGAGTGATTGAGCCGTCACGCATTACTTCAATGGCTGGCTCCTAGCACGGACCAATGTGTGTCTATATCTAGATTCCAGCCTAGTCCACCATGCCTCCTTAAACTAAGCCCGCAAAGATGTTATCTATGGTATTTTTTCCATTTTAATGCGAATCAACCCAACCGGTCGCATGGTCACGACGTGTTACTCATGTAGTAACATTTTACGTATATATTCATGCGTAGTAGCAGTTGCATCCTTTCAACTGCTTTAGAACTGTTGGATAATTTCTTCGCGAAGTGTAGTTTAGAGTTGGACAAGTTATAATTGTAAGTATTACAATACGGCCATAAAACTTTTATGGATAATGAAACTGATTTTAAGCGTCATCGATTAAGGAGTTTGTAATGTTCTTCAAAAAACTTAACCCTTTAATATTACTTAAACCATTGACCAGTTCAGCTAACTTTAAGATTCAGTTCTTATAGATTTTGAGTCAAAAGCACGTAGAAAAGAGTATGGAGCAAGCACCGCATTTTGCAAATATTTGAGCTCCACTACAATTATACAAAAGGACATTTGAAAAGTTTTATTGACTCATGGAAACTCGACACTGGCGAGTCGCCTGTGTCTGGAATTGTGAGCTTCATTCGGAAATCTTCAGCAATTATTTGCAATTAACAGGTCATTCTTAGTAAATAGTTTTAAGAAGAGATGTGATGATATAGAAACGTTTGTATCTGTGAGTTTGTTATTCTAGGTGGTATTTGATGTTATGTCTCGCTTGCTGATTTCCTTGGTCACTTTGGATTTAGCCGTATTGCACCAGGGAGTGCTACACGACCATTTTGCCGCCTACATGCGACTCCTGAAATCCGTGCGGTACGCAGAACAAAAATTGGATGATCAAATCAAGGTATACAGCTTATGAGGTTCACAAGAAATGATATAGTTTAGAGATACTTGACAAATACATTAAATTTCGAATTGATTATTGAAAATATATTAATCATACAGTCTCGACAGAATGCATCGAGATGTCGTCTTATTGCAGAGAAAACCCCAGTTCAGGTGTGTGGTTCTTTCCTCCAGAAGGTGCCTTTAAACTGTTCTTACTATCTTGCCTTTAAACTGTTCTTACTATCTAGAAGCATTTTTGCAGCACATATTGTTACATGTTGCTCACATTCTCGTTTGTCTGCATTTACTAGGCAATTCTACCTTTATTCATCTTAAACCTCCAGCTGTTTGCAATCAGTGACCCGTTTTGGTATACTTGAGCTAAGGGCAACGTCCGCCGCAATGTTGAATTCACTATAATAACTACTTTTATAGGCATTATTGAAACTTTTGGGCGACATCGATCAGCAGTTGTTACGTGGTGGTATCCTACGATGGTGTCTCACTCAAATATCGGGGTCCAGTGGACGGATGCTGGAGTCACTGAAAACGGTTTTGCGGTCTGATCTTTCACAACTAGAAGCTAAACTCGCTGAAAACCCAATGCAGGTAGATGTTTAGCTCAGAACAGCATGCTTATCTCTTCTGTTTTCACGAGATACAAATAAATTTTTCGAAAAAAACCTTGTTACTTAATTTAACATTAATTAAAGAGCTCTGTATATATTTGTTTCATGAGTCTGTAGAATTTGGCGTTCATTGCAAAATGTTTTTTAATCGGCCTGCAGGATAATTACAAACCATTTGCAATAAATGCAGGTGTACCGGCATTCACCCAGCTTTGTAGGTAGCTGCGCCTTATTCCTTCTTCATTTCACCCTTACTAAGCAAGCAGATCGTCGATTATTCCGGTCCATTTGCGACGTGGCAAAAAAGGTAAGTAGCATTAGGGCTTGTAGTGTGAAATTAGTTAATCTTAATTGAAGCCATAAAGAACTAAACTTGGATGTGCAGAAAAAAAGCCCAGAGTGCATGAACTAAATCGTCCGGAGCACTGATGGTTTACCAAAGATCAACGAAATAATGCACAAATCTCTAACGCAATGTCGCATGATATGTTTTTTAGTTATATGTTCTTAATTGACCACTACATTGAATCGAACTACAGTAGTTATTAAAAGCTGCGTTTTGAGCGGCATCTAACAATTTTTGAATAATCTTATCTTCGTAATCCAACTTATTACTTCTTGCATTACTCCTCGGCTCTTTAGCTTTTATACAATTTTATCATGAACGGAAGGATAGACGGGAAGAAGGGATATTGGCTTCGGACATATAGTATCTTTTTTTTATGAAAGAGCATTTTGTAATGAAGTAATAGGGCGCTAACTTTTGTTACTCGAACTGCGAAAATACTTAACATAATATATACAGGGTGGCAATTAGCTAAATTCTAGGGTTAGGTTAGGTTCATATAGTCTCGGACTATAGTCTTAACGTTAAGTTCAGATTACGCTAAGTTAGTGGATTTTATGGAATATTCTGTTCTATTAAAATAGGTTGGACCTGTTCATTTAACCGGCAATGTTGTCTGGACGGCTTATGAATTTTTCTTGCGCGAAATTCCTGCTTTGGGGAAACTGGTGCCTACGCTTGACAAAACGAACCACTTGGAACAGATGCTCAGTAAACTCGCTCAAGACGTCGTTGGATACGAAAATCAGGTCAGTATGAAAGTATGTTTACCACGTGCAGTGCAGATGTCTACTCAAGATAACGCAATGGTTTTTTTTCACTGTTTTCTGTGTATATATATATAATTATAACGAGTACTGTATCTGCGTATGAATCCACGCCGGCGTTCAATGAATTAAAATATTGAATGAGAATACATCGACTAGATATTACCGATTTACTAGCGACTACAAGCTATAAATCTGTGAACGGCGATCACCAATATCAGCTAGTGTACACGTCCTGCAAACTCAGATTTATAGCGCGATGATGGTCGAAGTGCCAGAAGAGATCTTCTACATGACAGCAGTAGAAATATTACATTTATAGGCCGTATTTCTCTAGGTGGCACTTTGGCTGTTAAAGTTAGACGTGACTATGGGCAACCCAGCGGATTCCGAGCAGGTGGTAGATGAACTCAAAGGACGTTGTACACTCCTCCTTCAAGCGTACAACATGACACGGTGCCTGAGTCAACAATTGCAGTTGGTCGTAGGCTTACATTTGGCAACTGCGAAAGCTATGGCGAGACAGTCAGCCATTTTCATCGCTCGGATGCTAGCTGCGCTAACGGCGATTCAGTCCGCGGTTGTTAGATATCAAGTAAGCAGCTAAAATAAAAAATTAAAGAAAAAACATTAACGTTACTAATGCTTCTATCAGTCCAATCAGCTGTTTCACTGGTTCAGCGAGCCTAGCAAAGGAGAAAATATATCACGTACACTGCATGACTATAACTGTACTATAAATAGACCATTATCACCTTGTAATCGTTCTTCTTTATTTATTAGCATTAAGCCAATAAACGTAAAGCTAGCTAGGACCATTGTTGGAGGGGTCCTTAGAATGTAATACTGTCTTCATATGCAATCATTATAGATTATCACTACGTTATTGCACTATTAATAGGTGGCCATTTTGTGATAGAATAATTTTATTTTCTTATCGCTTGCGTGTTTCGTCTACTATCTGGATGTTCCTCTTTGTAGATGCGTGTAAACGAGACGGTTGCACAGGTTGAACAGTATCTTCGCTATCAGCTGCTGCATACTACAGTCACGATGAAAAAGCGGTTTGCAGTTGAGAAAAAGAATACGGACAAGAAGCTGGACGCAAATGCTGCTATTAAACTGCTTGAGGTTAGAAACTTACTATGACCTGTTATGCTACATGGATAAACTCGTATGTGTATTGTACAACGCATCCTTACAGCATCGCTGTAAACCTTAATCATTACAAATATAATACATCAAATACCATCTATAACGCATGTAACAGTCAATTTTATTCCAGTTACCCTTGTCCGTATCATGATTTCAGACGTGTCTTCGAGGACCTCTAACGCAGATTAAAGAATTCTGTCTCCAACTTGCCCTTGAGTACGTCATTCAAGTCAAGGTACGAGCTCAGTCAACAATTACCTGATTACATAACAACAAACGACTATCATCCTCTGGGCTGTCAAGGCACTTGCTATACAATGCGCAGTAATCACGTGTACCACCTTTTTCTGCTTCCCAAAACCTGAAAGTTTCGTCCTAGGATAAAGCTGAGTAGGTTATATTTGATGTATTTTCGCTAGCCTGTTTCCATCTTTATAAATTAGCTGTTGTTAACAGGTAGAAATTGCGGAAACAGGTTCTGGGAAAGACGGTTGCAGAAAAGTGTTGCTTTCTTCCCCTAAAAATTATTTAGATCAATAATAACACCACTGTGCATCGATGGACTAAGTCCCATATAACAAAAAAATATTATTAATTATTACTGAATATCGGTACATTGATAGAATCCATTCGTAAACTCAACGAATAGATTATTTATTGCAATTACCTCTCTTGTATCGCATAGTATTGAAATTAACTATAGAACTCTCCAGTTTAGTTGAAACTCATGTTATACGACGTAAGCTGTTGTAAGAATTCAAGCCTTTCGGCGTCGAGATTAAGTGTTCTCGACAGAGTGATATGTAGTCCAATAGTTACACCACATTACCGGGATATATATATATATTGAAATGAATGTTTACCTGGAATGTGCATTAGATCGAAGTTTAATATGTCCATAAATAGCCGAACTATACAAGAATACCAGTTAACATTAGTAATAGAAGTACAATTTCAAGTAAATCCATTTGACTTTTGGTATGTACTGGTTATGCTGCATCAGTAGATTCTAATTAATGAATGTTACTGTTACTTCACTGTTAAAGGCCATCCACCAGCACGAAGTCGCTCCATTTAATGCAACACTTGATAAACTACGTGTTTTGTCGAACTTTAGTTCGCAACTATGTAAAGCCGGCGACCTATGGGGCTTAGCTGCACATCATGGAATTCTTCTTGAGGTAACAACGCAGAAGCCTGATCAGGGTACAGTGTCCTATAACTATAGGTCGATTTCGTGATTCAGAACTAGTAATAAAATATTTTAGAATAATCTTAAGATAAATCTTTACCTCAAAGATAAATACGGAATTAGAAGTTCTATTAACTCGGTACTTTTAAATCATACCTTTACAGATAATTAAAGGTAGGATCTTGTATGCGCTATTTTTCAATGAATGCTGATGGAATAATTTACATATAATATAAACGAGCTAATCAGCAGGCTAATAATAAGAGGATCTTATTAAAGAATTAATTGTTGATAATGTCGCGATTCCTCAAACATAGATAAAAAAAACACAGTTTTACATAAAAGATCATATGTGATACCGTCCTTAAGTATGCAACCTATTGAAAACAATTTATTACTATACGTTATCAGTCTTTTTATAATTGAATACATCTGTTTGTGTAGGTGTTTCTATCGCAAATGTACCAGAATAATTCGTCGGTGACTAGTGACTCACTGCCACGAGTTGTCGAAGCCATAGCGGGCGATTGCGATATTCAAATGGAAGAGAGCCTTCGGCAGGTACTGGATGAATATCTGGTTGAACAACTGTGCAAAGACATCGAAACAGATCTTCGTCTACAGATGCACTCGCATCTCGTAACGGATACAAGAAATCCTTTTCAACTGGTATGGTTGTGAGAAAACACTGAAAGAACTCACTGAAAATAATAAATCCACTAGTTCAAAGGTTTCTTCTGCTACATGTGTCTACCTTTGAGGAACTTAAACGTGGAGCTCTATAAGTCCTACTTCCAGTCACAGCTCCTTCACCATTCCATTAGATCTTTAAAAAGTATTACGCAGACGATTTTCAACTGTTTGTTTTGTTAAAATCAAACTAATCTATTTCAAAGCTGGAACTTGACGGCGTTTAAGTTCGTCTATTGTGTTTATCTGTCATTAGAGTATTGGTCCTCTATATAAGTCTGTTTTGATTCTCTAAATTTTTTTCATAGATTTGGTTTGTCCCAGAAAAATAAGCTGTAGGGAGCGGAAATCCGGTGAGCGCCTAATGTGCCTAATGATTGCCATTAGAGCTGTGATATAAATACATGGTCAGTCTTTTAGGAATTATGTAGACTAGTCTTTTTGACAATCGTAACCAAAGATGTAGAATGGTACTTCAAAAGAAAATGGCCAAAATAGTCACGAATAGCATTCTCCGAAAAACTGTATAGTTTTAGTTACCTGAAGAAAATTGAATTAGCCTGCTCTGAGTTAACTCCGCTTAAAATAATATAATCCGACGTAAATTACTTCCGCTCAAAGAAGTTATCATTGAGGTCGAGACCGTAAAAAGCGAGAGAAGCGAAAACATTTCGACTCAAAAGAAGATAGCATTGATTGATAAAAAAAAAAATAGGATCATTCACAAGAGGCAAAATTTTTTTGTATATACTTCCTTGTTCCCACAAAAAATACGCGGGATTTCGGCCAGGATATTCTTGGCCACCATGCAGTTTTCATCTGGGTCTGTCAGATAATTATCTGCTTTGTTCCCTACTAAATATATGTGATGAAGGAACATTCAATTCTTTTGATAAAATCCTTTTGATAAGTATATAGGGTTTTTCGAGATCAGTCTCTCTCTTCCGAGATCAAAGGGATCTTTCAAGATCTGAATTATAATGGTTGATGTAATTCAGTAAAACACACGCACACTAACGAAAGTTGAAATTTGTTTAATAATGCCATACCAGATGTCATCTAAAGAAATATACAAGCGTGCAAGAACTTCTGCCCGGACTGAGACAAAAAAACGTGCTCTTGTAGAGGAGAGTCTGCTCTTCCGTCAATTTTCCAAATATATAGTAGTAACAACGCAAATAATAAATATTGCGAATGAATTCTGTTTGTCTTCCAAATGAAAAAAATTTTTGAACAGTTTCGACTGTTATCGAAGACCGGAGAGTATATTCCTGTGAGACCAAGGGTCGGCTGTTTCGTATAGACCATTTAAACGCTAATGTGGTTAGCGAACTGCTAATATGAGTTTCAGTTGAAGAGAGGTAGAACACATCAATTTTTCTTCATAATCGATAATAATATAACTCAGTGTTTTGCTATTTGATGATATCATAACAAATGCTCGAAATAGCAAACACTAAAGGTAATTCAACTTTCGATTACTATCAGGAAGCCGCTAGCTTACGTTTTCGAAAACATTAAATACTTGTAGCCAATTAATAACATCTTAATGGAAATGATTATCACAAGCAGGAATTAAAAGGAATCAAGGACAATGCCGCTGACTGGGTTTTCCATATGTCTTTATAAAAGAAACCAAGACTTATTATATCGAATGATATCAGGGTTCTACCTAATGGATTGCGTAACCTAAGCAATTGGTTCTCAAACCTCAACGTAGACACGTGCCGTATCATCAAAATATGCTAAACCAGTTGGTCTTATGTCTTGAGCTCTATACCATAAATTCGAATTAAAAAGTTCCTTCAAAACTCGTGTCTTTTTCGTCAATATTGAGCTCTATGGTTAACACTCTACTTCGACCACTTGGTAATGGTTTGGTGATAATGAATCGCCCAATTAACTAGTTTAAAGATTTTTTTGTTTCTGAGGTTATATTATTGTCGAAAAAACTATGTTATTGCTTTCCAAAAACTAAAACTTACTTTCGCGTTTTACTAGCCTTAGTGGCGTGTGGGCAATCTCGTACGAGAAAGCAGAGTTATAACTCCGAGCGGATGCTTCCAGGTATCCTGCCATAAATATATTTCAGTAATTTCGCCTTAAAATTAGAAGCACGCATGATGATTGAAAAAACACGCAATTTTTTTTATTATTTGATTCAGTATTACTAATTATTTTGAATTAGTTAACATAACAATAGTTAGAATAGTGACAGAAGAGACCCCTTCACATGAACGTGTTCACGCGAGTTTAACCCAATGTCAAAATAATAACATAATGTCGTTTTTAGAGACATTCAATATACAGTGGTGAATAACATATTGGAGTTCCAAAGTTGCATTGGAAAAGCTTAATCAAAATTATTTGAAATTCTGAGGCCTAATAAGATCTAAACAGAATGTATCTAAAAAGCATAAAACAATGTTCTTTTTTTTGTAAATGTATGTATAATATTTCTCAGGCTTGTTATAGTTATTGATTGCTCAGCGTGAGAAACATACTTTGAATCACGTATTTTAAACACATTATGATTAGGAGTTCTTCATTTACTCGCATTTTTATCTGGTAACTTCTGCTACTTTTCAGACTCGACCACAACCACATACGCAGTTCAAAAGACTTCTACAGCTAGAATCAATTACTCTACCATCAGAAAAAGTAAGAAGAAGTTTGTATGTTACTGTTTTTTTAACCGATTTGTCGTATACAGTAAGAATGTCAATTGTAAATAAGTGAAATTTCGTTCTAAATCTTGGAAGTCTATTTTATCTCTATTTTATCTATATTATATCAGCAGGCTTAGGAGGTCCCCATATGTAATAAAAAAAATGTTTCAGATAAACTCTGTGAGGTTTTAAGGAGATGCTTGTCGTATTATGTATGCATGTCATTGCCAACCACCATGCAGCTTCTGAGGAGTTTAGAGCACATTTCTATAAGGCAAAAGGGCTTAAAAAAGAAGAATGTGTACCGTTTACTGGGCCGTCTAAATAAGCCCTAGCAGCAAGTTTTTTTTAAACTTTTGAACTTTCTAAACTTTTTGGCTTTTACATTTTTGGCCTTTTGGCATGCTACCAGCTTAAAATTTAAATTATGTTTTTGAAGCTGGCCTATTTTAGCGAGATTTTATGGAGCTAAGATCTATCGATAGCGTTGTAGCTGTCACCCCTTTTTTCAAAAAACGTATCTTTTTCAGAATGACAATTTGAGCCCTCTTTTGCTCTCAATTTTACCTAAGCATTTCTTTTGACAGTAAAGGACCAAGAGAATTTAATCGAGGTCACTTTGTGCACAGGCAGCTCGGTTATCTGTCTCCCTAGTAGATTTCAAGCGCAGCAATTCCTGGTTAGTTGGACACTACCTATCTACCTGGCTGAACGGAAGCCGTAAAATTCATGAAAAAACGCAGTATCGCGGCTGGTGAGACATTGTTTCTTGCAAAATTATACTAACGACACGTCAACGGTAACACCTTTAACGATAGTGGTTCCGCTTATCATATCACAGAAGAGAGTAGAAAAACCCTAGTCACATTATGCGCGACTAAAACCGCAAAGTAGCTCTCTCGTAACGGCATTTTAACTGTTCAACCTAAATGAAGCTCCAGCTGCGGGGCGGAAACTGTAGAAAATCCTGAATTTTGTGTGAAGGCCCCTCTTTTGGAACGTACACTGTGCGTTCATAGTACGCTAAAAAATGCGCTAGCGTATTTCTTTGCTGACTTCCCGCTTAACGAAAGGACCTAAGACTTCACTTTGAGCTTTCAACAACCGACGCCTTCTTTGAGTGTCTGAGAAGGTAGGGAGAATAGATGACGAGCTTTACAACGCGACGGCTATGAGAGATAATGGCAGGACGGGGCCGAATCGGACAGACCATTGTGTTATCACTTGTTTTACAAATCCACAGATCGCCCTACAAATTATTTATAGTTAAGCTTTCATAAGCCGAATAAAGGTTGTAGTTACAGAAAATATCGTATCAATAAGTTATGGTAAATAAAATTGTGATAAATACTATGTAGCCAGCTTTTTTTAGTCTTTTTGGTGTGAAGCCTGCCTTACGGATCAGTCTCGTCAGCTCTATACTTGAAATGCGTATACTTGGAACTTATCTGTATAATATTGAAATTTCACGTAATTTGCTACCGTGCTAAACCACCAACAATTCTGTGATATGTCATCATCATTGTGCTTGCTTGTTGTGCATACATATATATATAGTCGAATCGTGTTGTCGAACATCTAAAATCGAAGATGAATAAATGGACTTATTGATTGTTAACGCACAATATTAGAAATCACATTTGCAAATTTTAATACATTCTATAAACAGTCGACCTCAAGGTTGTCTCAATTTCTGTATTATCATTTACATGACGCCTACTTTTATTTCTTTTAGTTGTGGCTGAAACGCTCCGTGGAAACATATCTAGAAAGAATGTTTTATAACCTGACAACTGTAGCTCTTCATGACTGGCGAGCGTATGACGAGATGCGTGCCATTGCGCAGCTCAAATTTGGCGCCGAGACCATTGAATCACATTTACCAGCGGAAACACTCGATCAGGGTCCTGACGTGCTCACAGTCATGCGAAATATTCAAGGGTGTGTACATCTATAACATATTATACGGTACATAGGGAAAATATAAGGAAACAAACAAAGATAAGTTCAATTTTATTGTATTAAAAATATTGAATGTTATTTCATTTGTTGTGATACTAGTTCCAAAACTTGGTACCTGTTTTAATTTTTTTGTATAAAAGGTGAATTAGTAAGTCATTTCTTAGAACATATGAAGGATCCTACACGCGAACTCGTATCGTGCACGGAGGGTTCAAGGCTAAAGGGACTTGAGAACTTGACAGAGAGTAACAAGAATGCACTTTTGATGATTTTGGTGGCCCGTTTAACGACTATCTCTGGAACAACCCAGACGACAGCATCTAGGCTGATTCATGAGGACTTCCGGCACGGATCAATTCTCAAAACGGATCGCAGTTATATTGAATAAGCACAACTATCAAAAATGTCTTTTTTTACTTATGCTAAAAATGTGTGAACTTCCTTTTACACTTAGATTCAGTCTATAAAGAAAATATATCAATTATATCAATCATGTATCATGAATTAGTATTCGAAGTAAATAACTCATCATTTCCTCTAAAATAAACTTCGTTGCGTAAGGTTGCCTCTTTATGAACACTTTGCAAGGCGGCTTTTCTGAACACGCTGTACATTCTACGTTAATTAGGCATAGCTCCTGATATAGTCCAGCGTCAAGGCAGTTGACATAGCACTATTCGGATGCGCTCTTTATAACGAAATAAGAATGTTTGATTTGTGGGCCTTGTCCTATGTGTGGGACCTTCATTTCCATAAAATTTATGGATTTAACGTTTTGTATTCAAATCTAATATTGCATGTGGACTGCCAATGTTAAGGAGATACGTAATGTACTGTACGCATACGTAATATTTGGTTCGCTACAGGTTTGTGAGCCGTTTCGTGTACAACATGAACACGCAAACGTTTGTGGAACGGGCGAGTACCAGCAAGCACCTACAGACTATCAACATTGGGCACGTTGCTAACTCAATTCGAACACATGGTCCCGGCATTACAGATACTACTGTGAATATTGTATACAGGTGAGAGTTAGTCATTCAGTTAGTTACTTTTATCCACATTGAGTGATCACATTTTTCCAGCTTATTAATGCCATGCATGTGTCCTGTCGTTGCAAACTTTCTGTTTCAAGAAAACCAGAGAGCCTTGAGAGTTGAAGAAGTGTTCCTATATAAAAAATGGCGGTGCAGACAGCAATATTTATACAGACCGGTTGTCGCGAATGCCTGAAATACAAAAAGGACAAACATACTAGGACGGTGATGGGTTTTTCGGAAAAGTTGATTATTTGATGTGTAGGTACTACCTATTTTCGAGTTAACTCGCCAGGTTAATTCCATAAGAACGAGCTGAGCCACCCTTCAAAAAATGCCCTTAGGTAACCCAGTCGAGTATTTCGCGAAACAGATGCTGGCAACAGTGACGACTAGATAACCGACCCCAGCATGCGAGACTTTCAATTATTACAGCCGTTTGCGAAGACGATTATAGACTGGGCAGTGGAGCTGAACTCCAAGGAGGTGCTGAGAATTGCCCGGTGAAACTACGAAGGCGCAGCAACCTTGGTGTCCTTTGCTTTGAAAACCTTGGGTTGCATAGGTATACCCGTACTGCAAGCAGTCTGTTAACGCGTCCACCTACCACGAATCCATTCTATACCTTGTCATGCACTGAACAGTAGTGAGTCAGAACATACTACTAGCGACATCTTCGTGTTTTATGATCATAACAAATAATGCACCAGGCTTATTAACCGTAATCCACCGTGCTTCGTTGAGGATAGTGTTATCGCCTTACGTGCCTAGCTATGAAACCAGCGGCCTGGAATCAACTTCTTTTTTCTACCGGAGAATGAGGTAACGATCGTTGACAGAACGGCCGAACCTTCACGAAACTGTATGAAGCTTAGTGGATCAAACTGAGCCCACTCGTATTTTCTGTTTCAATGAAGCAGCTTTTGGATCAAGTAAGGGAGCCAAAAAAGCCAGTACAAGTGGTCCTGTATGTAGACAACTTAGGTGTATACGGATCTAGCAGGTTTCAGGTATGGCAAACTCTACCACGGTTTCACAAAACAGTCATGGAGTTAGGACTGACAATAAACCTGATCAAGATAAACACTCTGAAGTTCAGAAGAGAAGACGGGACAGCAACATCCGACACCCTGTGCTTTGCCGAATTCTCTATGCATTTATGCATCTCTATGGCTAAAGCCATCACATGCATTTTCACTCACAGCATATAAAATATGTGTTTCTTGGTGGGTGAATCTCACAGCGAAGAACTTTGCACAATTAAATTGTGCTAAAAGCTCGTTTTTGAGGAAGCATTCGGATTGCACATCGTGATCCGTAGTCGTCTCGCGACGATTTCAGCAGTGGCCCACTCCCAACTGCTGTCTAAAGATCTGCGTTGCCGCTTCACGCTTTGAACAAAGTCTCTAGATCTTTTCTATTGCTTAGAAATCCTCAAAGCTCCAGCAATGCAGTCAGAAACTATGTACTTGCTATGACATGAATATACAGCCGTAATTGATTAATTGCTACAAACTTACAGGTATGTAACACAGATACAATTCACCCCAAAGTAACCGTACAAGCCTCTGAGATTGAGCCGCATCCATTTCCTTGATGTTAATAAGCAGCAGCTAAAGATGATTTATGAGCTGTTAATAATGTACAAAACGCACAATTAACAAAAATCAACAATAATAGCAATAATTATCCAAAATAATCAAGTGAGTTTAGCAGAATGTTGTTAGGCCACATAAAATCGCTTTGCAAAAAATGCTTTTTGCAGGTACTTGAAGGTCCAGTTTACGGCACTTTCGCAATTCCTGTTTGATGAGCAAATTAAGTCGAGGCTCCTCAGGTAGGCTATTATCTCTTGATTTTTGTTTATTTAAATGGGGTCTTAAGGTTTTTTAGAGATTAAAAATTAAATCAACACGCCTTAACTACAGCAACATATCACAATAGTGATACTAATAATACTATACATTTTGCTTATTGCATAAGCAAGCAAAAGAAAGGTGAAGTGAAATTCATATTTTTCTGCAAGATGTTATAGATTTGATGTTTCAAAAGCAGTGTTTTGGGGTTACATATTAAATATACACAGTTAGTATTGTAGCGACACAAGACCTACTTTTTAACTTGTCCAGCATTACAAAATTATTGTTAGATGTTACTCCTAAGATATCATTATATGTTATATTTCATTAACCTTATGCTTACACATCGTTACAGGAAACGCAAGAACGCATTTCTTTCGTACACGCTGCACTTAAAAGTTATATATTCATCAAGCCATACGTTCCACTTTCTTATACTTATGTATATTTTTTCACAGTGATATCGCACATTTTCGCGATCACAAGGATGCTCTACAACAAAAATATCCATTCGATCGAGCTGAGAAGATCTGTAAATCTATCCGAGAGCTAGGGGTCACTTCGGAGGGTCACACTCGTTTGGATGTGCTTCGACATCTCCTTACGTGGTACAAAAAATTTAGCAATGGCACATTATGTTTATTTTGAATGCTGCTAAAATAGCCCACTAGTGGTCCATCAGTAGTAAACTTTTGACCTACAAGGCACTTTAGGTGAAAAAGTTACGTTTAGAATTGTTGTGTAAAAGCATTAAGTGTAATTTAGAAGTTTTTTTATAGCCTTGGTCGAAGAGTTCAACAGTTGAGTGTGAACGTAGAGAACACAAATTTTGAGGACTTTTTGCCTTGCTTGGCTAGTATGCATAACTAGTCGACATATTGTACTAATGTTGCAGTATTGGAAACGCGATGGGCTACGTGCGTATGCTACGCGCAGGTGTTCTTGAACATGCTGCAAGGGCCAACGCCTTACTGCCGGATGGCAAGGCAGCAACATTTGTTGAACTGCTCAAAAAGACGCAATGGAAAGACAGCAAAGATGTAAGATAATTGTATCTTTAAATATATTTATGTTGTGAAGACGCGACGTGACCACGATATGGAAAAAAATCGTACGTTGATATGCAGTATGTGAAGATGTGGCACGAAGTCATCGGTTAATTTGGTCTCGTGCCTTATAAGAACCACTAGATACTACCATAATCTCCTACATATAAGCACTTTGAGAGTCGTTCTTGATTATGTTTAAAAAATATAGTGATCACCAAAGCCGGAAAAGTAAATCAAAGAATTCTAAAATCAAAATGTATAAATTTGTTCAGACCTATCTTCCACATTAACTCTTTTTTCCTGATATACCAAAACCAACCATCAAAATACTTTTTTATATAGTAAAATGTTCACTCGGTGAACTTTCTTCCCTGTATGGTGTAAGCCACTTTCTATTTATCTGCAAGCTGGAAAAAATAGGGTAAATATTATTGCTGTGATTTCATTATTAAGCATTAAAATGACTATTTAAGAAATATACATGTTTTTCTCGGAGCAAAACAAATCGGCTTGCAGTTGTAGCAGAGGTAAGTATGTAAAATAAATATGCTAACAGTTGTAAAAAAAACGTTTGGAAATAACGATTTTTGAAACGCGTAGGTGTTCTTGAACACGCTATTTATTTATTTAGGCGTTTTATTGTGGCGTTATTGATTATCCACAGCTCCCCAAATGTTTGTAAATTTTATTTAATTGTAAACTTAAATTAGTTCTATTACTACAATTGTAAAGTAAAATTAAATAAATTGTAATTACATATAATTATACTGAAGGAAGCAGACGTTATCGGATGACATATGTAGTATTAAGGAGACTTACTGGATATTCAAAGTAGGTTTTACTTCGTGAACCTTGAAAGTACATCAGAACCAGTGAATGCAGTTCGAGGCTGTTTTTTGCCAAAAAGCAAGCGAAAATTTTATACCTATTTAATGATAACACTTAGCTAAAAAGTATAGAAATGTAAAAAATGCAGTTTCATGTTATGTATTAAATTTCTCAGGTATCAGCAGCAGCCGATCAGGTTGACACAACAGTGGCGGGCCTCTTAAATCGACAAGGCGTGGATGGGGGGGCTAATAATGTTGGAAGAGTTCCTGATCACCTGCGACTTCTGGTTGAAGCCTTTGAGGGTCCCTTCTGCGAGGTATTATGATTTACAGGTTTTTGAATTTTTAGCAGTTTTATGTAAATTATACGTTTCCTTAAAGATTTTTAGCAGAAGCTTTGTTCTATAATGTAGCCTGTGAATAAGGCATTGCTAGCAACGCTTTTCCGTTATGCTGTATTTACGACAACAATATAGTAATTATTTTATATCGCATTCGACTCTGTTACAGGAGAACAACTCTCACCTACGTCATTTCTATATATTAATTCCATCGTTAACACTATCTTTTGTTGAGCACCTTATTCAGGGTCGTGAGAGGGTCAACCGTAAAAATAAGGTGATAGTCAGTAGTCACATAATTTAGTCTCCTAAAAGTCATGCATAATACGCATTTCGTATGTTAATATGTGGAATAAACTAGCAGAAACTGTGTTATGCAAGAAATGATATTGCTAGCGCATGCGTCATTTTAAATGCCATTAAATTTTCACTCTTAACACGTGGCCATCCGTCTAGTAAATAACATTGTAAGCGATTAATATTGCAGAACGATGCGCTGTTGACAGATGATGGTTTTGCTATTGGCGTTGCGTTCACTCTTAGACTAACGCGTCAGTTCGGTGATTTCGATGGACTTCATTGGTTCCAGGCCGTTGAGGAAAAATACAGAAAGGTATTCTAATATCCGATTTATCGAACATCGTATTCGTTTGCAGCTAAGTCTATGATTAAACGTGGCAGCTAATCGCAGATTATTTTATTTATATATTATTATTACAAAAAATTTATAAACGGTTAAATTTATACAATATACTACATAAACTTGCCTTGATCAATATATATGTCTATCACTAATGGCTAGGCGATGTGCGGTGAAAGGATAAGTTGACTAATAATTCGCACAAAGTAAAATATAACATGATGAGCCACATTTTTTTGCTGTCGGTAAGAGCCCTAAAAAAGTTCGAATCGGGCTTAAATGAAATTTAATGAATGCAAAATACCGATCAAGCATTGCCTATTAATGAGTTGCTTATAAATATTTCATATGTTTTCGATGCTTCATTTCTGTGTCCATAAAGTTTATCTAATATTGGCATATTTTATTGAGAGATAACAGTACTCATAGAATATTATAGTGCTTAACCATCTGCTCGCCATTTACAGACGGTAAATATAATATAAACAGGGTTTCTGTTTAGTTGTCTGATGTTCCGCCATGGCAGATACGATTCTGTAAATGCGTGATGCGCGGTTACATAGTAGTTTATATGATAATAAAGAGTTATATTTAGGCAGGAGTTTGTTGCTCTTACTGCGATTGCGAGACAAATGTCACGTTCGATCAAGTTTGCCATTCTCATTTATGTCTGCTACATAGAAGGAAATGTGGACTATGTATAGAATGTCGAGTATAAGTCAGGACGGTTGCTAATGAATTGTTTGTAGTACTGTATCTAAACCAAAACAAGTATGTCGACGATATTTTATGCGTGTACTAAAAGGGCCATTCTTGACTTTGATGCTTATTCATTATAATCGCTATTCACCGCGGCAGCAGCTTCAACCCGGCACCTAAACCACTTACTAATCAATTTCAATTAATTTTTTTTAATCCGCAAAATAAGTTTTTAATGGTAACCGTGGGTCAAATCATATTGATAGGTGTAGGTTTGTTACAATGCGGCTCAAGTACTTCACACGCAGGAAATTATTAGTAAAGTTGAATTTTTAAACTGGAAGTCCCAAAAGTGCTAGGGCTTGAAATGGCCAAAAGGTGTAAAAGGTCCCAAAAAAACTCCACGCTGCAACCCATTTAACAATAGATATTCCTCTCTCTGAAAAGGTCGTTTATGCCTCTATAAAGGGTTTAAGTGTATTGAAAATAGTGTCTTGCGTCACTTTTATACATTTTCGACCCTCTTAAAAATAAGCCAATTGAGAATCTTTCAATGGGCCTCGACTGGACAATTATCTAGATTGTCAATTTCGAAATTATTTTTTTATTTGAATTTATAAATAAATTTGAAATATTAATGAAATTTGTCTCGTGTGAAGACACTGTGCCATCTTTGTTCAAATTCTGAAGGCGATGTACTGTTTTCCACGATGACGAGTTTGTCATTTTGTCCTACAGAAAACTGACTTTCTTCTGTTACCAAAAATGACTGATGAACGCACGGCACGTAAAACAAGCCCCAAAGGTTTGACCAAATTTGAATGCCCTGCTCTGTATATAGACCACAGTGTACTTGCATAATGACAAAAATCGATGTCTTAAGAATCACCTCTCTGTTGATCCTAAAAAACATATACATTTTCTCCTAAAAAGAAATAAAAGAGACATATTTCCTTTTTTGTGTACTTCACACCGACTTGAACGCTTCGAGATAAAAATATTCACTCTTCGACCAACCCTTGGCGAAAACATTTTAACTTTTGGGTTTAAGGAAATTGAAAAAACTTTACTGTAAATGTTTCCTGTTATTCACGCCGGTCATAAAGTATATGTTGTTGAAGAAACACGGACTACCGGTATTTGATTTTGTCAACCAGAGGTTTACCAAATCTATGCGCCAACTAAAAGTAAAAAAATCATCAATAACTAAAGGATCTGAAATCATATATATGCATACTCAAGGATCTTCCTATATTTGAACTTCAAGAGTGCGCAAAAATTTGCAGTAAGAATTTTGATGTCACGGAACCGCATCTCGAAGAAAATTGGTAATTGTACTCGTTCAAGCAACTTCAATAAATTCTCCCCAGCGTTCCTAATGGAAAACAAAGCTAGTAATGTTGTCAATGTATCATTTAGGCTTCTGCTGAAAGAAGCCGTAACTGCACCGCTATAGTGGAGAAAATTAATTTGTCTTCACAGTAACTTAAAGCTCATAGTTTTGCATTAAAATATGCTCTAGTGTTTTGCGTACTTTACATCTTATATATTTTAATCTTCCAAAAATCGTTGCAGAATAGAAAAAGAGCCAGACTAGCTTAACAATAGACCTTTCCATACTAACCGTCACTCGTAATGAGAGTAATAGAATTATTATAACCAACTTTTGTTTTGATTTCAGATCTGTAGCAAAATAAGTCTTCCTTACAATAGTTATTTTGGTATTTCTATCCTAAAGCTAATCCTTATGTGATATTATGGCAAAATGTTTAGTGCTTTCTGCGGCCCTGGAAGGGTTTTTCTAAAGACATTGCTTTCATTATTAAGTTTCGCTTGTTATAAAGGAGCTTGCCATTGAAATGAATACTTTGTCGAAAAAACCACTTAAAGATTTGACTACTTATTACCGAGCTTTTATTATTCCCGTTAAGAAGAGACACGAAAGCATTCTTATGCAGTTTCTTTTAGTTACTTAACAATCTAATAGTTGTTGCTACTGGATCTAATTGACATCGGTTTCAGGAATTGTCAGCGAGTCAAGCCGCATCGACAGGAGCTGGAGATGAGAAACTAGCGCAAACGACGAGTTTGACAAACAAACGAATTGATGCGTACCGTAAAGAATTTAGATTACTTAGTTATTTATTTACGTCAGCAAGAATTTTCTTTAAAATCAATTAACTCGTGCAAAATCGTAGTAATTTAACTACATCAGGATGAGCCAGAAATAAATGCGTTTTGGCAGCGATTCAAGCTAAGCATCCTGAACCGCGAAATATATATCAGTAGACAAATATTAACGATTCAGGCTTACCGTGCGAAGAGATTTCGCGAAAATTCCTATAGCTTCCGTGAGTCAACAAAGTTCTTCTTGTCCAGGACAAACTTTTTTCCGGCATGCCTGACACCGAATGAATTTCTATACCGTGATAATGGTGCATGCTAACAACGCGATTCAGTTTTCTTAGTGATGTCGTATGGTATAACAGACTGTTTTTTTTTTATGAAAGTATGCTTACTTGTGTTGGCTACACACGGCAGATATATACGCAGTATAATATAGCATTAATAAAGTCAAATTAGATTATAGATCATTCGTTTTATGTAGTAAAGATTGCCACATATATTAACATAGTTAACAGACAAATGGAACACAATACTGAAAATATATAATAATATTCAATCGCGAGAATTTATTAATTTCTGGTGTGTTGGTAAGTGCTTCAGATACAGCGACTAAAGGTGTGAGATACAACTGATCTGTATGCATCATAAGATCGCACTGTTAGTAAAGTACTAACTTAGCTATTTGCGAAATACTGTACATTCCGTCGGCTCAATATTGAAGCCTCTTAGAGACACTAGGGGGCGCTGCGCAGCACAATACTTCTAACTAATCCGCACGAAATTGGTTGCACCCATAAAAGCCATTAAGTGTGAAGAAAGGGTGCTAAAATTACCGTGAATTAAGCTATAGGGCTATGGTTGGGCCGTTTAATATATGTTGTACTAGTCTGTGCGACTTCGCCTCTACTTTGTAAAAATGTCTTACCCTATTTTTTAGGATTGTATTATAAGCACTAGTTCATACAGATTTTCCGCATTTCTAGTAAGATCGTCTTAATCGGTGGCTTTTCGGTGGTACGAGAAGAAGAATTGTGATTTATGTATGAAAGGAGCTACACTAGTTAGATGATGGATGATTCTATTAACGTAGTCCATCCAAAGCTAGTACAGGGCTTCCGAACAGTATAATGCCAGCACGGACATGTTCATTCAATGATGCAGCCCGCCAAGGCGCTAGTACAGTACCATTTTTCGGGAGCTTGTTCTGCGCCTGGCCGGTCTCCCACCTTTATTAAAGCGAGGTCTCCATAGCACTGTAATACTTCATCCACATTGGACTTTTGCTTTAAGCGCGGGCTGCTAAGCAAAAAGGCGCTACCTAAGGAATCGTTGCAACTTTGCGTGAGTTAAAGAACGTACGCGATAGGCTCTTTTTAACGATAAGGGAGCTATTTTAGGTTGACTCTTGGCCTCCATTAGGAGAATATACTTTTTGAGGCATTTTCTTGCTTACAAATTGTGATCCGGCACACTGCCTTGAAAGCTTTAGCCAGGAATTTTAGGGTGGGTAGCATTTCTGCAGGTTTGGCAATACAGTCAGGCGCTATTAAACCTTTCCGACTACCTGAGCTATTAAGGTGGGTCGAATCTGATAAAGCCAGATCTTTGTGCGATCGTTCCTAAAGCTGTCTTATGTGCAATCTTTTATGGAATAATTATCTTACACAAGCCATTGTGAGTTTATTCTATATTTAAAGATTGATAGCAATAGTATTCCTTACACGGGAGTTTCAGCCTTACCGAAGTGTATGAGATCCCTTAAAAACTTGACATAGTGGCAAATGATGTCCATTGCGGATGTGTCGATGATCAAGGTTGCTTTGATACAGGTTGAGACAGACTCCGATTTTATAATTTAATCTGCCTTGTTGAGCATACGTTTCTCTGTAGAGCCACATTGTTCTAGAAACCCTGATTGCCACTTAAACAATTTGACCCCTAACTGTTGTAATAATACACCCTATTATAGTTATTACTTTCAATTTACACTCAAAACGGTTCTTTTTTTCAATTGAGCTTTGTCCTCGTTCAAATCAAAAACTTCCTGTCTTCAAACTGCCTCTCTCAAGGACTTCATTCTCTTTTGCACCAAATTTTCTAAAAAGCTTAAATACATGTTATAGTCATGTGATGTATACATTTATTATATTTTTATGTATGTTTTAAAAAGAGCCGTTTTATAATTAAACCAACAAGTAGCTAGCAATACTGATGTTTATATTAGCATTTTGGTATCTTCATGAATCTCCGATGAATTTCTGAAGCATTGTGGCTTTCGAGGCAGAAGAAACGTCGATTTTCAAAACTAAAGGATATTTTTTCGGAACTTTTCAAAACTAAAGGATATCATCTAGACTCATTTCTGTTGTAATAAACTCAGCCGGTTTTCACCTACAAGTTTCTGAAAAAGTAGAGTATACTAGCCAAGTTTCGTCTGTCACTGGTTCGTAGTTCAAAAGTTCAGCTTCAAATTCCATTGGATACCCTTGTAATATATTATACATATATTATTATATGTAATATCCTAGCAATATATTAGTATGTATCAGTGAATTATTATACTTGACAAACACACTCATTCCATAATGTGTCTTTACCAAATATTTTTGCATATAGTTTAACACTTTTTTTTTAACGATCTATATAGAAGCTATATCTGTGATACAATCAATAATTGCCAGTTGGTAGGTTAAAGCAAATCGGCAATATCTATATGACACAAAAATGTACAAAATACTCATTGCATTGTATTACGCGGTTAGAATTCGATATTTAATCGGAGACTGGGATGGTACTGGCGCTAGAACTGAATAAAATCGTAAATGGTGTCAGGAGATTGCAGTGTGTATCTGGAATACTAGTGGACTGGTGCTACCGACCACGACGCGGCTAAAGTGGAGCAGGCTTCTTTCGCAACTAAAACGAAAGGTTGATCGTATCTCTCTTGCAGTCGTCGCGGCAATGACTAACAAAAAACTTTCTCTCAAACCACCCTCTGATAAATTTTAAGATTGCGTGCTCAGAGTACTCCTTAAAGCATTGGGTATTGAAGAGGGAATCTTTGAGGGGTATGTAGATAACATTTCAATAAACATTGAGAATCTAGGATCATTAAAAATGTTAATGTACGAAAAATAATAGTGGAAAAGGACATCTTGCCAGTAGTAGTTTTGGCCGTGCAAACCTACCAGGATGTCGAAGCCCTGTTAAACATTACAACAAGTGGTATACAAGTTCCACCCAGCATTTCAGCTATCAAAAAAATCCACCATGAAAACTGTGGCGACCAAAGATAGGTCTAAATTTTAATGACAATAATGTAAACTCATGGAAAGTAGTTGACATATCTCAAGCGAACCATAGAGCTAGGCAGGTATAAACGAAAGCGAGTTCAGCTGCTGGCGAACAGAGAACCGCGCCTTAACCAGTACGATACAGTGATCAAGTGAAATGTGTCGAAAGTAACTATTGACCGTTTACGATATGAGAAAAAAGAAAAACCTCGCACAATACAGTGATAACATAGGCGCAGCAACGAAAATACCATGGACCATGGGCCTGCGGGAAGCTCTGTGCCAGAGGTGTAGGTTGTAAAGTGTGGAATGGTATAAGCCTGGAAGTTGCCTATCCTTTATATGTTTTATAATAAAAGGAATTTAGGTTTAAATTGTAGTCCTTGAACGCGGTTAGCAGTACCTGCGTTCAACAACTGCGCTGGAAACCAACAACGCAAAGCTGTGTCGTTTCGATAAGTATATCTCACGTATTTGTATGCTTCTGTTCACTCTTCTATGCTTCTTTTCTGTAAACTCCACGGCAACGACCTACGATTGTGTACCGAAATAGATAACACAAAGGGTAAATAATTATTGTTGGAGGTAGTCACTGACATGTAGACTCCAGGACTTCTGATACTTTGTACATTTTAAACGTAGAGAAAATATTCGTTCATGAAATCTTCAGAAGTCTAATGTTAATATATCCTCAATGGAGTTTAGTTCGCATAGGTGGTTGTGCGCATCTCGCATTCATTTTAGCCATTACGATTTTCAATAAACTTTTATTATTTAGGAACCCGACTTTTTTATTAGTTTCACGAGCAGCACGCTTGGCATTAATGAAAGAATATATATAGACCGAACTTGCTTTATCTTTATTAATTATTATTTACATGCTTTTATCTAGAATGTTTAACGAGTCAACAAGTTCATATGGAAACCCATTTCTAATACCAAGGAAAACACATTTTTTTTAGCTATGAGTGTTTATTCGTCATGCTTTCAGCCTCGAAACCCCGCAGGAATACTATCTATGGAGAACTCTGAAGCACGCAAAGCAAGCCACGCCACTGATTATGAGCACACGTCTAGAGCCTCCTACCCCGACGACCTCCTTTCCTACGGCTAGCATCCGAAGGAATGGGCGTCACGTCTTCAATACGACCGATTTTCATATCAGAACGAGCTAATGCGCGGAGAGCGGATTGCGCTCCGGGTCCAGGAGTCTTGGTGCGTGTTCCTGCATGGGAAAATAAATGTTATTGAAATAAACATCTAATAATCGGGCTTCAAAGATTAATACATTTAAAAAAACATTTTGATCACCCACATCTGCATATCCTATATATGCTAACCTAGTATTAGGTCCTACTATTAGTTAACTTATGTTCTGCTATAACTAAAGAATGACCATATTGCAAGCGCCTGTAAATCAATCCATTGAATGACTGAATTTTAATACAATGAAGACGCAATGGATTACTTGAATAATAACTCATAATTTTATCACCGGTTGTTACGATTTGTCGCCCGGTGGTAAAATGTAAGCGAGATTTCAACGTTGATTTACTAATATATGCACCAACAAATACCATTTCCGGTCATTACCGTGCATTACAAACTACACATTTAACATTTGTAATCTAATAACACTGCTGAGTTACGACGTAAAATTAAATATAGTTTCTTAGAGGCTATGAATAGCAATCCCAGAAATAAAATTCTTAGATCCAAGTAAAGCCCTTTATCTTACGACGAAATATTTATTTCCACTTAACCACAACCAGTTTCCTGATATTAGCACGTTATCTAAGGTTCATAATAGAGGGTAGCATTTATATTTATTGTAGTTTTTACATGCTTATATTTAATCCATCTAGAGACATACCTCCGGTGGCACGAAGTTTAATATGTAGAGCTGTGATTCCAACGGCCTTGCACTTCTCAGCTACGTCCTGGGCGGCTAACATAGCCGCATACGGCGATGACTCGTCACGGTCAGCCTTCACTTTCATACCTGTAAATACATAGCAAATAATAACAACAATTGTATTCAGCACAAAACATGTTCGACCTTCATTATACATCACTTGTACGTTTTGTCCAGTTGCTCAGTGTAAGAAGATTTTTATACAGTATTGCAACTGCTGCATGGCTAACCACCGTTAGCAGTTGCTGCACCTACTTTTCCAATTCTGTGTTCATTTCTATTAGTACTGATTTATTAACACACGACGTTGCCGAGATTTTCTAGAAGCACCAATTCTCTAAGAAAATATTTATGGCAAAGCATCAATTATCTCTTTTCTGCACTTGCACTGATCGAAATGCTGAGGGACGTTACGTAGGATTTCGATGATAAGGTCAACTAGCAGGCTAGAATTACTGAAATTTCAATATGGTGTTAGTAATCTTCGATCTGTTTACATCCATTCTAAAATGCACTCACTAATTACTTACATCGAACAGCACATTTTACCTACGTTCTATAGCTTGCCACTCTACCAACCGCAGCGAATCAATAAAAATTGTTAACTAGAGTCGTGTTATCCGTAGCCGTGCGAGTGCAGGTGAGCCGTAAGACTTTTTTCGTTTTTTAGTTGCTTTTCGAATACATACCGCCGGTAACTCTCACGATAGTTTCACGACCCGACAGATCAGTAACATGAACGAAAGTGTCGTTGAACGACGCATAGATGTGAGCCACACCGAACACGTTATTTCCGTCATAAACCTGAAATTTCATCAAAATTAAATATATTAATTGGAAACACGGTCAGAGAACTTTTCGTGGTTATGCATGTTCGAATTTTTTTTCGTAAAGTTACACCTGGTGCCAACCATCGGAAGAACTTCACAAGTCACCACAAATTCACGTATTCCGTAACGGTCTCGGCTCGTACCTGGGGGCCAAGATTGAGCACGGGTGCATCCTGCTGTAACTTTCCCTTCTTAGGGGCCATTTTTTTCACTTTGAAGTCGACTCGACGTCAATCACAAAACGTGGTCACAAGAAAAAGACTTGTCGAAACCGGAAATACAGCCACATTCGCTGTTTAGTACCACAGATATGTTTTGGTGGGCACCTTTGGTCAGGATTTGCTTTATATTTACATTTAGATTTAGTGATTCTATTCAGGTTGTCAAGTATTTGGGAAAAAGCCGTATTTTACCATTTTTACAAGAAAAAATAAATAGGAATTCAAGTGTGGCACGATCGTGGTACCTTCCGTACCGTGTTGTAGTACGTTCCGCCTTGGCTTGGTACCACGTTGTGTCATAAGCGACGCCCAAGAGAACTCGTTGGCTTTGTGGAGTGCAGTTTTATTTTGACAGTGTTTTGCCTTAATTGGTGAAGACTTGAAGCTTCGTGAAGATCCAGTTTTCTTCGCACGGCTCTTCGAGTAAGTTGCTTGCCTTGCTTGTGCGGTGCCGCGAACTCAGCCTCAGGATTGTGCAGGATTTGTGTTTGTCCGGACATTCACTGGCCGTTTATCGTGTGCTGGTTACTTCGTTCGTGACGTAGGAAGACGAAGGCTCAGCCAGCGATTCGACGCGTGACGGCGAACTTCAGTCGGCATATACGAAGTCCGTCAGTCCTCGAGGTGTGCGCAGTTCCCGCAGGAGTTGCAAAGGAGTCCCCCGGGCAGGAGTCTGTGTGGTGAAGAGCGAGAAAGCCGAGAGCCGGCATACGTTTAGCCCTAGCCGACCCTCACTATAGTCCGTCGTTACCACCGCGTGACGTTGTCTTGCCCTGAGTGACGCCATGGCCAACTGCTACGGGTCGCACCCTGGAGATGAGCCTTCCTCTTCCAACCTGATCATCAACTACCTGCCGCAGCGACTCAGCGACCAAGAGTTCCACGACCTCTTTGCCCAAATCGGCCCTATCAAGACTTGTAAAATTGTACGCAATAAGCAGTCTGGTTACAGTTATGGCTTCGGTTTCGTCGATTATCATAATCCGGACGACGCTCAAAAAGCTATCGGCTCTTATAATGGTTACAAGATGGACAACAAGACTCTGAAAGTGGCCATCGCCAAGCCGTCCGACTCTAATCATTCAAAGAACACTAATGTGTATATTCGTGGCGTACCGCGGAATTTCGACCCGGCGGAGCTCGAGGCAATGTTTTCACAATTTGGTCGGCTCGTACAGTTCCGCGTACTTCGCGACATGGCTGCTAACGCCAATAAAGGTGTGGCATTTGCTCTTTATGATGATAAATCGAATGCCGATCGCGCCATTCAAGGCATGAGCGGCAAGACTCTTCAAGGCGGCGTTGAGCCGCTACAGGTGAAAATCGCTGATGATCAAATGAAGCTAAAGAAACACAGAGCCATGACAATGGGTGAGCAAATGGGCGGCCGTGTCGGGGGGCCTATGCACGGTCGGATGGGTGGCCCACCTTTCCATAATTCTTTCCGCCCAAATGTTCGTTTCAACCCTATACACAAGGCCGGACCCGGGAATTACGGTGGCCAAGGTGGCGGATACGGACAGGCTGGCGGTCAGAATGCTGGTAGCTACGATACTCAAAACGGTAGTGGTGGCGGCTTCATTCTTTTTGTGTACAACATTGGCGTGGATACTGATGACAGTTCACTGTTTCACTTATTTGCCCAGTATGGGACGGTTGAGAAAGCCTCCGTGATTCAGGACAAAATGACCATGAAGTCAAAAGGCTATGGTTTTGTCACAATGCAAAACTATTCTGAGGCTGTATGGGCCATCGAACAGTTGAACGGTTTCCATTACGCGGGCAAACCGCTGCAGGTGTCGTTCAAGACTCCCGGCAAAGTCGCTAGTGGTTCGATGGGTGGTGCTATGGGCACCGGAATGACGATGAACCAGGGTGCCGGTATGGGCATGGCTATGGATCAGGGCGGCTATGACAACGGGAATCAGGCTGGTGGTTATGGGACAGCGTACGGGGCTGATGGCGCAAATGGGGGCGCCTACGGCCAACAGGGATACGGCAACAAGAGGCAACAGCAGCAGCAACAACAACAGCAACAACAATACTATTGAAGAGACGGGCAGTTAACAAACACCACGGCAGCAGGACAGCGTGGGGTACCCATCTACAAAACCGTCTATTTTATCAAGGGGGTTCAACAATAGAGTGTATTACTGTATTTGAAGAGGCCGAACGAAAACATCTAACTTAACTCTTCTGTCTTGTATTGGTAAAGTGTGGGCTATTTGTAGTACCCAGCGTATAAACGACTACCACAGCAGGCCAACGTTTAAAGAGGGTGGATTTTTGTTATTGAGACGTTTACCACCAATGTAATTCGTGTTATTATTATTATTATTATCATCATTATTATTGTTACATCTAAGCACTTAAATTAGTGGTATTTTTTTAATTTAAGGCACTCCCAGAATGTATTAGTTTAAGGCAGGGATGTAAAATTAATTTAGTGGTGCTGTTGCTACATTTATTTTATTACCGTCCGTAGAAATTTGAATTCAAACTTTTTTTATTGAAAAATGCCGAAATTATTAATGGGCTCTATTCACCGTTACCACCTCATTCATTATTATCAGTATCTCGGGTACGTAGGATAAGGTAATTCACCGCACTACGTAGACGAGTTGATTTTAATGATTCGTCTATCTACCCTTTTTTTGCCGCGTGTCTCATCAAGTGTTTACGCTTGCAATGTTACCACAACAGTGTCAATTAGTGAAGAGTTAGTTGGGCCGGTTGTAATGGCCAAATCTGCCGCGACTTCAGGAGGAGATATTTCCTCCTATTCATAGAACTAAAACGATATTTCTTTGTGCGTAGTAGTAATTTAAAAAGTGAGCAAAAAGTAACTCGTACATTCGTTTATGATATATTTTTGCGACAATGCTATTGCCATTATTATCTGATGTCAACTATTGCTATTATTATTATTATTATTGATGTAGTAATATTAAACATTAGTATCAATGTACACTGTCTACTATTCATATTTATATGAATTAGGGTTCGCTTGTGGCGCGCTCAATACAAATATACTGATTGATAATAATTATATTAAAGTAATCACAATAATTATAATCATAAAAATATTATTGCTGTACAACTAATAATTATTATTGTTTTTTTGAGTTGTGCGCGCCGCCATGATAGTCGCTTGAACTGCGATTTTGCAGGCAGCAACATCAGCTGATTGCAGCCGCAAACTATGGTCGACAACGCCAATTCCCGAACCCCCACAGATCACGTCCACTTACCTGCCCACAGCTGACCGAGAGCCACTCGCTGATATTTGCGTACCATCGGCGTGACTATATTCTTTATTCATATAATTGTCTCATTTTCGGAAGTTATTTGAATTGATCTACCAGGTTATAGGATGGGTCGAAATTATTTGTGGGGGCCCGATGACATCAATATTAGAGCCTATCCAAGCGTGTGAGCGAAGCAGAGTAAGGCGAAACGATATGATAACAACGGCAGGTGGATATACACGTACAGATGCGTGTGTTCCACATATTTAGTTAGTGGTATCTGTAAACTGTGTTCTTTTATTATTATGATTCCTTTGCATTTTTCACTCTTTCACTATTGATGAACAGAAACAGTAGATTTGCAGCGCCCCTTCTGTTGTTAAGGTCGGAAGGTAGCTTGGCGTTCTCAGCGGAGTGCGCATTTGACAGGAGAAGAACGAATTACGGTTACATTTCTAGATTAACAATAATAATTAACGAGTAAAAAGACAAAACGAAACCCCCTGATGCCTTCCTGACAAACATCGAATTATTTGTATTATTACTGCTCCCTGTGCTGTTTGCCAATGTCACTACCACCTTTAGTCACCGTTGCCAGCGTCATGCTACAATCATAAGTACATCATCAAGACCATCGTCCATCATTTCGATTTGATACGACTTGAGTGTTTGTGTTGATGTTTCGCGGTAGTTTTTTTAATAATGATAACAGTGTTGCTACGGCCGCTGACCTTAGTTGCAGTAAGAGGTGACACCAATGGAAGATCGACATTATTTTATCGTATATGTTCTATTGGTTAAAAAACTATAGTTATGTTCGAAATGTGCGTGGGTGTAGCGTTAGATGGTCAACAAATTTTTGTTGTGCTGAAATAGCGTACTTGCAAGAGAAGTATTACTATTGAGACGGAGAGCATAACTTGATGAAGGCGGCTGCAGCATGAGGACAGAAGGGGCTATGTAGTGGCGGAAAACAACACCGGATCTCTGTCACGATAAACCAACCTCCTTGCTCTGATAGAAATAAGCAAACACATTAGCGTAACAAAAACGCGTGACATTCTTCAAACACTCACTACCCAGTAAAATCACAACTACGAGCTAAAATAAAAACAGGCAATGTACTGTACATTATTATTTTTTGTAGTTTTTATTGTTTATTTATATTATGTATATTTATACCTGCGTGTCCTATTATAAAATTTCTCTTACTGATATACTCAAGCATGTATGTTTGTTATTCCAATACAATTCTTACATTTTATAATTAAATTATACACCACTGCTGTGGATGTACCGCTGGTATTCATCGCACATGTGTTGTTATATAATATACATATAATACTAGAGTGAAAATGGGACGGGTGAGATATACTATATACTAATTTAGTCTTCTCAGTATTTAACGACATTTGTTTTCTTCAGCAGTGGTGTGGTTGATTTGTGTTATGATAATTAGTGTTATAGATGTTATAGTATTAATTGATCAGATTTTGAAACAACTGCCTTAAGATTTAAATTTACAGTTTAACATTGACAATTATTTTCATAGCTCTCAAAGGCTCCTCCGCCCGCAGTTTTTATAGCGCAACGGAGGACTTCACACAACCGCAACACAAAAATAAAGAAACGTGTTGAGGTGTTATTATTACCCGAAGAGAAAAAGAGACGCAGAAAAAGAGAGATAGGGAGAGATAGAGAGAGCGGGTAAAAGTGGAATGAATCGAGAAGGTTCGTTCTTTGAGCATTTACGAACGGTGAGCAATTATTTTTACTCCAAATTATTATAGTACCGCTCTCATTTGTTTCTACATCTGTAGCTATTCGTATTGGTTAGAGATCTCTTAGTATTCAATTAGTATTAATTTAAACTGTGCGTGTTTTTTTTCTATTTGCATATATTTTACATCATTTTTCCCATGGTGCAATTTTACCATTTGAAGTGCCTCTTCTTTATCATATACAGTAACGTATCTTACCACTTCCCCGCTATGTGCAATGGCCTTATTACACCACATCGTACCCTGTTTTTGATACGGCGTATTCTGGTTCTCTGTGAATAATGGTATTTACTATAGCATACATATTACTGTTACGGAGAAGATCGGACGATGAGTTATAAAGAGCTCTCTTATTATATGGCAGCAACCTGATGGTGACGGTGAGCTTTTTATCTTATGTTTTTTCGATTTTTTCTTTATAACAGGTTAGATTGTCTAGATACAATATTTATTTATCAGTATGATGTCGTCAGTTTGTCGGACGCTTGCGCAATGGTATTGGTTCTATATATACCACATCTATTACTATATGCGTGTATTTATAGTTGCGCAACAACAACATAATACGACATCCTGCGTTGTAGTTATTAAATTCTGACAATCTCACCTATTTTACCTTTAATTTTAGCCAAATCTATGCAACAGCGTTCGGTATCGGTTTATTTTCATTTAATTATCAATCAATTGTATTTATCTATTGGCATTCGTTGTTGCCTTTTAAATCGGCTTCAAAGCTTGTTTTCGTTTGGCCTTAAAAAAATGTTGAACGTGTTGTTGTTGTTGTTGTTGTTGATGTTGCCCTCTCTTGTTTATTAGAGAAGTTTTTACGTATTTCCTTATGGGCTCCTACTCATGCTGATAGATGTAAAGTAGCATGTAGAAGATGAAATTTGAATGGCCTGATTGTGGCGAGGTGGCGTAGTGTCGCCATGACAGGATCGACTGTAGAAAAACGATATTTTTTTTTCTCGTCGACTTGCTAAATATTATGTGAACGAATACAACTTCATAAGTTTTATTATTGACGGCATCTCAAATGTTTACACGGAGTTGCCGAGCAACATCACTAATATTTCAAGGACGAGTGTTTTTTTGATGCGATTAAAGCACTTTCATTAATATGTTTAGTAAATTCAAGTATGTTTGAGTGAATTATCGGTTTAATTATTGTTAGTTTGACTTTTTCTGACCATGTATTAGCTCTTTAATAGCTATTGCTGAACACAGTTCTAAAACTAAAATTCCAAAGCCCATGCAAATTTATCTTGATATGTGATGATATGATATAAAACGTCGTAGATATTGCAATACACACATGGCTTGCAGCTCAAAAACTAATCATCAAAACTTAAACAAGCTACTAGCTCACCATTGTTGATTTAATGACGCAGAGCCACCATCAGCCTTTCAGTCATTTTATTAATTACCTAGATATCAATGCGATGAATCAAGCGAAGTCGAATGCGGTGGTGACTCATGATAGCGAGCTACATCAATTTTTTACACGAAGTGATTGCATCAAACAGTGAGCAATTCGATTACTATAATTACACAAATCCTCATAACTGAGCAAGCAAAGCCTAAATGCGGCCATATTAGCTGTCGGTCGTTTATTGATCTACAGAAGGCTGGTTCAGCTTGCGTAGTTTAGCTTAGAGTCGCCTATTGTAACGTATTTTTCATTATAGGTTGTCGGAATCGCTGCAGCGGAACTACAGAAACCAGTGTGCATTACTAAGTGATCTCGGTTGGCCAAAACAACCAATATCTGCAGGAAGAGTGACAACGGTTAGCGTTTGCAGCAGTTACTTCAGTGCCCCTCGGCTCAGATCCTCCGTCGCCGCTTGCAAAAATGATGGAAGAACTGCAGACGCTCATGTGTCAGGAGATTCCTGAAGGACGCCAAAGTATTAAAGATTCCCATACTAACTTAGAAAAAGTGGCTGAATATTGTGAAGCTAACTACTTCCAGGCTGAGAACAAGACCCAAGCTCTGGAAGAAAGTAAAAAGTAAGTAAAGCTTTTCTATTTGACAAAACTATAAAAAGCTCTAAAGAAATTAAGGGAATTCACCACGGCGCTAATAGATGTCATTGAGTCGAAAAAAACGCTTATTATAATTTCGTTCTACCTTGCATAATTATTTAATATATCAAGGAATTAATTATATTTCGACGAAACCTCTTGTACGGAAAGTAGCATGATGAAGGCATTACATCGATTAAATAAAAAAAATGATAAAATTATTAACCTGCCTAACGTTGGGACGAATGGAATTATTTAATGTGGAATTTAAGTGAATAATTTACACTGTAACCTCCAACTTACCACTGAGTAAGATAAATTTCTAAGGCGACGTTTGTATATTGTACACGATGGGACAAAAGTAGACTTAAGTTAAGCTAGGCACAATACTTTAGTTAAAAAAAAAAAGGTTCACTTTAGGGGCAAAAACATGCATTTCAGCCATAAGCCTATTTTCCTGAAATTGGAGCCATGTGTCTGTATATTTTCAACCTTATCTTCTGCACAGATCTTTACGTTTATCCCAATTATAAGCCCACTTTTGTGCCCCCTCCCTTAACGTTTGCATAATTGGTTTTATATTCACGTTCCTTTTACTCCATTGAGCAGGTATACAACACAATCACTTGCTTCCGTAGCATACCAAATTAACACTCTTGCCTTCAATCTTCTGCATCTATTAGATCTACAGACCGCGCAACTGGCCTCTGTAGAGTCACAGGTACGGATTTCTAGATACGGTTTCATTGGGAATGTTATTAGCATACCCTTAACTTGACAGCAATTATAGTAAACCTGAAGCATGTTGAATAGGTTCTGTTGCTTGAGCCTAAAATTAATATTGCTCCGCCTTGAATAATATAATACTTATATATAACTGTGTGGCAAATATGTGATAATCTCTCTTTTGTTCTTACAGGTCAACCATATTGCACAAACCGTATCTATTCATAAGGAAAAAGTAGCTCGGAGGGAAATTGGCGTCCTTACAACAAACAAAAACACAATTCGCCAGCACAAAATTTTGGCACCTGCCAACCAGGAGAAACAAGTCAAATACGTACGGAAGCCAATCGATTATTCAGCACTAGATGGCGTTGGACATGCCGCCCGTATTGTGCCCCAAACCCATGGCCACCCACAGAGCCAGAGTATACACGGTGTTGTTAACTATAGTCAAACAGCACCTCGAGCGCGCCGAAGCTCTTCTTCAAGTGGGCAAGGACCAGCGGGGCCTGCGCCCACCCAAAAGCCACCCACACCACCGGGGCAACAAATGGGAGCCGGGGGAATGAGTATGGGCGGTGGCGGTGGAACTTTACGAAGGAGTGAATATCGTTCTACGCCCCCGATTGCGCCACCTCAGCTGCCTAATAATTATGCGCCAAATTATCCCATGGGGTCGGCAATGATGGGACCCAATTCAATAATCAGTACTAGTGGTGGACCCAGAAGAAGTGCTTCGAATTGCAGCACCTTGCCACATCCTCAGGTTGCCGCTGGGCATGGAGTAACTCGTAGTGAATACCTGATTCAGCAGCAACAGTTACATCAACAACAAATGATGAGTCACTATCGCCAAGGGATGATGGTACCAGTTTCTTCTGCTGGAGGAACAGCAGCTGTTCAACATCATCCGGTAAGCGATGCTTGACTGTTAAAACAACAAGGTAACGGCTGTGCATGTAACTTCATAGTATATGCATTTTAGGGCGCGTGCTTCCCATAATAAACTGCTAGATTTTATTCACTTCCTGACGTAAAAACTATTGGGCTTGTTAATGTAAATCAGTTGTTTAATATAGTTTTAATCGTATATAGAAAAGTATAGACGAACGTTGTGGAGATCAACGCTACACGGGACAACTTGGCACGACTTGGATTTCTAAAAAAAAAGTCGAAAACAGTACACAAAAAAAAACATATTTCATGATACATTTACCTTTTGTTGGATAAGACACAACTGGAATTTAAAAATACTCTAAACCTGCACGACCGCATCTCTGTATTTTGAGATAAGAGTTAACTAGTACCATAAATTGTTTTGGTTTTTTTACAAATGTGAAATCTGTAAAGGGACTTTTGCTTAGAAGTTAAAGAGAAAATCAGTGTATAACATAGGTTCTATATTATAACATAGAAAGATTTTATAGCTCGGTCATCTGCACGTTCATTTTGAAATACAATACATTTTAGTTGGAGTGGCGGACTTCGAACTAAAAAAGCCGAACTAGAGTAACACGTCCTTAAGTAGTTATTATTGGCTACATTATAATTACTATGCATTTATCGAAGCTTTTGTTCAAAGTGAGTGAACACAGTTTATCCAATAATAGTACCTTCCTCTTGAATTAAAACATGCAGAATCAATTAGCGCCTGCCAGACTTATCTTTAACTGCCAGAAATACATAAACCTAATTCTACTTCTGACAAAACCTTACACCAGAAGCTTTTATTGTCAACTTTTAAACGAGAGCTTTTCTCCAAAGGAAAATAGGCCTCGCCTCAAAAGGTCAAAGTACGGTCGTACCAGTTTAAATATTATAAAAAATCGTCTCATACCAAGCAAAGAAAAAACGGGAAAGGGCTGTAATGTTCTCTCCATAAATGAAGTACAAACCCGTGCGATATCACTAATTACCACAGACAATAAGATATCATCCAAAAAATCTACAAAACGTGCCTATTTCTACATTCCAGGATTCTCAACATATGATGGGTACACATGCAATGGGTCTAGGACATGGCGCAGGTGTTCACTATAGCAGTAATCATGGGCATGCTATCCCCGGCGGGCCCACTACACAGATAGGCTCTTCTCAACGGGCCGAAGCTCTTCCCGCCCCACCGGCAAACATGATGGCCCCTGCGGGCTCTAGTCCTGCGCCACCTCCTCCTGTTTCTTCTTCCAATGGTCCTACAACCAGCGTGACTGGGAACATGCCGCCACCTCCGCCGCCTCCCGGAGGAAATATATCGCCGCCGTTGCCTCCTCCCCCTGAGGAATTATCATCACCACCTACAGCCGCATCGAACGCTAGTAGTGGCACTACTGGCGATCCTACTGGCCAACGCGGCTCCAGCTCAAGTGGTGAACCAGCGTGGGCACCGGCAAATTACCTTGAGAAAGTTGTAGCTATTTATGACTATCAGGCTGATAAAGCAGATGAGTTAAGCTTTGCCGAAAACGCTCTTATTTACGTTATTAAGAAGAATGATGATGGCTGGTACGAGGGAGTCATGGATGGTGTTCAGGGGCTCTTTCCAGGAAACTATGTTGAGCCATGCATGTAAAGAGAGCCTGTAGACCGAACCGTATAAACTTTCGGGGAATGAAAGAAGTCTAGTCTTCAGTTGAAAGAATTTCGTTCAGTTTAAATTGCTGTTGAGTACCGAGTGTCTTTTACTAGGCTGACATTTGCTGAACACGAATCGTTTCAGAATAACTACTTGATCGGCGTGGACTAGTCCAACGCAATTCAAGGTTATGGCGCACAAACATGATTGGTTTTGGAATTGCCTGAAGTTGTGCAATTTCGGTGTGCAAGCCCACTTAAACTACTTAAAATCGAGTATATGTATATGACACAGGTTTTTCGTATTCAAATGTTGGAATAAAGTAGTGAGTATGTTACGATGTAAAGAATGATTCTTTACTATTTTCTAAATCGTTAAAAAATGTGTGGATTAAAAACCTGATTATTTTCGAAAAGGGATTCTCAAATATCATGCTTTTTTTCGCAGCTTCCTTGTTCTGTATCAGGCTAATTAAAGTCGTAATACTAAAATAGAACTAAGTGTTAAAGTATAATCGGAACTGAATATTATTTCTTCCATTCAATTACTTCACGCGTATTCATGAGATATGTTTAAATGTACCAGATATATAAAGGAGAACGCAACTAAATGAAACTTTTGGAAACGTAAAAGCAAAACCAGACCTCTGAGTAGATATGAAGCCAACAAGACCTCGACTATATATTAAATATTATTGCTAAATATTGCCCCTTAAATGCTTAACATCTGCAGATCAGATGGAAATACAAAAATAGAATAGGGATATAAGTAGGATAGATAGATCACTAATCGAGAAGTAAGAGTGATAATTACAAGAGAAAGTAAGAATCTGATATGTATATAAATCTATCATCATTAATTTATGCTAATTTAATGAATATAGTAAAGTTCTTCGTTGTAAAAAGTGTCTCCAAATAGTCTAGAACCACAGATATGAAATTAATGCCGAAAGCCACCATGCACCGCATTAGTGTCATTGTCGTTAAGTTAAAAAAAATGGGTGAGTTATTGTCACTATTGTAACATCTTATTACAAGGGAGTTGATAAATGATTATATAAAAGGAATAAATCTATGTTTGTTATTTTAATCACAAAGGAAGGACCACGATATGCCAAGCCAATATCAAATGAATGTGCAAGAAACTCTAAACTGTAAGAATGGCCTCAAATTGTCTCGAACCGAGACAACGTGGTCTACAAAATGAGTGAACCTGAAAATGATGAATGATAAAACCTCGGATTAAGATGTCCGATCAACCCGTAAAAAACGATCAACGCTTTTCGGAGTTTTGCGATTATTCTCTCCCAGTTAATTACAATAACTAATTTCGATATCATTTGAGTAAATGATAACTTTGATGTTTTGATAAATTACGTCTTTGAATAAGCTTATATACATTTGTGAAAGTTATTTCTACCGATAATCACTAGCACGCCTATATATCAGCAGCTGTTGCTTGATCTCGGTGACCGAGCGGATACTTAGGTGCACTGAAGTTACAGGCAAATTCTCATTTTAGATTATATATATATGTACTTATTTTCACGCTACAAATATTTCCATTAACGCATAAACATCTGATGCCAAAGTCTTCTTTGACTCAGCTTTAAAATTACATTTCTTCTGAAATATACAGCTAGAAGCATGCTTTGGGTAATGATGTATTTTTTAGCAAACCTTCGGACATAGACCCTAAAAACACCACCTCTCTGAACTAATCTCACTCAATTCTTCTCCCGGGGGTATTACCTGAGAAATCGTCTAAAAAATAAGGGAAGGTTAAGTATGTGAAAATTACAGTCGCGTTAGGCACTAGATAGGATAAAGCGATCCTTGTTAAACAAGTCAACATTCTGCCGAATAGTGTAACTGATATACAATTTTTTTTTTTCGCTGCATGCTAAAAACGAAACTGCTTCTGTATGAAGCTTGTGAACAACCAATGCTTGTTCTGGGTGTTACGCAAGACCTGTGTGTCAAGATTTCATAATCGTAATTGGTGGAAGTACTCGTTAGCGTGGAGTTCCAAGGTCAGGTAGGTGATCTTCATCGCTTAGCTGTCGTATGTTTATCAAACGTTTAACTGTAAAAACAGATCGTAAGGGGCGAAATAATACTGATGATCGATGTCAGATACAAGCTAAATAATACGTTCGATTACGATCTATTCAGTCGTAAATGTAATTTGAGTTACAGTAACATGGATCGTTGACTTCCGTGCCTCTGAATTACATCCGTAGGCGTCGTTGTTAGGCAAATATCAATAACGACGCATGTTGCCCAAATGAAAGGTGTATTCTAGAAATTAGATAAAAACATAGATAATACCGTTGTGAACACTAATGCCTCGACCGCACGATTCAGTTCTCATCTTAGCTTCTCAAGTGATATGACGACAAATATTTAATTTTAACACAATGTAATTCTTAGTTTTTTTTCCGTTTCCTACGTTTTGGTTTATTAATTATTATCACTTCAAATGAAGTTCTCCACAATGGTATCAGCGAAAACCTTATTTCTATAAGGTTTTCAAGTAGCTCATGGAGAAAGATGAACATAAGTCCATTAAAGAAAGCGAATATTTTTTATAAGTTTATTTTTGCCTTCGCTTCCTAAACATAACATCAAACGAGACATATCAGAGTAGCAATATGTTTTTGCATTTGTTGGCTTTAACATCTTCATTTAGCAGTAATAGAAAAACAATTCGACGAACTTGCCAACATTATAGATACCGTATTATAGATACTGTTATGATCACCAACTCTTACGTTATTTAGCTCTTAATAACTGATTATGATATTCAAATTTTGTCAACTTAATTGTTTATATATCGAAAAAAACGTATTATTATATAAATTGTAACACTCACTAAATAGACTATATGAAATAAAATGGCTTCTTGTTCTCTGGGCATTTCAGACCGATGTTAAAAGTGCTCAAATATAGCTTATTATCTTCAGCAACGTTCCCTTTCCACTGGCTGGCCTTGGCCTTCATTTTGCTCTTCGTCAATGTTTCAGCCGTGGCAATTCACCATCAGCTAATTTTAGCTTCTTGACCGCAACTTGCGTAGTCCCTGCTGCCACTGCCTCGGCAGCTACTTTCGAACGCGTTTGCCTGTGGTTAGTGATCGAAAAGGTCAACATCCTGTTGGTTATTTCGACGCCATAGGCGACCATTAGCGATATCAAAGGCTAGTTCGAAGAAAGTTTCACTCTTTCTTTCTTTGGATTTTCTTTCTTCATAATAGTCGACACACAAATATGCCTTTTCGTATTGACGCAGTCTTACGTAGGACTTTCAAACACCACTCACCACTATGGTGAAGGTTCTTCAATCAGATGTCAGTAGTACCGATATTAGTAAACGCCAGTGCATTAGCTTCCCCATCCATCCGACTGTCGGGCGTGCTGCGGGGGACGTGCGCGCGGCTATAGCGAGCAGCTCGTGCGTCAATCGGCCTTCGCTCTGCTTCACCAGGTGAAGCGGACTTGTGCGTGCTTTGACTGATAATAGGCACGAACCAATGTCGGCGTTGGCGTCTCCTTGTATTTTTGTTATACTCTAGTAACTTATTTGTAGTAGCAGCCTTTGGGTACAGCTCCTCAGCTAGTGTTCAACTCAGCTAGGATAATCCGAAGTGTAAAGTTTTATCTTCCTTTTCCAGTAGGTTTTGTGTAATGGAGCATATTGTTATAAACGTAAGTGTAACGATTTATGAGTTTTACCTTTATTATTTATTTACTGCATGATTTCGCTTTTAATTTTTTAAAACGATAAAATAATAGTTAAATCGAAGCAATAGTGGCACATACATGTTGCAAGCTATTCGAAATTCATAGAGCACTGGCAAAATACACTCAGGACTGTTAAATTATACTGTAATCAACGGAAAAAATAAACTGTGTATTCATTTCATGTTCATTGCACTTCCCGAGCACAATAATGAAATCAGTTTTCAATTATCTCCCAAAGAAAATACTTGGTATTTTTTGCGGACTATAGTTTTGGCACTATTTAATGTATAGCAACGTCAGCAAACATACAACGCAACGTCAAAAGACAACAAGATACCCAAGAACCACCTCGACCTAATCTAACGTATTTGACGATAGCTTACCACTCAGTTCTTTTTTTTATTATGTATAGACTTAGTCATGTATATTTTGAAACAAATGCAAAAAAGAGAAAAACCCGCAGTAGACTATCCTACACGAGGTCAAAGTTTGGTTTAAGTCGCCGCAATCGTTGCAACAGTTTATCGGAAGTTTAATATTTCCGAAGGTTATTCCCTTGGGTATTTTCACCTTATATCTAACATTGAGATTTTTGTGCTGCAGAAGTTTGTCCGTCTGTTTGTGTGGAGGATGGAGTCTTTCTCGGTAAAATACTTTTTCCCTTTTTGCTTGTCACCATAGAGCGTAATGTGAATTTTGGTGGTCGTAAGCTGACAACAGCAACTTTAATTTTCCATACTTAGAAACCACGCTAGCGTTCACAAGAGAGTAACCGGCATCGTCTTCGCGGATGCATCATCAGATGAACAGTTGTATATTTTTGCGCGTGATAGGCGTGCATAGCATGTCTTTAATAACAACAGCGCGAAGCAAAGTTTGCGGGTTGCGCTGTAGTAATATTGTATAAGTGCATGACCGGGTATTAATATTTGCTTGCCTCAACAGCGCAGAAATTGTTTCTGTTTCATTGTTGAAACGCAATCATTGTCGACTTCAAAAATAAGTTGTACCAAAAACGGAACTAGAAAAGGAAATTAAAAGCTGAAAAGAAAATTATCACCGGAAACGTAAAGCATATTGACTCAGCACTATTCCACTTTCCTGAGCATCCTGTATCTATTACAACATAAACACTACTTAAGTTGTATGTGATTTACGTTATGGTACTAGTAATTGTTCATTAGTTCAGAGTTGCATCTTTTTGAACCATTTTTCATTTTAAACTACTTTTTTAAGTATGATTTAGATGTATTCTCCCTCATTTTTTACATAATTTTACTCATTTTATTCATTTATCACTTTACAAATTGCTCTTCCATTTGCTTTATCTTTCTTACGTGTATTGTGTTGCCTTTCTGATTAAATAGATTTCTGCATATTGGCTTTTTTAATGTATAAAAATACATATTGATTCAGAAAGCCTAATAACATGGGTTTTCATCCAAAGCATTACGGAATAAAACCTATTGACACTGTGGCACTCATCCTAGAATATACTTCCAGAGATTTCAATGAGCTCTCATACCATTACTAACAAGCTATGCCGGATGCCTTGGCTAATCGTGTCCCTTTAATGACTTCAGTTAAAATTTAGTAATTAATTTCCTGGAAAGTTCGCTTTTCAGCTAAGTTCGTCTCAGTGCCGGACTGGTTTATATGAGGTCCATTAGTAACGAAACGGGACAGTAGATATATTTGCTGATTATAATTTTGTAAATTGAACGCCGCCCAAATATGGCTTATCAACGTAATGTATTTCGAAGTCCGAAGATGTACAACTTTGAGCGAGATGATCTAATAGATGCAGGTCAGAGAGCACTGATAAAGGGGCCTTGGTTACTTCAATTGAATATTGAAATTGTCTGTATGAGGACACAGACTAAACTAATAATACTAGAGGTCTGCAAGTGAACAAATGTGTGTGATTAAGCAATTGAAATTATAAATGTGGCTTTATTTTTGCGCTGATGCAGCCTTGATGAACAGTAGGTTGCATAATTATGGTGCTGTAATTTTTTTCTCCTTCCCTGGTACTCTACGATAACGCTACACTTTAGCATCGTATGGTGTCTTGGTATGTGAGAAGCCTAAGCGGAGCCCGTTGACTTGCCTCATCTCTTACGAGACTATGCTCTAAGTTGAACCTTTGCTTTGAACTGAGTACATAATATCTATTAGACTCCTTAATTAAGAGTATATGTTAAAAGTAAAAAATGTTATATTAATATTTAGCTTCCTCAGTTTAACATCAATGGAAGAATGTAAGATTTGATGTCTTAAGAATAGAATTTCGGTTGCGATGAAGTATGGGTTTACATAATTCTAAAGTTAGCATAACTTTAGAATTATGTAAGCAGAGTTTACAGAAGTTTACTACAGAAGTTAGGATAGCATAACATAAGGTAGCATGACTACCAACGGGATCAAACAGTCATTTATTACTATGAATCAATTAATACTATGAAAGATCGATATTTTCGGTAGCATTGGGCTAGTAGTGTTTTCCATTTCAATTTTTGTTTAATTCACGACGTACGTTAATGATGACCTGTTTTGCTTACGTGGGATCTCCTCTTGTTTTGACAGTATATTTGGCAGGAAATATATACAAGTTACATAGACGTTGGTATATCGATAAAAAAAAAGTGGTAATTTTTGCGCTAGTATTACAAAGTTGAAAGAATTAAACAGCGATGTTTGTGAAAAAATTTCTTTAAACATGTTTTATTGATAGCATACAAAAATGTGTGGGGTTCACTCTTCGTCTGCAGGCACTTTCATGCCAACTTGTTCAATCGCACTTCATAGTATGGACTACAACAAACAAAATAAATGCTAATAGCTAAAACAATAATCTCTTAGAACAAGCGCGTAAACCTATTATTTGTTTGGTAATGTCTTTCAAGCAAATAATTATTGACCCATTTAGTAAATAATTATTGCGTTTTTCAAAGGTTGTCAATTGCAGTCTCACTTTATAGCTTTAGGTGTTTAACATCATTCAGATTTTGCCTTTATCCAATAAGAGCTTGGTTATAGAGTAAACATGAAAGCATGCTTGTGATCTGGATTATAAGTCGGGCGCGTACTATCTATTCAATCGTGCTGAAGAACAGCGCTTTGAAGTGGTGCTTAACGGCATCACAGACATAAAACGTTTATATTTTATAGAAAGAGTAGATTCCTATTACATTTCTTGATACTTTTTATTTACTTGGCCTTAATGACCACCGACACAGACTGCTCTTAATTGCTTAAAAATGATTCGATCTAGCATATTACATAGCATAATACAAATACTAAGCGACGCGCATTCTTAATTAAATCCAATTTTTCATTGCTTTACTGCTATGAACATGATAGTTTACCGCGCTGGCGTTTCCGACTCCCTAGCTGCTTTCCTCAGCCTTATTTCTAGAAGTGTATTCAGATTGATGACTGGTTATTTAGCTTCGGTAAACTCAACGTGTGATTGAAAGACGAATGATACAAACGACGACAAAATACTAATTTACATATAAGCTATCTTAATCGATTTTTTTCGAAAATTTTTTACGTCATCTTTTTGATACAGGACAACCTTCATTGGCCATGGACAGTATTCCCTTCCTTGGATCCTCGTCTTAAAGGCTATCCTTTTGTGGGAAACTTCTGGCTAATGACAGGAATTGTCGCCGCTTACGTCTACTTTGTAAAGGTACGCCACCATATAAATATAATTGAAAATGACTTAATAAATCATTATTCGTAATTGTCATTTTATTCAGTAATGAATTACGCTGTTCGAAGCAAAAATGAGTATCTATACAGTTAATAAGTCATTTGGCTCGACCAAAGTGTAGATTATGAATACACATGGAGATTTGGCACTCTTATAGGTGATTAGTTTTTCAACTTTAAAGGATTATTTTAAAATATCTCGTTTTGAAAAATATCAAATAAATACACAGTTATTTTACTCGATGCTCTCCGAAGGTCAACTGTGCCGAGAAAGTATTGCCTTGGTTGTGAAGAGTTGCAACATGTCTTTCTTCTACACGATCAGTATATTGCTGGAATTCGAGAAGTAAACAATCTTTCGATTCCAATGCCCGGTAATATTACAATCGTGTTTGCAATATAGAGCGGCACGACTTTAAAGATACTAGTTCTGTCCAGTAAAAGGAAGTTTTGCACAATATTCTTTATTCATCAGCGATAGAATAATTGCAACGTGTTGAAAAAGTTGCACCACAAAACACTTTTGCCCTACACAACAGATAGAAAACTGTAGTAGTTTTGTGTTATTAGTATTATATATACACTATTGAGTCTTACTAACGTATCTAAACGGTAAACATTCCTTTGTTTGTAGGTAGCAGGCCCTCGATGGATGGCGTCGCGAGAGCCGTTTCAAATTACAGGACTCATTAAGGTCTATAACTTTGTAAACATATTTGTGAACTTTTTCTTTACGGTTCAGTTCGGCAGGTAAGCTGATCGAAACCGCCATCATCAGAACCAAAAACGTGTTGAGTAAGACTAAAAATATAGGATATTATTACTAGATTAATCGATTCAAGCAGTAGTCAAGTGTGCCTTATACTGCTACCCTAATAAGATATTTTGGAATTCAATGAAGTAAACCAAAGTTTGCGAAGAAAATATTTGAAGCAGCGTAAAGCAGATTTTTAATCTGTCCATGCAGTTCACCCTGTTTCACCCGTAGTCAACAGCTGATGCTAGCGATATGGCCAAAATTTATCCAATTAGCAAACTACCACATACGGGTATTTGAATGCGTCCCCTAAATGCATGCTGTTTACATGAAAAACCCTTCAGTAGACACGCTAATCAATAAACGGAATTACCATCAGAAGATCAAAGTGTGTTCGATGATGCAGCTGTTTAGTAGAACTAAATTAACTGCTATTTAGATTATTTATCATACCCATATTTACACATTTCTCCATAAATATAAATTGACTGGCAGCAAAGGAAAAGCTCAGGTTTCTTTTTCATCAAAGGGCAGCCAAATCTATAAAATAAAATTTAAGCGATAATTTAGAGTATAAAAAGATAGTTAACAATTGTAAATATACGTGTGCTAATTTGTCAATTCTGGACCACATGGTCTGCAGGTACAGCTATTTCGGAGGAGGCTACTCTTGGTTTTGCCAAAAGATGGATCACTCCCGTGACGCTAATTCTATAATGCTGGTTAACCTTGGCTATTTCTACTGCATCGTACGTGTAATTGATTTCTTAGATACAGTCTTTTTCGTACTGCGAAAGAAATTCAGTCAAGTAAGTGTAGTCAGAAAATGACTCATTATCAGATTTACGGTTCTTTTCCGACAGATTTACAAATAACGGAGCCCTTTTGCGATTGTAGTGATAATATCAGGACTGAGTATTTTTTGTTGCATACGTCATTCGCTAAATCATATAAGTAAATAACTAAAATCCTCATTGTTTTGCAAAACTTTTTTTAATGACTCAATTTGTCCTTTGTATAAATAAATTGTCATTCAATATTTATATATTTTACCAGTAGCTGTGTTCATGATTATAATTTGTTTATTTAACTTCAGATAACCACACTCCATTACACTCACCACGCGCTTGTGGCTTGGTCTGGATGGCTTTTCGTCTCTGTAGGATGTGACGGTCAGGTATGTACCAGTGCGTTGATATAATAGAAACACACAGAGTAGATGTAAAGTTGTTTAAAATGCGTCAATAAATAGAAAAGTATGCGTACAAACTTGCAATTAAAAAACATTTCATATGCCATATAATAGACATTACATAATTTCTGTGAAATAGTCATTTTAATGCGTAGCTTATATAATATGCAATATATAAGGCCACACATTGGTACATACAACATTGATTTGCTTTTTGTATATGCGCTGTACGGCGTTTTTCGATTCTGGCTTCTTAAAGTATATCATATGAAATGGAAATTCATCAGCCTAAACTAAGCTTTGTGGTTTGGAATCTCCATGGTGCTGCAATAAAAAGAAAAGTATAGGCCATTCAAAAAGTAAACAGTCATGAAAGAAATGGAAAAATCATGATGGAATTAAATAAAATATTTACCCACGAAGGCGATTTACGTCTATTATTACCTACATCATATATTTACTCATGGAGGTTCAAATTGATAATTAATAAAATTCATCTTTTTCTATTTGTTTTCATGATATGATAGGTCGTACTTGGTATTATGGTAAACTCAGCGATCCACGTTCTTATGTATACTTATTACTTTTTGGCTGCGTGTGGACCCATTGTGCGTCGTCATCTCTGGTGGAAGCGTTACATCACGCGAATTCAAATCACGCAGTTTGTTTGCCTTTTAATTCACATAATGATTCCTGTCTTCTATGACTGCGGATACCCCAGAGGTCAGTATAGAATATAACATTAGTATTTTTGTTTTGATTATACATAGGTATTTGTAATATCGCAGAGACGAGTTGACCTTTACGAAAAAAAAACGCTACGCATACATATCTTATTATTATCATCTGAAGGGACTTCAGTAAGAAGATGTTGTTCCAAGAAAAAAGATAGTCTTTTACTGGAGTCCCTTAAGATGATAATAATAAGATATGTATGCGTAACGTTTTTCCGTAAAGTTTAACTCCGCTCTATGATATTACAAACACCATAAGTGTTTTAGTAATATCTTTAGCTTGTAAACAAAAAAATATAATAAAGTGGTTTTTAAAGAGAATCAACTAACCAGCGGTCATATCAGCCTTGGTATACATATTGATTTACAAGTATTGCTTTTAATTTTCGTGGCATATGACGTGCTTAATAAGCTATAAACATATATATGTATATATATATATATATATATATTAATAATCACATTGATGTGGACGAGTCTACAGAGTACATCAGAGTCTTCTAATATCCTGAGTCGCTTTATTGAGCTATGTTAAAAAATGCTTGAACTGAATTAAAGTTGATACATACTTTTTAGGTCTTCTGTTATGGGCGTTTGCGCAAGGAACATTTGGCCTTGTCCTATTCATCAATTTTTACGTCAAATCGTATATTTCACGCCAGGTAAGTCATATCCACAGTAGAGTACTTACAATGAAACATAAAAGGATTATACCCCAAACTAATATTAGATATGAAACTTTTCCTGCTTTATTACCGAATAAAAAACAACACATTTTTCTTTGCTTTGAGGATAAGGTATTGCGTTATGTTTTTAAATCTTGATGCATGTCCAACCCAAGACCATGAAAGTAATTGCTCAATAAACAGAAAAAGTGAAAATCCGTAAGGTCCAGAGTATATGGAGACTGTCATAAAACTTCCCATTGAGAGTTCAGGGTGACAGCCTCGACGATCTTTGTTGTAAACGGCCTCGCGTTGTCATGGGATAGCGCGACCTAATATTGCTTATCTTTCTTATATAGCTGTTTTCTTAATTACTAGGGTTGATTTGAGGTCAAACAAACGTGCTATTAACTGTCTGATTTATAGGAATCGATTCCCAGTAAATCAAACGTTCGCAATCACACCAACCGTAAATCATAACCTTTTCTGTAAGGGGATCTAATCGGATCCTGGGTCCTGGCCTTTCTCCCAAAACCACTCACTTTCTAGTTCGCGTCGAAGTATAGACACCACTTCGTGTCCCCGATGACAATTCTGTGCAAAAGTCAGTCATTATAGCCATGTGAGGTACGCTCTTGAGTAGCCTCTTTAGCGATAGCCTTACCCTATGCAAGGTAAACGGCTGTTCTATTGGCGTCTCAGTCTCTAGGAAATGTTGTAGTTTGTTTATAGAGCAAAAAAAGGTGTTTGCAAACAGTAGATCGGATGTGCAAATAGGCAAGAGGAAATAGGAAAAATATTTCTTCTTTAATAAGCGCAGGAATTTTCTTTCAAAACTAATGGAATAAAGATTATACATAGAAAAACATAACATAAAAAAACATGGTTGTGGTTGTTGCTATATTTTCATATTATGACTACCTTTTGATTACCTTATTGGTTTTGCAGACCGTTCAGGATAATAACAAACGCGTAGTTATCAATAATGAGTTATAACAAAACCGTGATTACTAAAAGTAAGGCTTGTAGGCCATGTCAAATAGATTATATTTTCGTCGCTCTCGTTTATTACCAACTCCATGTACGAGATACTACACAAAATATTGGAAAAGTATATTATTAAAGCGGTATGGTAGAGCATGTATATTTGACAACCGTATTGAAGTCAATTACACGGAGTAACTTCGTGCCACACCGAAAACACTGTATGGTTTCTTCTTATGATTAAATTGGATTAATACTGTCTACGTGATAACTTCAAAAGAGAATATGTTCAATTTTTTCAGAGCATCGACAAGACCTACGGGCCAGCATTAAAATCTGCTACTAAATCATTACTTACGAACAACGACGAGGAAAAACCAAATCGGGCATATTCAAAAAGGGCTTAGAGATGACACCGTGCAATGATCCTTTAAATAAGCTAATGATAAATTATTTTCAAATTTATTATTGGAAAGAGTTCAATGATGTACAGAGCCATTTTCACGATGTTACATGAAGCTGCCAAATATTTGGTCAAATTTTAATATACTTAGTTAACGTTCGGTTGTTATGTATAGTGTAAACACCAAAAAAGAATTTACCAAGAATGTACATAGATATATACACATATTTGGGCGGGACCCACAAGGTTGTTTTCATGTTTCTTAGCGGTATTGATTTATGAGTATCGATGTGGCATATATAATAATACATTGTATTAGCTATAAAAAAGCACAATTAGTTTTTTTGACTAAAACGTAAATTATATTGATAGGTGATCCATTAGCCTTCTTCCTTTCCCTATAAAATTTCATACACAAATTGGGATATTTCCGAATATAATGCCTTGCCTTTAAGAGACAAAATTGGTGTTGAGTTCCCGTATAAAAGGGCAATAGTACTTTGAACATGAACAAACTAGAGTTTTAATAAAACGCTAGCTACGAGCATCATGGAAATGGAAACGATCTTAAACTCGCAAACAGTTTGGGAGGATACGCAACTGGTGCAAAATAAATAATGTTATGCCGCCCTGAAGTTTGACTACTTATAATGAAAACATCATTTCTTCATGTAATGAGATTGTTCAAGGGTCCCAATCAGTGCGCAACTTCATTCGGCCTGTGCAATAACGTATTGTCCTATACACGTTGAAATCGGTGGAGCATCTGGGTAAGTTTTTTTTTTGTTGCAGATGAAGGTTTCTCAGACCTGTCATTTGCGATTTGTCAGAACGCTCTCATCGGGTAAGCTAAACTTTGTTAGTAGCGTTGCAGCAGTTTTCGAAATTATACGGGATTCTTTAACAGATTCTAGTAAGTATAATAAAAACTGTAAAGTGATTAATTCGTAATGCTAACTTCCACTGATTACGTTAGACATGTAAAACCATAATATACATAGCAGGCAGCTACTATAATTTCAGGCATATGACGCTGCGTGTGTAACATTGCGTACATGACATTTTGAGCCCATATATATATATATATTTCACGACATCGGTTACTAGATTACAAAAATATAGGAGACTGCAAACTTTATAAGCCAAAATTTTCCTAACGCTATTGTTGAAGACCATCCGCGCCATGACAAAAAAATATAGCAGGATTTTCGTCAAGCAAACTTCTATTACATAGCCGAAATGGGCTTACGATCCCACAGGTGGGCTCATGTGGTCAGAAAAGGGCCACACGGGCCACTAATGATACCGTGTGTAGAAGTCAGCCATTCAACAAAACTTAAAAGAATGTGGTTTTCTTCCTAGAATATACTGTAATTATGGCTCGAAAAGTCGACACTTTATAGTCATTTACTTTTAAGTTAGACAGAGTAAAGGGTAGCATCTGCCTAGGATGTCCTTATGAAGTTCTGGTGCCCCGTGTACATTTCGATTTTTAATGGCCCAGGTATTGGCACATCTACGAATTTGCTTTCTGTTCAACATAATAATGTACATACTGTTTCCCAAAACCAACTTAATTGGGCTAAAGCCAGTATATCTATAGTAGCCGTAGAAGATTCTGATATAATTATCCATGATAAATTATAATATCTGATCATGCTTATATACAATATCTATTAACAGGACTGTTTTGCCGACTAATCCTTTATGCTAAGGTCGTCAAAATTTATTTCAAAAGCACGATGTTGGGATACGTTGTTGACAACAACAAGTGCGAAACTACAATGCCTTAGTTTAAGTTCACATATGCGGACTCCTGTTAAGCTCAGTTCTAGTCTAACACTACGTAGTTCTAACTTCAATATAAAATTAGCACAAACGGAATCTTGTTTCATGTAAGCTCGAAATGCAATGGCCCATGTAGTCTCATTTCACCCTGGCCTATATATACAACATTCAATGTAATGGTTTTTGCAAAACGTAATTTACTTTCTCTTTACTTCTAAAATCAAGCATAGGAATAGGCAAAATCGTCGCAGAAAATCGAGGCGGCTATTTTCACTCATTATTGTTCAACAGAAGTTTGACAAAATACGAAAAAAACACATAGGCTTACCTTCTGCAATTTGGTCAAAGGAAAAATCCAATTAGGCAAATTGCGCTGCATGTCAAAGAACTCTATCAGTTTGAAAACGTTTATTGTCAAAATTTAAGATCAACATTCTCCTGCTAGAAAAACGGAGTTTCCCATATAACCATATACCATATAGTCCACCTTTTTCTATGTGTGTACTTATATACATGAGCTTGAACGATATAATAGATCATGTGGTTGAAGCATTTTTTCAAAACAATAAACCATTGTTCTCATAATAATAGAAATTGCCAAAAGTTTTTCGTTTTGAACTTGGCTTTTTGTAGAATCCTTTTATTTAACTACAAAGACAGTGTAGATTTCAAAACAAAAATAACAAGTCAACAAAGAGTAACCTAAAGCAACCATTGGTAACTTTTTGTGAGATCTTTTTTAAAAACCAATTCGAATAGGACTAGACCGTCCAAAACAAAAGTTTGTTGCTTTGCTCAATTTATCCTTTTCTAATTGAGATATATATATATGATATCGAGTCAAAATTGAGGCTTATGTTTTGTCTACTAAACAACGAAGTGATCTTTCTCTATAAAGGCGATCTAGACCCTAGGCATATTGTGTCATTGACAGCGTGGTAAGGAACATGTTTGCCTATTAAATATAGGTACAGGTCATCTAGGGTCGAATTCGGACGTAGACTCACTTCATTTCATGCTGGAAGAATCTCGTCATCTGAACTAATGTCTAACGGTTGAAGTACCGGACGTAAGATCATCGGTGCGAAGGTGAAAAACAGAGTAGACTTTTATTAGTATCGATCATGCTATGATTTAAAAGACTGCTCTAGTAAAAACGTGGAGGCGATTTTGACTACACAAGTACATAATCAAGCTGCGGTCATAGCATAAGCAACACAAGCGATCAACACATGTCAGGAGAAGGTTCCCTTCTACAAGGACTATCTAATTGGATACCAACATTTACCACACGACTTCACGCAGAAACATGTATTCGTAAATTGGTATGCCCGATGTGAAGACAATTTGTCTTACATGTTTAAGTATAGAGGGTATAAGTCTTTGTTGTACAGAAACTCGACGAATTATTTTGACAGGTACAGTTACCACATATTGCGCAGACTTCTAATTTAGGTGAGTCTCACCAACACCGTGACATATTTAAAGACACTGCTTGTTCACAATCTATCTACCACTCAAGGCTGTTTTTTTCACCGAAAGTTGTTAGAACGTTTCGAATCCTACGTTTGATGAATTCAAATGTAATCTCAATCGTCTTTACCAGTTGCCGGAAATATCCATGATGAAAGAAGTGCGTGTCAATGTTTTATTTGTAAACTTTAATTTAGCGAAACTAGAAGCCAAGCAGCCTTATATCTGTCCAGCTGGAAATGGCAGACGCTACACTTGCAACATTATGCGCACACATGGAGGTACTCTGGGTTCGCGAAAAAGTCTAAAACGTTGGCCCGTCCAAAAAAGTCATGAAAACAACTCCATGGAGTTGTTTTCATGACACGAGAAGTGTCAAGTTTGTCGTCATAGATAAGTAATACCTTTAAAAAGGTTTCTAAAGTTTGCATGAAGTGAACATTCGTCCTGAAGCCAGACTAAAGAAGCCCAAACGTACGGTAAATGTCCTACTTGTAAGAATTGTCGGAAAATTGTCGGAAATTGTTTATTTAAAGTCACCAATGACAACCATTTTAGATACGAGCATGCACAATAGCTAGGAGCCGGTCTACAAGTATAATAGTAGATATTCACAAAGAATCAACAGTGAACCAAACACCTATAAACGTCAGTTTATCTCGAATGTGAAGTTTTGAAAGGCTTTTATTCCGATATCGCGTTTAGTGTAGATACTAAACGTCAAACGAATACCGAAGTCCATGAAACCGTTTTTATACAGAATACACATATAGAATACAAAATATACCAAATTTTATGTTACTGTGATTGATAAGAATATCTCTAAAAACTTAGGGTGCCCTCCTTTTGTAGCGGACGCTTATTTTGTAGTTAATATATAGGGACCCTGACTGATTAATGTTTCACTACCGGCTAACTGTGAACTTGCAAACAACCCCGTTGTTGAAGATGATAGTAGAAAAGCTATGGCAAAGAATAGTGGGGAATCCAGGAAAATAGTTGCGATAATGAAATGAAAATGAACTGACTCTCGAAAAGATTAAAAGAAATGAACAAAAACAAATATTGACTACACATTGAGTAAAGTATCTGACAAATTAAAATAATTTAAGACTGAGCGGTCATTTTATCGTATCGTTCAAAATCGCATATAGTGTGATCCATGTGGTGAAAACGCTGTTTCAGTGATGAGAATGCTAAAAAGAGAGGCCGCACGCAGATTTCTCAATAGATCAGTACGAATTTTTCGAAGCTTATCGTTATCAGTTGTTACTAACACGAGAAATATACTAATTTGATAAATAAAATAAGAAAAAGCTTCCCAACCATAAACGTTGTCAGAGCTTATTGCTAACAATATGGACAGAGCTTGTTGCTAACAATACACAAAGATATGTCGATATAATCGACGTTTGTTTGGAATCAAAATTGCCTTACTAGTTCTAATAATAATGTAAACGTATTTCGAGTGTAGCTCCAGTATCAGCTTATCTAGATATCATAATTACTGTTACTGGTTTTACTACCAAAAACAAAAATGATCAAGTCAAGCTTTAAAAATCAGATGAAGCGTGAATTTGAGATGTAAATTTCTTCAGGCGTTAATTACATTTGTTTTATTATTACTGCCGATGGAGTTCAGCCAGACCCACGTGAAAGTGTTAAGTGTCATTTAAAATGACTGCAGAGTACCCGGAGTTCGCAAAGAAAATCTAAAACGTTGGCCCATCCAAAAAAGTCCATTAAATAAATTCCTTCAAAGAGGAGTTGTTTTCATGGCCCGAGAAATGTCAAGACGCAATCAATCATATAGAAAAGATATTCCAATAATACTTACCTGTCTCCTCGTTTGTTGTAATTGTGGCCGCTGATGCCAGGCAATATGAAAAAATTTGAACTTCATATTCAGGAACTTCATATTCAGGAACTTCAATGCGCTACACCCGCCAAGCAATCAAGTCGAACATAGGTACGCTCAAATAGAAAAATAAGCGTTGGGAATTGAGCTTAGGTGTCAACGATTCTGAAAGTATATACGAAAATATGAAAGAAAAGCAATTTCACTAGCGCACTATAAGCTAATCATAATTATATTTGGTGCGAAAGAGCCCGATCTCTACTACGAATAGATCAAAGGTGGGTGAGCTTATTGCCTACCGGAAACATCAGGATGTGTACAGCATGGAACCGAATATTACATGAATTTTTTCAGTTATTAATGGAAAGGCTAATACTAATAATAATAGCTTAAGAAGGCATGATCAAACACTATTATCGATATTGATGTCTTATCTGTCCAAAAAAGATGCGTGATGTTGAGTAAACGCATCATAACACCAAAATATCTGCAATAAAAATTACTGGAAAGAACCACGTATCTCACACCCATATAGTAGTAGCGGACGCAAACGAATAACGAGGTCGAAACTTCGTGACTAGATTATTTAGATATTTTCGACATTGTGCTCATTGTACAAACCAAGCAAAAATTTCAGCGAAGATGCCAACTGTAAATTGGCCTATAGCCATATATTACCGAACACATATTGATTTTGCCCATCCAAGAGTGATTTTTGAGTGTCTCGAAGTATGCCCCATAAAAATGACTACGATTACAACAATACGATCGTTACGAAATTTTTTTGGCAACTCTGCGGCGCTATTTGGCGACAACGAGTCATAATTTACACATAAATATATTTAAGGTTTCGCTATAGCGATTGGGAATCGCTCCGTGCTACTCCCAAATAAAAATTAGTCGATGTTGAAATCTGTAAAAAACTGCGACAATCGAAAGATCATCAAGGCCTGGAATTTATATTTTATCGTTCAACGAAACACCCCAAATTCTACAAGCAGAAGAATTTGTCTGTCCAATTCTTAAATTATTAAATTCTTAGAGTACGATCTTAAATTTCAAAAGAAAAGGAAGAGGCTACAGAAGCAACACTTACAAAAAAGTCTTTGGTTATAACCGTCAATGCGTATGGGACTTCACAGACTAAGGATTACCTAATTGAGCTCTAACTGTAAGAGAATGTTATTTATAATAACGGAAATATCTAGATTCGTTACTCCAATCAATTCTAGTAGAAATATATATTTTTCTCAAATACTATGCTTCGAAAACTGCCACCGACTGGCGATTTAGAAAAACCAGTAAGAATAAGAATGCAACAAATAAAAAGAAGGCCAAAAGAGTTCCTCGTTACTAAACACAAAAGCTTTCTCAGCAGTACAAAAGAGCGAACGAAGCTCTCATTCGGACCCTAACCTAAACATTAAACAAATCACTAATGCGTATATCGTTGAAGAGCTAATTTTCGAGTGACAAAAGTTTGCTATGAGTTTGAACTCCAATAATATGTACGGCGAGTGACTTTAAAAAACGAATTTACGCCGGAATCAATGCTGCGATGACCACCCATGGTATTTGATCAAGAAACACTGATGAATCTGTAGCTGAGAGCTATTAACAATATGACCATTCCACAGCCTCCCTCTTTTAACAATGGCTGAAGACGATCGTTCTGGAACTCGGAACAGTCGAGTGAAGTGCGTTCTTTAAATTGAACATGTCATTCTTGATCTAAGCAAGCCGTATTGAGAGTATCACCTATAATTTTCGCGGGGTACGTTGTCATTCTTGATCCAAGCAAGCCGTATTAAGAGTATCACCTATAATTTTCGCGGGGTACGTTATATCTATCCCAAGTCGTTTTGACAGCTTTTTTTGACCTTGCTGAAGAGCGAATAGTAAGTGTAGATCTGAGCAAATTTTATAATCTGAATAAAACAAGAACAACGGGTTACAAAATATTCGAAAAACAAATTTAACAAATAAATAAATCAATTGAATCCTTAACCTAAGGATATAGTGTTGCAAATTGAATTCTTTCATGAGACACGTCGTTAGGGCCTCCAAATAGAGTATACGTTTGAGCCGAAGAATACGCGAACAAGCTTTTAGAATAGCAAAAGTTTTCTAGTAATATATAACATTCTTCTATGCGTCAATCTAATATACTTGGCGTCATATCGCCACGAGACAACAATAAAAACGATGCGGCTCCGTTCTATATTATGGCAGAGAACGGCAATTCTTTATCAAATGGTATCCTGGAGGATTGAGATAATATACGAGACAATCTAGTGATATTGCTCTTAAAAACATCTGAAAATTTGTGCATAGTATGAAGCCACCATCAAAGAATGATGATCCTCTAACTACTTACATAGGTGCATATCGAATTGTTTGCTGAATATGGATCAGTTTTAGGTGTTACGATTTGTTTACATAAAGCTATGGTTATCCGTTAACTTTAATCCCACTCGAATTTAAGTTCTGAGTGCAAACGCGTACTTAAAGAAGACGGAAAACCTGAATAAAGATTTTTGGCACACAATACTTAATCTTAACATCTGGGAAGGCAAGGAATTAGTGCAGACTGCACGTGACATGTGCCTTCGGCAATTATCAACCGAACAGCTTAAAAGATGTGGAATTCTTTTAAATCATTGAGTTCTATAACCTTCATCATTTTTGTAACTGCGATTACGGATGGAAACTTACATCCTGTGTTAGAAGATTTCCGCAGCATCTTCGTTATATCAAATAAAACTGGACCGGTCTATATATGCTGCTGAGGGAAATTAGCGCTGCTCGTATGTTCAATTATTGTTACTTGGAACATCGTGGGTTAGCGTACGGTTCACTTTTAAAAATAGTGCAGAGCAGCCTTCACAGCTTATAATCGTGGATATATTACAAAAAAGTGACTAAAAATAGTCATAGATAGTTTTAGAGAGAATTCCGCTGTGTTTACTCTCACTACAAGACTGTTATACTCCGAGTGTAGTGCGATTAGAATGCTATCTAATGTAAGTTATTTTTTTTATAGCGAAATGATCGTTGTAGTCAAAATTGTAAGAAGCTAGATCAATGAAAAACGAGTTCATTCACAGCACGACCGAATTAATGAGCACGCTAGGGAGAACTGTCCTTTGGATCGGGATTTTTCGCACATATTTTGTGTTCCCGCAAAGAAATATGATTAATATGGTTAATAATTTACCCTAACCTTTTGTCAGTCGTTGATGCGGTGCGCTTCTCCGCTATGTGCTCTTGCTGAGCATTGTGTACCATCTCATTTGGTAGGTTTCACAATAGTTAGTTTCTACAAGAGAAATGGCTTATTCTAACCTTGTATAAGATATTTGGAATAATCATAAGAAAAGTAATGGCGAGTTTAATAACATCAAACGTTTGGCGTTTTCCAGACATATCTGCTGCTCCTAATGACTACAATTGATTTTGATAGATTCGCTTAGTTACATTAAACACGCGGCTGTACCGGCCAAATTACAGGTTTTATAGGTATATACAATTGTTAAATTGCAACATCGTAGATAGGGTTAGCTCATGCGGTCAACTTCCCATTAGCATAATAACTGTCCAAAAACAATAGCAACTAGCTTTCTTTATCATTCCTATTCTCTCTCATGCTACAGTCGTACAGCTGTTTTCGTTGCCTGCAGCAACGACGAACGTGAGAGTCGACAGCCACCAGCAAAGTGCTCGTGGTAGTGTTAGCGACACGCCAACAAAAAAACGAAAGGGTTCAGTGTGTTTGTGAAGTATGTGTGTTCTACATGTCAACGTATTATGCCTGAGCGAGAAATTGACTGCCCGACTGGTGAACGACTAAAGCGAACAGGATAGCGCTACACGACTCTGTGGTTGTTTACTGTTCGCCCTTTGTTGCTATTGCTGAGACATGAATCAATCCTTATGGCGAACGGGTGAGTGCTGAGACAACCGCCATCGTCAGGGCCTCTCCCTTGATGTTAGCTACCTTGCCAACAGACAGCGGTAACAACGATATGGCACTAACAACCACAACGTCCGAAATAGCTACAGCCATAACTAAAAACACCCATCGACACTGCGCCCGGGAACTGTGCGCTTACAGCTACCACTACTACTACTACGTGGTTGTTGCGTGTTAGCCCCCTATTTCCCTCTCTGCCCTGTTGGTGAGTTTGCCTATGCCCCTACCTTTCTTTCGACCGTTCGTTCATTTGTTTGTTTGCTTGCTTGATCGCTCGAAAAGAGCCGTAATAGTGGTAGCAGCAACAGCAGCAGTCTAGAATAGGGGCAGTACACGGTTGGATCGAGTGGGTATCGTTACACTCTTACAACTGTACCAATCGTCACTCGCTCGATACTCAACTAACGACAGAGGTATAGCAATAATAACAATTGTTGTTATTGGCGTTGTTGTTACACAACTGAGTGCGGGTGGCTGTGGCGGCTATGATCCTCCCCACCGGTCGGCAAAGCCGTACTCGCCGCCAATAACAGAAGCGGCTACAGAAACAGCGGAGCGGCAGGCTAAAGAAGCATCGAATGTCCGGCAACCAACGTCAGCCTTCCTCCCTCTCAGATATCACGTACACACACATCTTCACAGAACAAACCCATCTAGCCATAGACAGTGACATAGAAAGGTACGGACATACACACATACAAAAACAGACAGCCACTCACTCACTCTTGGATGACGATGGTGACAGCGACAGCAGATGGTGTGTCAGCGGCGGCTTGCCTCGTTCCTTTATTATAGTAGCTTTGGTATGTTCTAATCATTGCCATGGCTTTCGCCATACAACTGCTGGAGGGAGCCCAGTCAGTGCTCTCACTCAAAATATTAGTTCTTATGTCTGACCGCCTCTTACGCCCGCTCATATCTTTATACTCGCTATACTAAACACACCGCTTGGCTGCGGTTATTGCAGCAATGGCCGTCATTTTGGCGCTGTCATTTACGTATCTTGGACGATTTCAAATTTTCCCGCCTGAAAGACGTCATAACGGTTGCAAACTTCCACGTAGAGTTAGTCGCTCAGTTATATTTTTGTTTTCCGAGTTGGTTATGGTGGTACTGATGGCGGTGGTGTGTTGTTTATCGTGTGCTCACGCAGTGTGAGTAGCTGCTGTGTGGCGCCGCGGCTGCTGTTGCAGTCGCGACTTCGACCGTAGAGCAGGCACAGTCCAGCAGCCTGCGTATAACAAACAGAGCAAAAGACCCAAAGACACATCGACAGACACACAGACCTTTTTCAATTGAATAATTTTTGTGTCATATTGTCTATGAGCGCGTTGTTTTCCAACGGATTTCTGTACTTTAGTGTATTTGTTGTCGTTGTATGTGGACGTCTATTTGTGGAACAATACTAAACAGTGGCCTTTCTGAGGGCCATAAGAGGCCCGGCAGAGCGAGTAATGAGTGAGGTGGTCGGCGAGCCACTAATGGCTCAGGTAGTACCCCCGGCTGCAGCAACAACCGACCATTCAATTATCGTTTCTGTGGCTGACGTGAAACATAGCCAGAGTAATAGCCCTCCGTCGAGGGCTAGCACCCTACCTTATACGCATGACAGTGTTTTGGGTACAGGAACCCGGATTTCGTCAACTACACTGGATGAGGGGGGACCTCCGCTGGCGCGACTGGAGGGTCGCGAGTTTGACTTTGTCGTCCGGCAGCCTCGAGTCACGATAGGACGCCATTCAGCACATGGTGACGTGGACATCTCCATGGCAAACTCATCATTCATCTCACGTAAACATATCGAATTGTTCCACGAGGGAGACCACTTCTACATGGTGTGCAATGGCAAAAACGGCGTGTTTGTCGACGGCGTATTTTGCCGCAAGGGGGCGCCACCATTGCAACTGGCGCGAACTTGTGTGCTTCGGTTCCCTTCTACTACAATTAAAATAATGTACCAGAGTCTTCTGGAACCATCGTCGCCTCCTACAAGTACACTTACAAAAGAAATTTCCCTTCCCTTGGCATTACGTCTAAAACAGGATCCTTTTCAAGGATGCGCACCAACGGCAGTTTCACCGGTATCACGCGGTTCGCACGGTTCGGTAGGTGTTGAACCTCTCGCTCTTACAACGAGCACAAACTGTCCACGAGCTCAAGTAGTTCCGTCGCTATTTCCCGGGTTACCTAGTGGGGCTATACGTTTACAACCTCTGAAAATTCACATTCCTCATGAGGACCTTATGCGCTCCCCATGTCCTTCGCCTAGTGGTACTATCTCAGCTGCTAACTCATGTCCAACATCTCCACGTGGGGGGGTCTCTCTATCAGGCTTGGCAGCAGGCTTTCACCAGCGAAATCTTGTTGCAAATGTAGCTGCAGCAGCTCAACAACCACAGATGGAAGTTACACGATCTCAAACTATAAGCCACAATAATAACAAACAACAACAGCCGCAAACTCATCCGTCGATAAAAACTGAACGCGCGTCGACGCCTAGTGGAACCTCTACCTCGGGAAGCGCAGGACCAGATGCAGAACAGAAGCCTCCATACAGCTATGCTCAACTGATTGTGCAGGCTATATCATCCGCTCAAGATAAACAACTTACGCTGAGCGGCATTTACTCGTATATCACCAAACATTATCCCTACTACCGGACCGCGGACAAAGGTTGGCAGAATTCTATTCGACACAACCTTTCGCTAAACCGGTACTTTATGAAGGTTGCTAGATCCCAGGAGGAGCCGGGAAAAGGTTCATTTTGGCGCATAGATCCAAGCTCGGAAGACAAGCTGGTTGAGCAAGCCTTCCGGCGGAGACGACAGAGAGGTTTACCCTGCTTTAGGACTCCGTATAGCGCCGGCTCAACTCGTTCGGCTCCCACGTCCCCGAACCATGTATCAGCCAGTCACGTTAACCATGCGTTGCCGCAACATCATACCGGGGGTATGGCCACACCGGACTGTCTAAGTCGTGAACCTTCTCCTTTATCTGCTCAAGCGACTCCTGCAAACCTGTCTCTTGCGCATCATTTTGATCTGCCTCAGGAGCTCGTAATGGAAGAACAGCTAGTAACGCGAAATTCTGCAGTACCTGTGGTAGCTCCACTGGGAACACTTCAGCTACCGCATGACGGTCAGCAGCTGTATTCCGGTGACGGTAAGACGCTTTTTGTAGCGACCAGTCAGCCTCTACCACCTCAGCTGGTACAACAAAGGACACCAGCTTCTAATGGAGAAGACCGCATCATTATCCATAGCGCATTGCCGGCGCTAAACAATAACAGTGTGCTGGTTAACAAGGAAAGTAATGGCTTAATCTATCAGCCGACAGTCATTGTACAAGCACCGCCTTCTTCAACGTCTGCTTCACCTGCGGGCACGGCTCTACCTGCTCCAGTTCCCCTCATCGTACACCATATAGCTACCTCCACGCCGGCACCAACAGGTTCCATTGAACCTCTTGAAGAGTCAATGCACGAAGTACCGAAGCAGGAAGGCAGTCCTTCAAGACACAACGAGCATTCAGATACTCCAGTTTTGTCCGGGTTTGCACAGCAGAGGACTGTCGTCGTGCAGGTACCTCAGCAGCAGCAGCAGCAGCAGCAGCAGCAGCAGCAACAACAACAACAACAACAGTCTCTTAGGGAGGTGGAGCACCCTGCTTAGTGCTATTTACATCATGAAAACTCTAGGATTATTATAACAATAACGAAAGTAAAAATTCAACAGAACCTGTATGATTTGCTTCGGCAGCAACAAAGTGAAAGTGGACAAATGAGGTCTAACATAGCGGCTAGCCATCGTTGGCGAGGTTTAGTGATATTTCCAAGAAGACAAAAGTATGTAGTAAATGGTGTTAGGGGAAATAAGACCTTAGTCCACTGGAAGGTCGGTTGTTGCTTTGTCTGCGCGTAGTGCCATGACGAGAATGATCGTAAAAACGACAAATGGCGCGAGGATCTCGTTTAGTAACATCACCTCAGGGTCACCTTTAATGCGACATTTAGTGCTCGAGATGGTAATAATAGAAGTGCGAAAGATTGAGTGTTGTCGCTAAACACTCTTTGACGGCAGGGATAAAATCATTGTGTTTACGGATTTTTTTTTTTAATCTAATTCTGCATTAATGCTGAACGATATTGAGCTAAAACGTGTTGCAATGCGCCATCTAGTAACTCTGTACGCAACTGGTCGTTCGCAAGCTTTTCGTTTGGGTAGGTGGCGCAAGGCAGCTGTAGAAACTCGGCCACTGATGCAGCTGACAAAGCTGTTCATTGGACTTTGGTTTCGTTCTATATATATATATAACAAAAGGGGATAAAGACGCGAAGTGGGAGAGGAAAAGGAGGCACACACTGACAGAGAGCAGGAAAAATGTTATTGCTTACGAGCTTATGGGGTCTAGTTGGATGTAATAACACCGCTTACAGATAGTGTCTATCATTGGTATCAGTATGTATCAATATGTTGGTCGTTACTATTATCATCGTACTGTTCGCAGTCCAAGGTGAAACGTATAGGGATAGTATAGAGGCAAACCATATGATTACTGAGTCTAGTGATTATGACATGGGCATTGATTTGTTTTTTTTTGTTTAGATAAATTCTTACACTGATCTGTGCGAGGCATGTAGTAGTTCCTCTATAGATCCTATAACCTGATAGGCTCCGCAAGCTTATGTGAAGGCTGAGTCAAACCCTATACGTTAAATGAAGAGGAACCTGCACAACCAGAAAGAATTGTGATTACAGGTTAATTGCTTCAATACATAAATAATCGCCAAAAAGTGCTGATAGCGAAAAGGACTTGTTAGACTCTTAGGAAATACCGGTCACAGTCTTTGATAAATTCCCATGAGCAAGGTCATTGGCATAGGTATCGCGCCCGACAACGCCGATATATTTTATGGTTCTACAAAAATTAGTCAAGCGAGCTAACTAAATCTCAATGTTATTGGCAATGCGGGGCGGACAAAACTGTGTGTGTAATACACAGTCGAATTCAATTTAACAACCACGCAGAGAACTCGTGTTTCTCTATTGTATGTAAGTTTGAAAATGGGTTTCGGCATTATCATAAATTAATATCCATGTATTCGGAATATGACAGCGATTGAATTTAGATCACATACTGATTGTCCTCGGCTATAATGATTACTAACTACCGTTTTTCTTTGTTTTTAGAAATACCCCCTAACTATTCGAACCAATAAGAGTTGAAACTGAAATACTCTGTTGGCAGACAACGGAACAAGTAGCAGCACCATTTTAAAAAGTTTATATTAAATATAATTTCGCTCGACCTTCGTACTCAAACCTTTCGCTTGCTCAAAGCTTTTAAGCTGTTTATCTGAAAGACAAACTTTAAAGAAAACGGTTGTAATAATAATAAGCCGATAAGGAGCATAAGGGGACATATTTTAGATCATATTTGACGCTGAAGTTAATGTAATATATTTATGATCTACCTAATCTAAATTTTCACGTTTTTTTTCTTACTCATACATGAACCCAGTCGCCTTATACATTTTCAAAATTCCTGTTGAAACATCTATGACAGACCATTCTACTTCGTATTTGTCACATTTTGGCTGTTTTAGGGCACAACGAACTTGCATAGCTTCAAACCTTCGCGTTGCTAATTCATTTTACAATAATACCGCACTGCTACCAATTTGGCAAACTCTGATCAAAAAACGTTATTATCGAACTTGTTTGTTTGTAGAATATAAGGCTAAACAACGCATGCATATTAATCAGTCTCACCAACATAGTTAACTCTAGGAAGAACTAAATTTTGTAAGCTTGCGTCGATCCATTTTTCATAACTTAGCCTTACTGCTTATTGTCTCCAACAAAGAGGGTTATCAGATCATAAAAATCTCTCTCGTGTTCACTAGACAAGTGACTTTTGATAATTATGCATATGACAATATTTTGCTTTGCTACGGTCAGTTATCATTATAATGTGCTATCTGTAAATTAGTTTAGAAAGTGTATTTGTTTCAACTAGACGCACTCTATATTTATCCAGATTTACCTGTGATTATTGTTCGACAGGTATACAGGAGCATACTACAAATAGCTATATTATTGTGTTGCCTCGACAGGTATAGTTGTGGATTTGCCACGAGAATGACGATGGTATGGAATGACCGATTGATGTAGTAACTAGCAGTTGCAACACCACCAGTGCGAAAAGGGCAAACTAGGTGAAGTTTAGTTTAATGCTTCAGAAGGGCCCTCATCTGTTTCTGTTGACACCGTCTCCATCATTGATGGTGGTGTCGTCGTTATTGTTATAAGCGTTTTGGTTGTTGTCATAACTAGTAATGTTGTTGATGCTGTTATAGTCGTCCTCGATGTTTGATTTCGATGAAAAACCACTGGTATAGTCTAGCAACAGCTATAATACCACGTAACCACTGTTTTCGTTTATTCGAGACCTCCATCATGTGTGATTGACAGGAGACGTTCGGATTTTGGCGGCGTCGACGAAATACTACATGTTCCTCTTGCCACTACTCACTACGATTGTTGCTGATATTTAAACGAAAAGCAGCTCATAGGGTTGTTAACCATTCCCATAATGCACTGTCGGCATAATCAGACCTGAGCTACGCCTCCGTCCCGCCGTATCTGGGAGCATAAACCTTTGTGTTCTGTTCTCCACACAGAAGCCATTTCTATCGTTATCTTGGTAGTGACAGTCTTTTGGGTCGGTCAAGCTACTTGTGAGACACCTTAACGAATGATATATATATATATACATATATAATTTTTAGTTATTGCCTATACATAACACATGCCGTGTTATGTCCTTTAGCGAAACGCTCATTAGCCTTGACGTACCTATGTTCAGATTTATGAAGGGGGACCATCCCGAGTATCAGTATAGTCATAATACAAAAATAATTCTGACGGTACTAAGCACCACAATGTAAAAATCATGCTATTATGCTCACCTAATGCATCTGTTGTCGATTATTATTATTACAGTGCTTGTATTCTTTCCCCCATTTGCCCCATCCGATTAGTTGTAGAGCTTTCAACTTCGTTGTTTACCAATCCATTGTACTTGTATATCGTTTAACTTATATTTATTCTTTAAATACCTATAATTACAGCCATACAACGTGTCCATTATGACAGCCTAGTCGTACAGTGCCTTAAGTTGTCACCTCTTTGGCCACTGCTATTGTTTTTGAATCCCCGTCTCCTACGCTGGCGTGTATGTTGTTTATAATCACGCTAATAACACCACCGAAATAGCGGCACAGAGATCTGGCGTAAGGGGAAGACCAAAGCTTGCGGCGAGTAGATAACAATGGGCACATAACATTATAGATCTGTCCTCTGGAACCTCACTGGGTAAGTGCTGATTAAGACAAAGGCGATCATCATATATGGAGGAAATGAAAAACGCAACCTAAGGGATCATGTTTCACAATGTTTATGGCACCCATGAGAATCAGCGTATGGACATACGTCGTCATGGATCGCGGCAATTGCAAAATTAAGTCTTCTATATAGACCTATCCCTTATATCAAATTATAATGAATGTCGTGAGCATATTTACGACGAATTATCACTTAGTCTTGTAAACATATATATATAAGAGAAAATTATTTATTACTTACTAAGTATAGTGATTAGACGGAAAATTACCGTGTTGATATTTCGTTCAAACACAACAACGGCAGCAGATAGTATCATACCAACATGCAACAGATCGAGTTTTTTCGAATTCTGATCTAAAATTCGGTAGATGTCTACATATTGGCTTTCTGGTCTTCAGGAGTATCGTTTCTCTCCTATTCAGCTAGATGTAGCAAATGTATTAATTGTGATAGTGAGAGAGGAAAAGGTTAAGTCAAGAAATAGGCATATATTGTGTCCGTGTGCGGTCATTCACCATTATTATTGATATCTTTTATTTGGAGAACATACAAAAAAGACCCAAATGAGATATATTAGTAGAACCATGTCTGGTGTGCGGGGGAATACGGTGAACTAACTATAGCGCATATAGCAAGTAAATCAATTTAGTAGTCAAATACTAAAGACACTAGGGAAGTCAATGTGTACTAGTTAGTAATTATTATTATTGATAACCGTTATCGACGTTTCATTTTGTTATCCTTCCAAGAGATAGAAAAATACATTATTAAATGGAGTGAAAATATTGTGGGGCTCGTTTTCTTCATAACAGAGAATTATTTAAATAGGTTTAGCGCCGTCCCCTTACTTTTTGGGGTAAAAATTTTAGTGAATCGAGTTATACGAATTAATACGGCACTATACGTAGATGACGAATAGACCTTGTTATAGTACTGTCATTGAGTTGTGCTATTAACTAAATATACAAAACGTATACACATTGTAAACGCATTGATTTTATTATCAGTCAATGCATCATCTATTATCAATACCGTTATTGATCTAATAAAATGATAAGCAGAATAACCAATCATGATGATAGCTCTATTAAAAGCACTATTAAATAAGAAATTATCTAAACCTAATATATGATTATATACTATATCTCTCTCTTTCTCTCTCTCTCTCTCTCTATATATATATATATATATACATGTTTAGTAGGATTTTGCAATTGACTATTAATCTAAGCAGGGAGCTCGAAAGCGAACCTGTGTGCGATCCAAAGGAAACACAAGTGAAGTTGGACAAAAAGGCAATTATTGGAAATTGATGATATGGGGCGATGTAGGCTCATTGATGACAAAAGGAAATGTAGGTGTTGTACACGCAGAGAGAAATAAAATAGGATGTGTGTAAAAACTGTTCTCAAAACGGGCAGTAGCGATAAAGAAGTTAAAATTATTACACTGTTGATGACCACGTCGATATAGTGACGACAGAAGAAATAAACATGTCGCTCACCACAAGATTAACTCTAATTCAATAAATTACAAAATAAAGAGGCAAGCCACAGCTGAGCCATAATATAACTGACTTCTTTTATCTAGATATGCCTAGTGGTCCGCTCCTCCTCCGCTGATCTTCATTTCTGGTACCAAACAAAAGTCAGTTCTTTCAAAAACAACAAACCACAAACTCATTATGGGGAAAAACAAAGCTTCGTCTTCTGAACCTTGGCGAAAATCTGCTTCTATTCGGCCTCTTCGCGCTGGGCGAAACGTCAACGGGACGAAAAAACTCCCGCTTTTGTACAAAATCGATGATCTACGTTACTGCCAGTTTTTATACAGCTTTTAAAAAATGCGAAGAAGACTTCCGAGATGCAAACCAGAAGACCTCCAGATAAGTTCCTAAAGTTAATTTTTTTGAAGCTTTTGGTGCCTTCTTGCACCTTTAGAACTTCTTAGCAATCTACTGTCAGGTCAAAATTAAATTCTACTAGAATTTTTATGTGCGGCGTATTTAAGCGACACTGTCGCGAGTTTGTCTATCAGTACTATTTGACGCACGCACAAATACTTTTGAAAAGTTATTTATCGATTAAAGAAAAATATTTCAAAGGCGACTAGTGGTTGTTTTAAATCTTGAACTGAAAATATAATTGCATTGGATGGTGGTTAAAATAAATAAAAATGACCGGTGGAAACTACATTTTATAATTTCATTAGATATCCGTTCTTATTCACATACTGTTAAAAACGAAAGTTTCTAATTAGGTCTACCATACTGTATGTAGAGCAACGTAGGGGACAAAGCTTTTGAGAAGATTCAAACGGTATCGCAGTAAGCCAAAAGCATAAACGTATTTAGCTAAAATAGTTTCTCTAAAAAAAACAAAAAATACCTCTAATATATGGAGATTCTGTAACACATGGACCTGTAAAATTTTTTTGAGGTTTACCGACTCTTTAGAAAAATCAGATATTTCTACAAATTTTATCTCTTTGTTTCCATGTATTGCAATCTAGGAATCTGTTTACAGTCGGGATGTATATATCCTGCGGCACTCGAATGGTGTATGGTTTTTCTTTTTAACTTTAGACAGATAGAACTCGCGGTTGTCAAAGAAATGACCAGCACTCACAAGGGATGACACAATGAACTTTGATGTCTTTGTAACTTTCTACATAAGATACTTACGCTTTCAGTTTTCATGTCACTTTTATATTACTCTATTATTTCTCTTTTGGTTTAGCTCATTACATTTGATAAATCAAGTAAATAAAACGATCGTACCTGTACCAGTGTATAAGGGAAGGCTATTGCCATATACTTGGAAACTTCAATAATGTGCTATAAAAAAAAACATTGTAATGATAAATGAATTAATTACGCATATATAAGGGGTTAAAATGCACAGGGTAGTGATTGTGCAAAAGGTTCCACTTCAAACTAATTTGGGAACGAAAACTTCATAGGCAGCTCGCAAGATGAAATTAATTCTATATCTATCAATTTTGTTTTTTTTTTTTGCACTATCAATTTTGTCTAAGAACGCAATGGGTAACTTCTAGCAGCACTCCACTTTAACACAAAAACTGGGTGCTTGAAATGCAAGGACTAATTGAGTGCTGGGCACAGGCATTGTTTATAGAACATATATATATATATATATAATTTTATAGCCATACGAAGTCACATGAAATTAGTTAATAAATGCGATGATCTTGTTTATTTACCAGTGACGTTAGTCATGTTGACGCTGACGATAATTCCAACGCCTAAGCGGTAGACGTCGATGAGCCACACTTAAAAAAAAAACTGGTTTATTTCGGTTGCTACTATATTTGTACCGGTTGGCTCTTGTACTGTTGACTTGTGGCACTGTTTTTCTGCTTCCGTGAAGCAACATAAAAATCAATAGACAAGGCAAAGCAATTTTTTTCTGCCAACGATACTAGATCACACATGGCAAAGTCATCAAAGCCATCCTGCGAAAGCCTGACTGGGAAGTTCCTTTGCACTCGCTATATTTTCTAGAGATTGCGTAAACGGATTATCGCATTTTCCGATCATTGGCAGATGGAATGGTAACAAAACATTTGTTAAAAAAACAAGTTTCAAAAATCAACTGGACGGACTTTTTTTACACTAAACCTGACAGTTTTGGGGAAACGGAATAAATAAATCAGATAAAAGAATGTAGTAGAGGGCACTTGCAAATACATAGTGTATTCGTTTATTGCTAGACTTCAAGTAAAACACTGCGATTTCTGTTGAGTGAAACAACCCTTAATACTTCTGTTTGAATTTAATAAATGTAATAATTTTTAAAATCGCTTGGGTCTGTTCGATTTATTCATTGGAAATAGAAACATCTGTTAGTTACCCAGGGGGGCAACTATTAATGACCCTTATCAATGTTAAAAATACTTTTTCTATAACTATTATTGCGAAAAGCGTGAAAACACCAATCCCAAATTTCGAAATGTTGCTATTTTAATTTTTATTATTATTTTTTAAATATTTTCAAAGGGCATTTGTTTTTTTTGGTATTGGGCATGACTTACTCGGATGTCGTCACTCGGACTTTAATCAGGCGAGTTGCAATGACCCATGGAAAATCAGAAAAAAACGAGTAGTTTTTGTTCTCGTGTTACGATGGTGATTCACTAAGGAAGTTATAAAGGTAAAGAAAAAACATTTTTACGATAATCGCTTATGGTCATATCAGTGAATAGATGCCGTTAAACCGGCGACACAATATCCTAAAGTAAATATTCTGCTATAATAGATTATGGGGTCTGTTTAATAGTCTGATATAAGTGTTATTCACTACAGTTTTATAAGTCCTTTTTCATCGACCATAGTTGAATTCTACTATTAACGAGAGGAAGAGATGATGAACAAATCTCGCATTAAGCAGCATTGATTAATGAGCAGAGCTAAACCTCACACAGTAAGGATCATAGGTAGCAAAAGTCCTAGTAGAAACTCTTTATGATCCTACGGGCTCAATAGACACAGCTCCCATATAATACCTTTTGAAAATCTCAGTGGTTTCTGGATACAGAAATTGTTCAAAAATCAATATGATGTTGAAATTTCCTTGTCGAGACCTTTTAGACATGATATCCTTAATATATTTTGTTACTGTAGAAATTATCATCAAAATGGCAGAAAGTCATAGATAAGAATGGTATATTCTTCAGATAAAAGTAAGATCGAGAAACAAATACACTTTTTTTTCAGATAAAAGTAAGATCGAGAAAGAAATATACTTTTTTTTTCTTTGAAAAACTCGTTTTTTGAACATGACATGACAGAAATTATTTAAAAAAAACTACAACGTTTCAGCTGACAAATCATGTTCTGATACGACAGTCAATAACGATAAAGTTATAACTGTAATTACTTACCAGGTGAAGTGATTTGTTATTGAATAAGTCAATAATATCATGTCAACGAACGGATTTGTGTTATTTTTAGAAGCCGCTGTGACAAAGAGCTAGCTGAAATTCTTTCATTAAACAGCTAAATTACAATGTTATATTTTAGTTATAATTTTATTTGTTATTATTATATACATATACATATAATTTGACAATTTCAAATGTTCATGTATTCAACCAAAATCTCAGAACTGTTCAAACTGACTCCAAAGTGTTATACCACGAGAGTAGCGACATTTGGTAACACAGGTTATAAATTAAGGTGGTAGAACAGCCTGAAATACATGCTCGGAGCATGGAAAGCCTAGAAAAACGAAGAAACAAAGCGAAACAGTTTTAACGCTTATTTGTAAGTTGGAATATATCTAAATATTATTAAAATGACGAATTAAATGTATTTACATAAAGTACAAAATTACTATGGCACGCTTCTTTTTTTCAACTTTCCTTTCCTATGATTCACTTTGGAGAGCAGGTTCTAATTTAGTTAGTCTTTATATATAACACAAAGGCAAAATTTCTTTTACAATGCTCGTTGTATATTTTCAGAACGTCTTTTATAATTTGTAGCTCATAAACTTCAGTTCCGCCACATGAGTCTTTTTCCTGCCAATTTTATTGTAAACCTGTGTAAGCTATTTTGCAGAATTCCTCGAATAATTTTTAAAAGGCTACCTTTGCCGCATATATTAGGTTCTTACAAGCGAATCAGGCGAACTTTGAATAACTTTTGAACTACGCGCCGCTAGCAGATGAAATGGGAGCAGGAAAGCATTCCATTGTTTTAGGAATGTGAAAACTAGTTAAGTTTACTCAAAGAAAAATGAGTTAAAGTGGAAAACATTTTCTGATGTTGAGAATTAAAGTTCTATGGTTGTTTTTATTCCTTAAAGGCCACAACGCAGTGGAGATTCATTAAAGGTTGGTAAGGATAATAGACAAGAAGGCTTTAAGCAAAAGCATAGTATGTGAATGATAAAAACGTTTAAAAAGAGACTTACGTGTTCAAGCCTATCGAGGGGGTGGCGAGATGTCGGGACTCGAAAAACAAGAACGCGTTGTCGTTATCGAGGAAGCTTCTCACGAAAGCCAAGCTTAACTAAGGACTTCTTGGAGGTGTGAAGGCTCCGTCACTCAAAATTGGTATTTTATATGCAATGTATTACAGAATTGTAACCCAAACACTATAAATACAAAAACTGAGTAAAAATGAGTCTTTCGTAAATTGACTCCAGGCCAGTCGGAAATGCTTAGGATAAATTCAATGTGTAATTTATGGAATTTTAATAAACAGGACTGTTTAGAGTATATGGTTGCTATAGGCAAGTATTGGTCAGTCTTTACCGCCAGCTGAAAAAGGACTAGATGAAAGATTGGCATTGCTTTGGTGAGAAATCGACTTCGATGGCAGCGTCAAGTGAACTTGGACGTAAACTGATGAAATACTTGCAATGAACATCAACTACTATGAGCTACTCGCCAAAAATAAAACAATGTCTACAGCCCGCTATATAAAGTTTCTCAGGTGGTTCATGTACTTTTAGGACGAGAAAGCACAGAGCGTAGTCATAAGATGACACGCCAGACCTCATCGCCTTGCCCTGATTACCTCCTGGATTGAACAAAGGAATATTCAACGGTGATTTAACGCACCTATTCTCCCCTTTCCGTGTCATTTTCTACCATAGATGGAAGGCTTTTTATACCCTAGAAACGGTAACTGGTGGACAAGCGCATTCTACTATTAATTTACCTCGAGAAGCTAGATAGAGAAATTACACACAGGAACGCAAATAATTGGTATATAGCTGTTTTGAAACTGTCAGACCGTTCGCACAAGTGTGTAACAAATATATGAGAGTAGCTGTAACATATTACAAAATCATACTTATAGCCCAATTAGTTTAAAATTTACTTCTAAAATTAAGTCTAAAACAATTAGATTATTACAGGGAAAATATTCTGAGTAATTAATTGTTTTGCCTCGGAATTAAGTTCTCCCATATTGGGAACGATATAGATAACAGCCATTCAGTCTGCGCTAATAATAAAAATATTTTTAAATACAATGATGTTTTATTTAATAATAATACTATTATGATTATTAATATTGTAGTTAGGTATGCAGAGGCATAAGGATTTTTGTTGAATATTCAAATAATAAGCAACCTCAAAACGTGCCGTTAGTATACATTGTATAATGATAGAGCTTTATGAGAGTGTAATGTCTTGATTCAACCTATGTAACAAATACTGTAAGTACTACTGACCTGGATGAGAAGGCGCTTTTAGCGAGAATTGCAATTTTTCGTTCTTTATTCTGTTCTAGTTCAGGAACGTAAAGTTAAAAGGAGATACCCAAGAACGACGTTTTTAAATAGTCTATAACCTTTAAAATTAATGAGGATAGGCGGAAGCGGACGAGCATATGTGCAAAATACTTCGGTAGCTGTCGAATTTGAAAACTGTAGAAGTGGTTTTCAGACATTTATTCGAGCTTCAAATAAAGTTCAAAACATTCACGAACTTAAAAACGTCACAGGTTTGGAAAATTACTTCCATTCGCTATTAACAACCGGCTTCTAAGAACCAATAGTGGACTGTACATCATTCGGGACCGTGTGGTACAATACAGTTTTTCAAAAACTATACTCATTACTCCGCTCAAATAGATCGGACCGATTATATTAAATATTGTTTACCTTACCCGAGATACGCAGCACAATTACTTTTTATTTGTAACAGTGTTAAAAATGATAATATTTACAAAAACCAGTTTGCTTGTATTTACTGACGGCACCTCGGACATTCGGAACGACCCTACCTTAATTTAGTTACCAACTAAGAATGCTTCCAAATTGTAACCTCGAATTCTTCACCCCAAACTCAAACGCGCAAATCACACAACTCGCGATTCAAATGCAGTCACAGTAAAAGTTAAGCACATAGTAAATACCGTTGTAGTCATAGTTTCAGTGCTCGAATAGTAGATAAATGGAACATCTTCCAAAACAAATCCATGCTACAAAATGAGGAGTATTACTATACATATACATATGCATTGACCATCCGCTCGTCATTGGCCGATGAGATTTATATACATACAAAGATTATTATAGGATGTTTTTAGTACATATCATTTGTTTCGGAGTACGTCAGCTGGCCATATGGCCTTTGCATTAGATACCTACAAAACCTCTTTTTAAGTATACAAGGATAGCTTTCTGCTATCCATTGCGTATTCGCTTTCCCTACAGTAAATGATTGCAAAGATTGAGTCAAACAACGTACTATAACCGTTTGTTGTTTAAGTAGCTTCCAACAAATAAAGTTTTTCAACACTTATTTATCCACTTGACTGTAACAGCATAGAAGATTGCTATGATTTGAATTTCAGACTCTGGCTCAGAAACTCTGGAGAAAATTCACTATCTGCAGAAATCATCTCCTTGTAATGGTTTGATCTACTCCTGTTGGTCTAAGGAACACACCAGTAAATTATTTTAAGCTAGGTAGAGACTTGAGAGAGAGCTAGACAGAAGTTGCTTCTATCGTATGTTGAATTACAGTGGGGGCAAAGGAGGCGAATCTCCAATGATGAAGTTTTGGGTCCGATGGTCAGTTGATGTTTGTGATCTTTCGTATCGATTCAGCTCTTTGAGTCAACTTTGATTGAAGCAAAATTCATCCTGTTTAAACCTCATTACATTCCAGGTTCGTTACATATACAAGCTACTCACCACGATGCCACAGACCATGGTATGAGACTAAATATCATTTAATAGTGGTACGTTTCCCTTATATCTAAACTCAGTGGAATCTAGTTTTCATGATGCATTAGACTTTATCCTGCTTAAAGAAATAAGGGTATATAGACAAAGTGTTTCCAAATTGGGTTGAAGTAAGCAAAACATATTTAGAATTGAGACCATAAGAAATCAATATATAACTTTTGCGTTGAAATTCGTAAAAAACTTACGCAAAAGATGTTTCCCAAAAAAAATTAGTTATTATTTGCATTTGCGAAAGTTGCGTGCATATGAAGAATAATTCTTTTTGCAGGTTCCAGTAATACCCTTTTTAATTAGTTGATTCAAAAATATTATTAGTAATAAGTTGAGTAAAAAGATTTTTAATTCGGATTTAGCTTTAAAATGAAATAATTTAAAACCTTTTTCTTATGGCCGAAAATATAAGTGTAAGAGACTCTACTCTTTCATGCTGCATTACCCAAACGCTTCTGGACTAAAAAATGTTAACACGAGTTTCAGTTATGCTGAGGCGTACCATTTCTTGATATAGCAAATGCGTTTGTGGAATCCGTAATTCACTCAGTTTTTTGGCTTGGCTGCTTTGCAATATTATAAAGAATGTTCGAAATAGCGACCGTTAATCATAACACGTGATTTACAGCAAGAAAAAAGAACATGTTACCGAAGATACCGACCATCTTCAGCCGATGAAAACCATTTTAGTGGAGAAGATTTTCGCTAACAGAAATTCAGAGGATCTGAAAGGGCTACCGCTAACGGAATAGTTTCAAACTTTGCGTTCAAATAAATACAAAAACAGCATCATAAAAATGTGTTTAATCGGTTGGCCTGATGGTTTGAATACAATTTGTCATATCGGATTGCATGAGCAATTACCGAAATACCTCACTTTTTGTTTCTATTAAGGGTACGTTATAATTAAAAAGTCCACGTTTCAAGCATTCGATGTAACATCACTAGGTAGTCGCACTAAGAAATTAATGTGTCGAACTCTTTCGAAATACTCAGTTGGTCGAAAAAATGGCTGTTTATGACATACTACAGCTGAGGCCTGTTTAATTTTTCCTTTAGAACTGCAAAGTCTTAGCTTTACGCAGATATTCATGGGTCCCATGGTGAAGAAGTTTCACAACATTTTAGGGCTGAAAAATAAAGTAAGATACATTAAATACATAGCTTATTATTATTAGGCTTTTTCAATCATCTATTTTGATATTGGTACTCTCTCCTATCTAGGTATATATTTGCAGATTCAATCCAGACAGTCGTTTTTATACAATCACATATTTTTGAATGGCTCCCGTTATGTGATTGATCTCTATCACCTTCAAGAAGATCAACCTCGATCTTTGGGACATCCTATGTAGGGCACGACAAAAACATCTTTCTGCCACGTGTTCTACGCATATGGACAAATTAAAATGCATCTTAACAACATGACTTTCCAAAAATGATAAGCGAATTAACGTAATGGAGAAAAATACTAGAAGGTCGTAACCGAACAGTAATGCATTCCTTATATTGAACTCAACTCAAATTGAAACTGACGATCAGTTTTAGCAAATCTATTAAAAAATATTATAACGTAACATATTCATCGACTGCATGCATATAGGTGACTTGATAAAAAATAGTAACTAATGGCACGTATAGCAAAAAAAAAATGAGTTCTACCTGTAACACGATAATGTCGTACAGGTTTTGGAGGCAATGGTCGCTAATTTCACACCCGGAAACCAAGCCATTGAAACCGTAATGATATTTATTAAATCGTATGGATGATATTCGTATCCATTTACCATAGTTCATTCGTGCCTACCAAACTGACTTATAGTTGAGCTCCTTCCGAATATGTGGCTACTTTACCTTCTACAGGGCAACCATATGTGAAGTAGAGAATCATTATAGCAACCACGGGTAAGACAATTAGCGCAGAAGATTCACCACATACTTAGTTGGAAAAATATAATAGTAACCCGCAATTGCTTTGTCGTTGGTTTACCTAATTTGATTCACTGATGTTACTCCAGCTTAACGTGAACCATAAGATAGCCAACAGTTGTCCTGTTACAAACCTATTTTACTTAATCCATCATTCTTCAGAAGTAATTTCATCAGCAGTTCTGTTAGTTAACTCTAGATTTGTCTTTTCAATCATATGTTCTTTTCTGGTACATTTTTACAAAGTAATTATGAGGGTCTTTAGTGTTCGCTAGTTGATCCTGTTCCTGGGACGTATGTAAATAGTCTTCCTTTTTATTCGAACATGTTAACATGAGATATGGGTATGTGAATTGCATTTTTGTTCCGCTGGCCAAGATTTGTCGACTGGCGTTAAAGCTCTCTTCACATGAAACACCATATTAAGTTTTCACTTTTAAACGTCATTTTCTAAAAATAAAAGTGAAAATTAAGTAAATGAACATCAATCGCATTCGAGCTCAGCTAAACGAGGGCGTTTGATTAATGCCAAGAAATACCACCCTATATAGGTTTATGTAAAAAAATATTCATACCAGTATCATGCAAATGAATAAGCTATCGAGGTCGGTCTTTGGCGTTTTTCAGACCAAAATATTTATTTAAGTGTTTTACTTGAGGAACATGTGCTGGTCTAAATATGAATACGGGCATAATCATAGTTCGTTTCGTGTTGACAACCAGTCATCGAATAAAATGCCCAACAACTGTACCGGATGTAGTACTTGGAAGCATTTAGGTATAGGAATACATATTACATCTTGATTCTGTTAATCAAGATCTTTCGATATGTATTAAGAACGATCCCTCTCCGCCTCCCGTATAGACTTCCATGTAAATACACGGCTTTCATTGTGCCATTATATGAGCCCACCCGAACTCTTCAAACTTTCTTTTAGACAAGAATGAGGAAATTCCCGCAAAAAACCGCTTGAAAGAGCAAAAATAGTGAAAATGATGAATTTCACCAAATGAACATTACGCTCTATCGAATGAAAAAGCAAAACTTCACCAGGAAAAGTAGTAATCCATTCAGCTCCATCCTACACGTAGTTCAGATCGACTTGGCAAAGACAGATAAAAAAAACAAACGCAGAGTTAGATAGATTGATTTTCTCTTGCGAGTACTCAGAAATTATTGCTAGTCGGCTGCATATTATTCGGCCTTATACCATAATTTCTGTTATGACTTTTAATATAAATGGTTGTAAAATACCTTTTAAGACTGGCAGACGGAAAGCACTGTAAATGTAGTACCTAGCACCAAAATATAAATAGGATCAAAAATTCAAATGAGACACTTACACAACAGTTGTAGATGTTTTAAATAGACAGCCAGCCATCGTGTCTTTATTAAGTTATATTAATGTTACATAAAGGTTGTATTTGTTTGCTACGTTTTACAAATAGAGTTGATTTTCACGGTTATTTCACAGAAGCTAGGATGTCCATTTTTCTTTTTTTTTTCTTATTCATCGAGTTTGTATCAAGCATTTGTCTAATCCTCATCTCCACCACCGGCACCACCGGCACCATCTCCACTTTCTTCGTCGCTGTCTGAAGTAGCCTGCAATCGATTGGGGCAAAAGAAAAAGTTATTCCACTTTTTTAAAATACTTTAACGCTCCAGGATAGAGAATGTGGTGGAAAAAGCAATATTTAATGCTACGATCTTTTCAAGACCTTACTTTTTGAACTATTACAATTTTTTTCCCAAACGTTTGTAGTTTACAATTTTTGTTTCCCAAATGTTTGTAGTTTAAAAGCATCCAAAAGCCATAAAATATTACTGACTGACCTTCGGAGGGCCTGCTTCGTCATCGTTGTCGTCATCGCCGTCAACCTCACGATTCTCTTCCTCCAAACTTTTAAGCTGCTTCTCAAGCTCTAATTCATCCATATCGGTCACAACTTTAGGTGCGTTCTGCACATTAAATACACCGCCGGCAGCCTTGATTGTTTGCTCAACCTTAGCAATGGCTTTGTTCAGCAAGTCTAAACCTTCGGTGCGTTCCATCGTGGTTGTAGTCATGACGTAAAGCGGCGGCGCGATTAAATTAATCTATTTGGACAACAAAAAAAACGTAAATATAGGTATGTCAATACTGCAAAATAGGCAACTCGTTTTATAATTTTGGGATCAAGGCTAGTCGGATTAAACCTCCTATAAAAGCATATAACAAGACAGATCTCAATAAATAAATAAATCTCACCTTTATCTGCATATCCTCGGTGGATAGGGACATTCCGTCCCGAAGAGCATTTTTTACGGCGTCGATGCCTTCGTACTCATAGCATGATACCTAGAAGAATAAAAACGGGACACGTCGAACAATTTACTCCAAAAGCCTTAATTTTATGTAATATGAAAAACATGAAATAATTTACCCGCCTCCGCCTTAGTAATTTACTATTTACGTATAGTTGCATGAAATTTCGCTATATTTGAATTTTATTGGAACTGATTAATGTGCAGTACCTCAATATCGGCGCGACATTTTAAGGCCTGAGGAGCTAAACGGTGATTAATTGTCTGTAAAAGGAGATCAAGGACTGGTTTCTCCAAGTTGCATTCATCGAGAACCTTCGGGTCGCTGTAAAAAGAAGCGAATATCTCCATTAGTCCAATAACATTGAAGCTAACTAGAGAAGTTATTCATCTGCGAGAAAAATTTAATAACATGCAATAACTCCATCTCTAGATTTGAAATACGAATATTGTAAAATCTTTTCTAAGCAAAATCTCATTTCAGTTAACTAGAAGCGACAGCCGTCATTTATGAAACACGGATAATCTTATCCTTATAATAATATAATACCAGATCCACAGCACTGTAAATTGTAAAATACTTTCGAATTCGCAGACATATTTTATATCCTGATTTCATTGAAGAAACTTAGCAAATTAAACGGCGGTAATAGAAATCTGAAAGGGTGCGTATGCCGGACATCTTCGCGAGGGCGCTCTGTGTCACCCAACTATCTAAAATGCTGCAAAATATTAAAATGACTTAGAACTTTATTTGTTTTTTGGATGACAAATTAAGGAACCGAAGAAAAAGCTAAACAAGTTACTTACGTAACTGCTGCTTTAAAGATGTCATGTCCCGCGGTGACTTTTTTGAGTTTCTCGTCAAAGTGCCACGCTGTTTTCCTATAAAGTTTGTCGAGCTGTGCCTTAGTATAATCTAATCTTTCCGCAACATGTCGCAGAATACTATTCACTGCGCGAGCTTTTGCAAATTTTTCCTCACACTTAACGATATCCTCAGCGGACACGCGACGTTTTGATAAATCGATGTATCCTGTACAGCCATATGAATGTCAGTATTTTCCATTAAGCTTGACTGTTAAGAGCAATACATGTCTAAAAGTATTGTTTAAGCATTCCTTAAGATTTTTTGACAACATTTCTATTTAAGAGACAAAAACGTTTTCAAAGTGGACTTTTTTTATTTTAAATATCCTCTTCCGACAAAAGTTGTAAGGTTTAAAGTTTTAAAGGGAACTTTGCTGTATATTGTTGGAATGTCGTTTTAATTGAGCAAACGTGTCATAACAAAATTTAAAGCAATTTTAGCTCCCTCAGCCATTTTTCAGTAATATAATATTCGTTGTTATTCTCTATGGTTGGATTGACCAGTGTTCTCATCGCATTATTACTCCAGTGTCGTACCTTCTCTTCCAATAAGCAATAACAGCAACAAACCTTTATTCTTGTCGACTCGAATAACAACGACACATTCGTTGCGTCCGACGCGAATGAGTTTATTAATCGACCGAATTCGCCGTCGCGAGAGTTCAGACAATAGGATCATACCTACCGCGATAGACACAAAAAACAAATACATCTTAAAGTGCTGCGGACCCACATCGGACCTACAATTTGAGGTTTCTACCTGAGGCTCTTTTAGCTTATACAGAGTCTTAGTATCAGCTTACCATGGAGTTGTGTTTGATTCGACTCAATATTACTGCACTTCCTCCACATAACATATTGTAAGAAAAAATAAAAAAAATTGAGTTAGTAAATTGTCCGATCTGGCGAAATAAAATTTTAGAGCTAGGAAACACTGATTTATCAGATAGTACTCTCGGTACTTCTGGGTGCAAGAATATAAATGTAATGTGAAAATTAACGCGATAAACATTTTGTGTTGTTTCGCAGAGTTCATAAATCATGAGGTTTAATTGGTAAGAGTGCAAGGATTTCTAACTGTCTCAATAGATCAAGAGAAGGTATATGCTTAGAAGAATGCTTGCTTTGGATACCAAAACAGGGCAGGAAGGAAAAGTGGCAAGCCCATTAAATGGAAAAGTCACCTTCGATATTGTCGTACTCGAGCAAATGGACATATGCGCCCATGTCAGCAATCTGGCGGACATTAACCATGACAACATCATCTGGTTCAGGATACCTAGCGGAGTAGAAACGACACGTCAGAACCATCTGTAAATTTTAAAATTATACAGTAAAATTAAGAGCAATTAGTTTAATTTTTTAATTAAATTCCATAATTATTAATTCCAGTTATTATTAATTGTTATTAAATTCCGAAACTTGGAAGTTTAGTTTCTTGAAATTTACTTAAATGAATGTATCCCTTGGAGGACAAACCATTTAATGAATGATTGTGTACATTAATGCGTTGGCTGAAATAAATCGTGGTCAGCAAGTTTTTCTTGCGTCAAGAGCAGCCGTTTTTGAAAAAAACTATTGAATTGTATACATCATTTACTTACAATTAGAATATACAGTTAATTATCAATATAAAAGAAATAAATTGTTATTTTCTACCAAAAGAATCTAAGCGTTCTTGTGACGGTCTGAAATTCACAATTTTTATTTAATTTATTTAATAGATAATAATATTTTACACATGTTTATACACTGCCCTAAATTATAATAAAACCATAACAGACCACTGAAAGCGTTGCTTTAGTTCCTATTTATACTTTTTAATAACACCTCATTTATGTATTTTTATTTTATTATTTTTTATTTTTTTATTTATGGGACGACATACAAGCTCTTCCTTTTTAAAATATTGGACTCACGATTTTGACAAGATAACAAAGATAGCCGTGAAATATTCTACTTCCTCAAATAACGCTGAAAAAATTACGTCCCTTATAATGTAGAAAAATATACGTTTAAAAACGTATTGTGTAACAAAATCCGTTTCTGCTTCGTAAATTCATTCGGCAAATGCCGTCCATCATTGCTTGGTCGTTTCGGCTAATTGGTTGAACGAAGCGTGCCGGTTGACATATGGGGTTGACATAAACGAAACACCTACGCTTAATTATACAAAACATGTGCACAAGACAATATGTTGTGATATTACTTCACACGCAAAATATGAGATTTTATCTTGTTCAAAACGAAGCGACAATAATAGAGATAGCATCCACCACAAATGAATGATTTCGCAAGAGATATTCAAATTTCATTAATCTTGAAAACCGGCTTGATGGCAGACACGCAAAAATTAGTTAACCTGCCAAAACAAACGATGAGTTGGAAGTTCTTACCTTGAGAATTAATCGCGCGTCAAAAGAAGTCACTCAGTAAACTAATGAAACTCGACTCACGCTACAACACTATTTTGATATTTTTCACAATATTCCATACGACAGCATGTGGCAGAAGAAGCGACTTGGCCAATATTTTGGTCGGATGTTAGTGTCGAACATAGGCGGCGCCACTGTTCAATTAGAACCTCGCCGATTGAACTGATTTAAAGGTTTGTATCCTTTCTAATTTTTTAGTGGACACTTGACCCGAATACAAGCAATTTGATTTCAATTACTAAAAGTTACGAGAAATAGTATTTACTAAAGAGTGAGATCGTTTGGCAAAAAGAGCCAAGCAGCGCCCCCTGGTATTCGAATTGCTTATTTGGGGATTCGAAACCACTCATGTTTCCTCTTTTTGTGAAACCCTCGATTGCATGAGGCCGCTTTTTTTACATCCAAAGAAATCCGGCGAGGACAGAATCCGATTGGAGCTATGTGAGTGTTATACCAAAGCTAATCAGAAAATTTAACCGGTTCTGTATGAAACTTTGTGCTTTATGAAACAGTTCAATTAAAAATGCCATTTTTGTTTAATCAGCTGTAACACTAGCAGCCAATTCAGCTCATTGGGTGACATTAGTGCATAAATTTTTACGAAGAATAACAAGAAATCCTCCGCTAATCCATTACCTAAATAATAGTATGTAGCAAAATATACAATCTGTATCAAACATTAAAGTTGGAGCACAAAGCTTCGCACTTGACCGGGTTTTGATTAATGTAGTCCTGAAATGATGAACTTATCGTCTAAATCAAAGACTCAACTGTGGTTACGCACGAATTCCTTCCTTAGATGTCTGAAATCATATAAGTACGTATGATTCTTAAACATGGAAATATAAACTTTCAAGATTTCTAAACTTCGTTCAATGTGCAATATTGTCTAACTCCATAAAACTCTAGGGAACCGGTTGAGCAGATGGATGTTACTCAGGCCCTCCAAGAAGTGCTAAGGATTGCCAACCACCGCCGTGGATTAGCTAAAGGTCTTCATGAGGTCGCTAAAGTCCTTGGAGAGTACGTATATGCTTTGCATGCAGGTGTAAACCTGTTCGAAGAAATACTGCTGCTGTGGTTTATCAGGGCGAAAACTTTTAAGTTGCAGTCCGCAATGATTGTGTATAAATTTATCAGACTAAATACTTGGCGCAAGCGGAATTCCTCTCTTAGATATCAAGGAGCAGTACTAGTCTCTGTTCTTGCTTCCGTTTTAAGCTTAAATTTTAATTATTCCGGTTTTTTTTAGAGGTAAGGCTCACTTATGCGTACTCGCGCAGAATTGCGATGAGTCTATGTACAGAAAGCTTGTTGAGGCTCTCTGCGCTGAACGTGGCATCCGCCTTTTCCAAGTAAGTATTAGCAAAAAAAAGCATTTTCTAATAATAAACAGTTAATTTGATTCAGGCAAAAATTTATTATTTACGAGGAATTAATATAGTAATAGATGCACGTCCTACTTCTGCGTGTTCTATGCATATGTGGCATACAGATAAAGTTATAACTCCCACAGTCGATCAGTTGATGTCTATTTCGCTCTTAAATGGACAGGTGGATTCGAACAAAAAGCTTGGCGAATGGGTCGGTCTCTGCAAATTCGACAAGGAGGGCAAAGCGCGCAAGGCAAGTTTTGTTGAGAGTAGTAAAGATTTGTACTTCAACTATTAGAGATTGTAAATAGTGAGATGTAAAAATACCACCAAAGTTGGCATTAGGTATGTCATAATGTAATTTTGCATATAAATACTATATTTTGAATTATTAAAGGTTGTAGGCTGCTCATGCATTGCTGTTAAGGAATATGGTGAAGAGACGCAGGCACACGATATCCTTACGGAGTACTTCAGAAAGCAAAAGTCTTGAACGACGAGGAGCACTTCGAAGGTTTTAATCTTACTGTCCCGACTGCGAGCCCATTCCATCAACAGCCACCTCAGCAGCTAATGGTGACCTTTGGATAGACTTGGGAACACGCCCATCAGAATTTAAAATAAACAGGTTCTGATGTAGGCCATCAATGAGGACGTGCTTTTTTTATTCCATAGGTACACTAAAGCAAGCTAAAAATAATTTCGAATTAGTTTATCAAAATTCTATTTAAATGTAATTAAGTCAGATTATATGGTGTTCAGTATATAGTTACCCTGACTAGGTTGAAAGCGTTTATAACAAATATCATCAAATACAAGGTGTTTCTACTATATATATATATATATATACACACATAAGGCCACAATTGGCCTTCACTGTAATAGAGACCAATTAGAATTTATTTTTTTATCCATCGGAGATATCTTTTAAATAATTTCAAAAACAGTACTATCATAATTTGTTACTTTTACTTCGTACATTAATTATATATCGCGTGACTGGCCTCGCACTGTTAAACTTAGTGGACCAGCTATTTTAGATCGAAATTATAGTCCAATGTTTTGAAATATAAGGCTCTCAATACTTATTCAAACATTCTTCCAAACCAGAGGCATAAGTTGCTTAAGACCAATTACAGTCAAAACGTATAAAAAATTATGATTTCGAAACTCCTACATAAATTAGGTTTGACCACATTTATCCTTCTATATTTCGCGTTTCACATCCGGTATCGCCGTTAGGCGGTCCATCAGACAGTTTGCTCGTAGCGCGAAATGAAGTATCTGTGCCCGGACACAACATAACATTACGTAAATGAACAACGTTAGTGTCGATATTAAATTATTTTTATGGTGGTTTCTGGTCCACCATGGTGGAAAAGTATGAGCAAACAGTATATTTAGTTAATTATACAGCATATGGTAGGAAAAAGTACTTCAAATTATCTTTGTTATAAATATCGTTCTCCCCCGTTCCTATTTATTATTAAGGGACTAAATAAATTTAATTCCAACTAGATTGGTAAGACGAAGCTCCGTTAGCTTACGTTAGCCATACACTGCGTTTTTTTAGAGCTGCAAGCGAAGTTGAACTAACTACAGCCTATTTCTTCCAACAGTAGTAAAACAACTCCTATTGTCGCTGTTTATTCCAACAAATCATAATATTAAAAAAATTAAAGATTTTGGAAAAGACTAAAAATTTGAAATTTAAACTTTGATTTAAATTGAAATTTTTTTTAAAATATCCAGGTATAAGTTACTGTTTGTTAGGGCTTTGTTAGTTTTTACGATATGGCTTCATAAAACAAAACGTATTTTAAACAAACCTGATCGGCCTAAGTATAATTATTTTGTCGTGATTAAAAGGTTTCAGTTATTTAGAAGTGATTAAAATTTTTGCTTAAACCATTTTTATACCATTTACCTTAAAAACGTGAACTCCATGTATTGCTTCAATCATACTTAAAAATAAAGCCTTTTCTCGATATCATCTTTCAAATGATGCTCCCTTCCCATCAAAACAACGTGATGACATAGTAATGTACTTTCCGTTACCTCTTGTATACTCGAATAAAACATAACGGAGAAGAATATACGTACTTATAAATACCGAAATAAATATTTCGGAGGAATGTTCCTGCACCTAGGGGTATGTAGTGAGTAGCTATCGATTGCACAGTTTGCTATAGAGGCAACGGACTAAAAAATTAAAAAACACATCTAAAGAAAACTGAAAACCCGTATTAACACGATTGAGTTAGTAAGATTTGACACAATTCAACTATCGTTGTCACATAAATCCTGATATACAGATCCAAATATGACGTAAGGATAACCTCTTTCTAAGCAACACTACCATAATTCCGACCGATTTAGTCAACAATTGAAACCAGTATGGTCTCATACGATTTACTATTACTAATCTACACTTATTGCAGTTTGTACCAGTAAAATAACGCATCTAAAATACCGGATGTTTATCAGATTACTCTAGACAGTTCTTGGATGAGGTGAAGTAGAACGTGTTTTTTGAACGCCTTTTTTTATGAAGCATTGTTAGAAGAAATATTTCAACTTTAGGGATTATATGGATGAAATTTCCCTTAAAAAGTTTTAGTTTTTTTTTAAGTTTTAAAGTTTTTTTACAGTTTTAAGATGCATAACGGAACTGCAGATAAGATTGCCTAACAAGGCTGATAAGACTAAACGCAACAATTTACTTTTATTGAAAGCAAACCGGACTATATTCACAATATTGCAGTTGAATACACCAAGCTCACCCATTACAAGGCCTTCCATACCCAAGAGAAAGAAGTAGAATTCTACTACTTCCAAAAAAACGACAGTGAGAATTCTATTCTAATATTTTGAGTCTTGACTAAAAAAACTCTTTTTGCTAGGTATTATGAGACAGAAGCTAACTATTTGTTTTTCAGTTTTTGAAAAAAAGTAGTTTTAAAACCAAATACACTACAGTACAAAGCAGACCTTTTTTGATAATGACCTTTGAAATCGACCGCAAACAAGTATATCTGATTAGTTTATCGCAGACATTAAAAACAATTATAAAGGGTTGGCGTAATCCAATTTCATACTTCATACAAGTCAAATGTTCAATTTAATCTCTAAATTTGTTTTATGGTCCCTAGACCTTACATAATTACTACAGGAGTGTAAGTCCTTAGCCACCCAAGTGGTTAAACTTCCTGTAGTGCCCAACAGCTCCACGCCTTTCTCATGTTTCCCGTTCTGTTACTTTTTTTTTTTACTTTGGTTTTATAAAGGACTATCCTCCAAAAATTTCATTATTCCATTTTTGTACTATTTTGCCGACAGTCATCACAAAAATTTCATAAATGGCATACATTTTTCTTATCATGTCATCATGATAAACTTTTAAAAAGCACTATAACAACGATGAGCGTAGTGGCATTTTTGATCTGATTGGATGCTCTGATTCACCATATATGCGGCAGACAACTGGTTCGTTCTCTTACTGTTGCACTTACTGTAAGTATACAGTAACTTCTGTAGGCAGATACTGCTTCTGTCCAACTTCAGTTCCTCGATTCACACTCGATTTTACTAAATATTTGAACATTGGCGCGCTTCGGCACCGCACTCATCGCTCCTGCTGCCGCAGCAATTTGTCCGTTTTGCCGCTACTCCTGCTGCCGCAGCAGCTGTTGTCGCTGGCGATGTTTTTATGCCTGTGTGTCTGAGTGTATGTTAGGCAGTGTGTGTACATGACTGTGTATAAGAGTCGCTCTGTGTCTGTTGTGCTTGTGAGCCATAACCGCCTATATTATTGTCAGTAGCCCCATTCGTAGTGTGTTCGGGTTGATGTGGAAGACGCTCCTTGGCCACCTGCACAACCTCGCAGCTGTTCAGGTAAGTGGTAAAAAAATTAATGTTACAGCTGTGTGGTCGTGAGACGAACGTTCGTCGACGCGTGACCGGTACGTGCCATCACCAGCTCCAGAATGATACCAAACAGAGTTAGATATAGATACACAGGCCGAAAACGGCTGCAGTAGGCGGCTGCCTGGCTGCTTGCAGTGGCTGCTCTGCTGGTATAGGCAGGCAGGCAGCCAGCCGAACGCTGTGATTCGCCCGGGGCGGCCAATGGTGGCGCGCCGGCCAGTGATTGGCCTGCCGGCGGCCACTACGCTGACGCAGAGGCCACCCGCTTCCCTCGAAAAGGACTCCCACAGCTGACGCATTGGCTACGGCAAATCGACATCCACCACCACGACGACAAATCGGTGGTGGTGTTGGTAGCCAGCGGCGGCAGACCAGTAAACGGTTCAACAAGGGAAATTGGCCGAACGGCCTGTCAGCAGCCTGCAGTACGCACAGCGATGTATAACGGCATTGAATAAACCTCACTGTGGCTCCTTCCTTGGCTAACGTTGGTGTTCGAATCATACAACTAACTAATGAATGGTGCCGATAATGCTCATAGTTCGGGGATAGCCTAACAGTAGCTACTGCTCGAACGCATTGTCAGTCCAATGTTAAGCCTTGTATACCTGTAGAGTATGAACGAACTATAGCGCAGAGCTACACAAAACACAACAACCTTGTGCACTATTATTCAGTGTGGCTGTAGACGGCTCTACAAGCGCGGTTCTAACCAACAAGCAGTTATATATACAAGGGCAACAGCGGTACCACTATAGCACGCTGCGTGATTCGACACTCTTGGGTGGTGTTTTGTTGAATTTTGTGTATCGGTGTGTACGCCGATTATTTCTCCATACCTACAATCGGCCTATAGTAGCAGCAGTAAACAGCAGTTTGCGAACCTTTGTGCACATAAACGAAAAAACGACTACGTATAGCTTTTGGTAGAATATACAATAATAAACTTGCAGACCTTTTCATGGAGTGTAAAAGTATAACCGAAATAGTGTACACAAGTCATTTTTTGAATCATTGCTTTCCAGCGCTGATATTACTAAAATATAGTAAATCATCTTCACAAATGCGAATGATGACAGCAAGTTATTGGCAACGCCCTTTTTTCTAGTGAGAAAGGTCATTCGCTCTTAAAATTTTTAGAAAATTTTGGGTAAAAACGAAGGTAGGAGGCGCTTGAGAGGTGGTCTGCGTGAGTTCAGGGTGAACAAACCGAACTGAAGCGGATCGAAGATCTAAGTATAGACATCTCTTGGGACATCGAGAGTGATACGGAAATCTTTGGATGACGAACAACATTTACTTGGGACATCATTCCGCATTAAAATCCCTATGTTATATCGTTCCAACAGCGACATAACTCGCTCATCCCTCTTTTGAATAAAATACTGTGTCAGCCAATTCCGTGTTTTAGTTAAATTGTGTATGCAAAGCGGCCAAATACGCATTTGTTGTAATCAAAAAAAAACAATCAGTACAGCAGTTTCAGTGTTTTGCTATCGCAGCTTAGCAAAAAAAGGAAACGTCGAAATCGCGGCGATTCGCGTTCATTATATGTGACGGCGCGTCTTCTCGTAAGTTAACAACGAAGTTGGACAACACAGCGGTGCAGGAAGGTGCAACTCGCGGCAATGTCAGAACGTTACTTCAAAAATCCGTATGAGGATTATGAAGAGTATATTGAAAAGCACCGCGCATTTTATTTAGACAAATTTATTCCGGAAATAGAATGTACAGTGTATAAGTTACTCAAGGTACTTGAGTTAGAGGTTCCGATCAAGACAGATTCGCGTGACTATTCTGTGTACACTGGCTCAACTGGCATCGCACTGTTGTATATGAAACTGGCTGATGCACAACCGGAAAAGAGGGACCAACTATTGGAGAAGGCTCGTGAGATATTGGTGACCCAACGACTAGCCAAGAAACGACATGATTTTACATTTCTGTGCGGAGATGTGGGACCCATTGCTACTCGCGCAGTACTTCACCATCGAATGGGATACTCGAAAGAGGTCAAAGCTGACATCGACCTTCTGCACAAATTTGCCACAGGTAAGTTCTTATTTTCTGTTTCAACATATCTTTTGGATTTGAGTTTTTTTTTTGTTAGATGCAAGCTATGGTTCTAATTGGTACTCATAATTGATGTCATAAATGTGAATTGTCACAAGGTAAGAAACGCAATAGAGGTAAGAAATTCAAACAAACTAAGCGTTAAAAATCGCAATGTTACAATATGTCCTATTATGTGTACTTCTATGGGTCGCACTCTTTTTCTACAATACAGCGACGGCAACAAAGCTGGTAAAAGATGCGAAATTTACTATCGTAGGCGCGTTGGCAAACCTACGATCAAGGTTTTATCTTCGCCATTATGGCGGGAATTTTGTTTCCTTACAACATGATAACGGGCGAAGATATAGCGTAGTTACTCTGAGAAAATTTGGTACGCCAGTATATGGTAGTAGGTCGAATTTTTGAAGGGAAAAAGATCTTAGTGCATTGTATCGCCCATTACATTCGCGGTCTGCTAGGGAATGTCCTTTCCCTTAGTAAACAAAAATAGAACGCAAAAAAAGAAATATCGCAATGTGGTCTTACCTATGTTAGCCAATTCTCGAGGTGATGGAATGGGCAGGTGAACTTACGCCTAATGTTAGGCCAAATATGCAGCATTGAACGCCTGTAGTAATACAACTTGTGGAAAGTTAGCCGTGTCCATCTGCCGAATTGACTGCCTCATTCATTTAATTGGAGTGCAAATGCAAAACTAGGCAATTTTGCTGTCCCAAAACTCGGCAGAGTTTTGCGACAGCAAAATTGTTGATGCGTTAGGATACCTACTATTAAATAAACAACATTTAAAATGATTTGAAGGAACTACATCTCATGGTGTCGACTTATATTATAAGTATATATATATATATATATATATATATATATATATATATATATCTGGAGCGTATTATAAATAAGGTTCTCTTTGTATTCTAGCATTTTTCTGTAAAGAAAATTGTGATAAGTCATTTGATTCCAAAGCTATTTGGCATAGCACCATACTTGACATCTCATAGACACAGATCTAGATTTGAATTTAATCCTATAGGATCCCGAATTCGTGAAGTTGTTACAAGTCAGGCAGTATTTCTTCTGGAATTATATATACTTATTTAGTTATCACGTGATCTTAAAAACAATTGACGACACGTTGTATGGTTATTACCGAACACGAATTTTCAGACCAGTCAACGCTCCTTAATCCCAGCAGCTAAGTTGATTGTTTATAGCGGATGGAAGATGAGTCAATATAACCAAGTTCTCCCGTTAATTGTAGTATGCCTTTGAGTATGCAGAGATTTGTGGTTTAAAAGCGTCAAAGGCAAACAGGGCTATGCCATATGTTAGCTGTTTATTGTGATTTATCAACATGACAGTAGCTTTCCTCGATTTAAGCACTCCACGAAAACTATGATAATGAACGGCAGCCCTTCATGGCCAAAGACTCATTTACAATGTCTTGAGCTTATACGTACGATAATGGTCGTCTTCACATGCTTGCAGATCTTAGGTGAACATCGTCCGTGAACTTTTGTACGTCGGTCTACTTTTCCACGGCTATTTAAATTCGATAATTGTTTTTCTCATAATGTTTGATTTCGTTATGAAATGACAAAGTATTTTTAGTTCATTCAAGTAGTATCTAAACATATGTTTTTATCATAACGTTAAAATGCCACGTAACTGATTAGATTAATGCTTTTAATGTTTGCCGTAATCATAAAACTCATTTTAAGAAACAAATTTTTTTACAGGCAAAGAAAGGTACGAAACGCTAGAAATAAGATAATAGATTATCGATTAAAAGGAATGTACACTTCTCTTTACTTGAGATTTTGTAGTTTCCTCGGAGTTCTCATTGAAACAAAAAACTACTGGCTCCATTTTCTTGGTGGGATGCTGCACAGTTCACCCTACTATGCTCATATCATCGTTTATATGAAACATCGAATTGCAAGTCAACGGATCAAGTCGTGTCAACGATTGTTCCTTAATTGTTTTATAGTAGGTCAGATTTTTCCCCTTCCAAAATTCTTAAAAACGTGCGACACGGGCTCGATGAGCAACGAGGCTTCGGAGCAGACTTAAAATTTTTGTTTAGAAAATCATCGATAGCACAGATCGTCAAAAGAACTCAGAGCCTTCGCTTCGTGCCCTCTTACTCTGGAGATATATGTGCGATTTCCTTGAAACGCTTCAATGCCATAAGATCGTATCAGCGAAAAACTTAAAAATTTTATTTCTGTCTCTTAGAAGTTAGAGGTTAAGAGTTTCGAGTTCCCGACGTCTTTTTGTATGTCATAAAATTAATAATAAGATAGTGAGTCAACCCGTATTTATTTGACGCTATGAAAATTCGGTCGTTTTTTCAGATAGCATAGCGCTTAAGCGGATTATGACATAATATTGAGCCAAGACGATCTCTAATAAGCTAATTTTGTGTTTACAGGTTGTCTGTCATTGGAAACTGGTGAACCAGATGAACTCCTCTATGGACGTGTCGGGTATTTGTATTCGCTCTTATTCATCGAAACTCATATTGCTGCTCATTCAATAGATGCCAAGCTTATAAAAAGCGTAGTGCAAGCTGTCATTGAGTCTGGGGAGGTAATGGCCTCACAGATGAAAATACCTACTCCGCTTATGTACAAATGGCATGACAGCTACTATCTGGGTGCAGCTCATGGTCTAGCTGGTATCACGTATATGCTATTGGAGGCTAAACAATATTTGTCTGCCGAAGAAATGTCGAAAGTCAAAGCAACGATTGACTATCTTATAACGATTCGTTATTCATCCGGAAATTATCCTTCATCACTTGGTTCAACGTCCGATAGACTCGTCCACTGGTGTCATGGAGCTGCAGGATTCATACACCTATTTGCCAAGGCCTATGAAATATTTGGAGAAGAACTGTATCTAAAAGAGGCGAAGTCGTGTTCAGAAGTCATCTGGAAGCGTGGGTTGCTCAAGAAGGGTTACGGGCTTTGTCATGGGGTGGCCGGAAACGCATATGCATTTTTGAGGGTGTACCGACTGACTAGTGAACAGAAATACCTTTATCAGGCATGCCGGTTTGCCGAGTTCTGTTGTGCTTACGGGACCCATGGCTGCCGGATAGCTGATCGACCATATTCGCTCTTTGAGGGCATGGCAGGAACGATTTTCTTCCTCGTGGACATGCTTAGTCCAACACAGGCGCGGTTTCCAGCTTTTGAGCTGTAAACATCTCTATAATGACGCAGTCATTCTGTGTTAAACATCTGTTACTAATAAGTAACCGCGATAGTTTTAGAGGAACCTCGTCGAAAGTATGCCTGGCTGTTTTATGCCGAGGAGAAAACTGCGTATGTTCAACGTTACTTGATTACGTGCACACGTGTTAGGTACGCATTATACATATGTATTCTTCGAACCACCATACCAAATTGCGCCGGAAAATGATTCACAAATTCTGATTTCTACGGATTGATGTAACTTGTTGTAGTCGTCACTTAGAAACGCTAGATAATAAATGGGCATGCCTAAAGGAAATTGAAAGGTGGAGATTAAGTTTCTTTAGTCTTCAAACTCCAAGACCGATTGGACAAATGAAATAGCCTGACCTTTATATGTACCGCTAAATAGAAGAACATATTTTATCATATGTTGGACTTCACCAATCTAGTGGACCAGTTGTCTATTTCAATACTTGATGGGACAAAAAGCTATATAAGTGTCATAAAGTATTATATGATAAACACCTTGACAAATAAACTGCAGTGGAGTTATGAAAATAATAAGATGACTGTTTTTGGTTGGTGAATAAAAATCTTGAATACGTACTTATGCTAACGATAGTAAGCGTAATAATGCCAGTGTTAGTAACAGGTTATCCATGAATTCCTAGCCATAGAGGAATTATAGATAGAGAAAACAATGTGTTCACAAAATATTTCGTTGCAATAAACAACTGATATTTTAACTATTGACTGGCGTTTAATCAATATGAGAACCATGAAGACGTCCCTCCGAGAATCCAGTAGAAGAATATGACCTTCCTAGATCGGCTGGAGCAAATCTAGCCCTGGTAGATATTGCAAATAACAGTTATAATACCAATATTAGTGGCACCTGCAGGAACAAGCACATACCTTCTGAATATAATGACAACGGTGATTAGGTGCTTAGGTCGATACACGTACATGCATTAAGTTCTGTAGTACTGTATTTACGTCTACACATCACAATGTGCTTACGACACGAGTGCAAGCATCAGCTATCTGTCTAAGGTATTTCTGTGATGCGCAGCAGTGTAGTAACGAGTTCACATCTATACCATAACCATGGGTGAGAATCCACCAAGAAAGCCCACAATATCCCGAAACCTCTGTTGCCTTAAAAATAAATTGTGTTCCCATTGCTACGGTCTAATGTGTTGCTGTTTTCACTTAGAAAATCTACACGCTGACTCTGCTGATGAAGATACTGTATTGGCGTTAAAAAACAATTTATGATGACTGGTTAGATATGGATCGTATCTACCATAGATATTTAATTGGGTGTACGAACGATGATCCATTCTATTGTATTGTGAAATACCTAACTTGTGTGCTAAGAGATTTAATTACAGAAACTATCTAAATGCATGAGTACTCTGAAGCCCATGTATTTTAATTGTTAGGCATTATTCCAGACGGGCCTCGCTTAATCTAATTTGAATTTACCTCTAACTGATCTGTTAAGAGATATGGTAATCGTGTGCCATAGAAGCTATTTTCTAACTTGAACTAGCGATATATGCTCGTGGTCAGCATGACAATGCGCTCAAGAACATGCTCACTGGCCACTTGTACCACATGGATGAGGCCTATATCTAAAAGTTATGATTTTCTTAGTTTTTTGCTAATCTTGTTATTATAAATATTTAAAATACTTCATTTTGTCGAATTTATATGTTGTGTCGAATGGTATCGTGGATGATGGTAGCAATTTTTTTTTGCGAGGAAGCCTCTTTCGAGGTATCGGAAGCCGAATAAATACTCAGCCTCCACTTTTCGTTAAAATAGAAACAAAGATCGCTTCTTTATGTTTTGTAATTTATTTGTGAGCTTCGTAGCCTGTTGTCCTTAATGTAAAAGATTAAGAGGAGACATAAAGGTTACGATAGAAAAGATAAGCGATCTAATACGTGCAGTATCTCGTCTCGACGAACACAATCATGTATCAAGTGAAAATAAGTCGTTTTAAAAACCGAGTGATCTAGCATAGCATAACGTCACAAAATATTCAAACTAGGTAGGTTATGTGTGAGTAACTTTTTGCTTTGTTGTGACACAAATTTTTACTATTGTGTGTTTACAGGTGGCAGGACGGTGGCGAAAGCTCTATTGGTGGTCATAACTTTAAACTTGTTTTAGAACAAAGTGACGATCTCCGCTGAATTGGATTTCTGAGTGGAACTCATCTCGAGTCGGGCTAGCTGGATTAGTTATGAAGTTATGCTCGATACAAGTTGTATTTGAAATTGCAGTCCAGCATTCAAGCAAACTGGTTTAAATTATACTGGAGCAATGACGGAGCAAAATTTTAACCAACCTTCGGGGTCGGTGATGCAGTTTGAGAATCCGAATCATGCAAAAGACCTTCTGGAAAACTTCTTTGCTCGCACAATTAGCGAAATGCACAGCATGAACTATGTGAGTATTAATATTCGGAAAATCGCGAATCTAGAACGTTTGACGGTTTTACAGTGCACGGTAACGAGAGAAAATTGTGTGTTGTTTTTAAATTGTTTGCCAGAGACTAATTGTGAGGAAAGAATTAGCTCCCGGAATTGATTCAAATCATGCTTTTTCTCATATTACAAAATTAGGGATATGTAAAGCGACATAAGATTGAAGCGCTCTATGATGTCACACTTTACAATCATTCAAAATTTATTGACCCACGTCCGGAATGGTAAAAATGGTTCTACTTAGATTGAGAGGTGTCAACTTATAGCGAAGGATTACTTATCAGAGTTTCTAGATCCTGCTTGTGCTAACTTACTGTCATTAGAAAATATAATATCGTGGTTAGCTAGTAAGGCCTCCTGGTAAGCCGGCCCAGTCGACCAGGCGATAGTCATAAATGTGTTTCGTATAATATAGGTGGGACTATTGTGTACGCTTACTATATATAGTTATCTCTATTTGTGTTTTAGGCTGATTCGAAAGCACCTGAGCTCCCATTGGCACGAATAAAGAAAATTATGAAACTTGATGAAGATGTAAAGGTTTGTGGTTTTTAAATATAATAGTTTGTAACTTTCCGCAGCGCAATCATTATTGTAAGTTTATGGTTTATAATTGATGAAATGTACACTATTTACTGGTGATACGGTAAGCTGCGCGCAGGATTCACAAATCTAAGCATCGTCCCCATAGGAATCCATCCTGCGTTCAGTTCAAAGTGCAGTTTTAATAAGTTCTTTAAATCGTCTGAGTCTTTATTATCGATTCACTATGAACAGCACAATTACCGTCGCACCCCTTGCTCGTATTATATTTTCAATTATTTCCATAACTTCGCGAATAATAAGCTTTTATTTTAAAGGAGGTAATAGCGATACGTTTTGGTTCTTGCAAGAAAAAGGTCTTTTTCTAATTGACGGTGCAGAGATAATGCATCTGGCACTGCAACCCATGTGATAGTTGGTCTATTCAGTTTAGCTTTGAATTAATTTTATTAAGGCCAAACTTGAGAAGCCGCGCCTTGAAAGTAACATTTTTATCTTTAAAATTAGTATTCATATAAACTTAAGTTCCTGGCTTATTATTAGCCGAAAAGCTTATAGTGAAAATTAATTATAGTAAAAACGAAAATCAGTTATTATTTGCTACAACACTTATAAATTCGTAAGTGCTACCCAGACTAAATACTTAATTTATAATAGCAGGATTTTACACACCCGCTAAAACGACCGGTGGAATTGATAAATAGCACTGACCACTTAAAATAGGACAGCCAACTAATAAGCGGCTCACGACAGGTGTGATAGAAAAAATCTGTCAAATCAGAGCAAATGTAATCTGCTACTGTACTTTCTAGAATTGTTTTAAATAGATCTCCCACTTCTATTAACGAATGTAGTTCATGGGTTGCAAAACACCTTTGTTCACGTCCGTATGTTGCTTGAAAAATACTGATGGCTTTCAAGTTAGAACTGAAGCATTTTTTGTATTATAAAACGATGTTACTATAGTAGGTAATCGCCTTTTTAATCGAAGAGTTTAAATCATTTTTGTAGTAATATCTCGTCGTACACTGTCACGATGGAAGGTGACGCCTCTTCTGTTCACTAGATCCGATAGATTTTTTTCAATAACTTGTTGTAATTTTGTTAATTGTTGTCTTACTGTTGCTGCCTACGGTTTGTCGGACGGCAACAGCTCATATTGCACGATTTCCTCCCAATTCCACCAAAGGCCTAGTATTACCTTCCTTCATTGTCTCTACAATCTCTGGCACCAGTCCGAGTTTTGCCACAAATTCTGGAGCTTTTTCCGCTTTGACCATGATTTGTTTTGCCTGTAATCCACTTTTTATCATCCTAGTTAGCCGCTTGAGAAATGGCTCAATCCCGTTGCATTTTTACAGAATTTCGCAGATGAAAATGCAATCGAATAAATTATTTTGTTTGCTTTCCTCAAATTAATAAAAACTGTTTGCTTTACTTCCTTGGGGGTGCGTTGGCTACTCACTCTTGCGCCACTCAACTTTCGCAGTAACAATTTTTTTGCGTAATAAAAGTATTTTTTGATACTGAACGAAAGCGACACAACCATGCTTGAGCCATTTCTCCGGTATCGCATGTTGATCATAAACATGAGTTTTTTTTTTATAGATCTGGGCGGAATTTGTGCCTTTATCGTAATAAAATCATTAAACATAGTGAATTTTTGTAGATATTTCACTAATATATAAGGCGCTCTATCCTAACTCTACCTAAAGATATCCCAACAATTTTCGCGCATCAACCATTGTCGAGTCTCAGCCTTTAGATAACCCCGACAGGACTGATTTTATCAGAGACGACATTGAAGTCGTCTAGCTAAAAGAATTTTCAATACTTTTTGGACCACTCATTATGTCTTTATCTGATGGGATTCGAGCCACTAATTTCTCGTGTTATACAGCTAAAAAATTAGGTATGTAAGTCACAGCAATGAATACTTGAATTTATTGTTGAAATTTATTCGCGTTATTTCTGTCCTGGTTTTCTTTGTTCTCCTAAAGATGATAAGCGCGGAAGCACCGATCCTGTTTGCGAAAGCTGCGGAGTTATTTATTATGGAGCTCACTCTCCGGGCCTGGGTGCACACTGAGGATAATAAGAGAAGAACATTACAGAGGTAAATTGCTATTGCGAATAAATAAAGTCGAATGTTTTCTCTAACCCTGTATGGCTTGTAAACGTTTTGATATTTTGCTAGGGTAGGATTCATGTTCTGGTGAGCTATCGTAAGATACATGAGCATGAGCCAATTGCGGGTCGGTATACGAATGCTCCAATCTTAAAAAAATTGAAAAAAAAACATACTAAATTCTGCTTATTAGCGAATTCTTCATTATGCTTACCTGTCTTTTTCATATCATCTGACATACAGTAGTAACCCCCATACATCGACATAATTAGCGTAAGAGCGACTTCAATTTCTTATTTAAGGACGTAGTGACTGGAATAATACAGACGCTTATTTAAGTCATTTGTTGCGTAATATCCTCATAACTGCTTGTTTTTACTTACGTTTGATTATTACAGAAACGATATTGCCATGGCGATATCAAAATTTGATATGTTCGACTTTTTAATTGATATCGTGCCCCGTGAGGAGCAGCGTCCTACTATGCAGCAATCAACAGCACAGGTTAGACTGAGCAGTGTTTTAATTTATGTTGTTTGTTTTTATTTGGCCTCTCCCCAATTACTGATAGTACTATAACGCAAGAAAGAACACGTGTATCCACTCTGGTTTCCAGGAGTGATGACTTAGTATGTGTATTTGCAGGTAGATTTACGTCGTTGTTTATCTAACGCCGCCACCTTAGTTTATTTATTATTGAATGCCAAATCATGGGAAGCACATATTACATCGCAAGCAAACATTTATTCATCCCTTGGTCTGATGAGCTTCTTGGTAAATATAAAAAATCATATTATTACTTGGAGTTTTTAAGATGATAGTCTGTATTGTGTGGAAAAACCAGATATAATGCCCTAATTAACCTAGTCATTAGTTATAAAGACCCTATGTCGATGTTTCTTCAATCTTTATTGATGATACAGGTGAAAAGTCAAACGTTAAAAGAGGCTGAGCCGCAAGTGCTTAAAACTGTCTCGACGGCGCAGAATCAAAGTACAACTGTTGGAACAACTGACCAGGTAAGGACAATATTTTTACCTCCATAATTGCGTACATAGCGTAAATAATACAAGTAAAGTACCTGTACCCGCTTGCCTCCGACACACTTTGGCACTTTTGAACACTTTGCATACGAATAAAGTTATGTATTTAAACGTATTTCAAAACAATACGTTTTTGGTCGCTCAGTTGATGCTTGAGCACAGTTTCTCTAAGTTCTTTTCAAGTGTCGTAACCTTTTTGCAGGTACAATACCTTCTTCAGTTAGCGGCGCAACAAGGTACGTTAGGCGGTCTTCCGTCTGCTCCTCAGTTGGGGCCTACTCAGCAAATCCAGATTTTTCCGCAAGGGGGCGGACCTCCGCAAACGATACAAATCGCTGCTCCTCAGCCTACCCATAACTTCCTCGCTCCTCAGGTGCCTTTTTGCGATTTTATAGGGGTGTCGTTTTCAAATGTATGCTTGAAATTAGATTAATCCGTTAAGTAACCACATGACTGATTGCAAATAATGGCTACAGTATTTTTACGATGTTATGTACGCACAAAGACGGTAATCTAATAAGGTTATGTTGACGTAGTTCTACCATAGAGAGAGCTAATCGCAAATAAAGTTATAATTAGTGAGCTTTTATATGAGTGTAACTCTGTAACTTTTGATAATTTGATTCGTGCATGTCAAGATATGTATTTCGGTAGTTACATCCAAGTTAACTAAATGATTAATGAAAATCTAACCTTCATTTACCATTTGTGCTCATTCTATTAAGGTGGTTCAGGTTGCCTCACTTGATGGGGGCCAAACAGCGGCCCTCGTTCAGAACGGTCAGGTAATTCAGCAACTCCAGCCACCGGTACTTCAACAAACAACAACTCCTGGTGCTCAGGCACAACCTCAACAGATACAGATTGTCCAACATGTTACCAATGCACAGGTGCGATAAAAAAAACTTATAGCTAATGAGTTACTTCGATGTCGAATACTTAAAAAAGACCGATTTCAAAATATTATTTTTTGTTATCTATGTACTAACAGGTTTTCTATAATAATATCGATACTCAGTGTATTTAGCAAAAAATGACTTGTGGTATTTTGGGTAGTTTTTGTTTATTAAAAAAAAAAAACTAAATAAGTTGCTGTAAGTAAGAATGGTAACTTTAGGTAAAATTTACCTAAAAAGAAAGCAGTACCAGAGAAAGTCAAATCCACCCGGAGCGACGCATTTCACGCTAACGCAATTTAACTCATTGATCGCAGGTGCTCGGCGATCAGCTTTCACAGTTAAGTCCTTTGCAGGCTCAGCTTGGCGCAGGAGGCCAAATTCAGTTACTTCGGGTTACTGGTAATGGAGGAGCCGCTAGTCAACCAATCATCCTTCAGGCAACAGCAGCTGGAACTCCTCAAACTGCAACAGCAGCGGCTCAGCACCAAAACCCGGCCCCACCACAAACACAGCATCACGCAGCTGCGCAGACAATCTTTCTCCCTAATGGTCAACAGGTTAGAAAAATATCACATAATAATATCGATACATACATCTTATGGACTACCGTGATGAGAAAGCTGGCAAAACAAATGTATGTTTTTGCGACTTTTTTTAACGAAGCTGCATATTAGCGTAGTTCTAATCCTTATTCTAATTATTATTATGATAATAACTAATTCTAGCTATTATTGAATGTTTCTTGTGGCAGGTGGCTACAAAAAATCACTGTGTAATACAGGTTTGCATCAGATGTTGCATAAACCTACATAGAGGTTATCTAAGATCGATCGATGAAGACCATTTATCAAAGGACTAAACTATTAACAATGCACACTGGAAACGTTAAGTAATACACCTTGGTCTAACTATATGTTTGTGATATTGCATCAGGTCTTCCTACACCCAGGAACAACGATCCAGCAAGCACTTCACGGAGAAGAGGAAACTGCTGTTACGGTTGGACACTAAAAATTTTTTCTACCCGGATTAATCAACGATGAGGACTGGTGTGACATACGTGAGATGCTTTGACCATATGTGAAATCTTCGTTTTACATTGCACATATTCGCCCTTTATATACGGAGATATAAGTACATCGGAAAGGAAACCGTTGCTTGAAGTTACCACTGTATGTACAAAACATGTAATACAAACTAAAACTGTATATTGATCGGTTTGTCTAGGCGAGCTATGTGCATGGCTTTGTGAATAGGTTTGAAGGCCTTTGTAAAACAACTTCAAAAAACCCTAAAGGAAAACACTAATAATAATAATACCAATAATAATAACGACTAGAAGACGGATGTCGTATTTTATGTATATAGATAATACATGTGACTGCTGCGAGTGTTCACGTCTATAATTTCTGTCTTAAAGGCCAATAAACGAGTACTAATTTTGTAACTTGTTTTATTTTTAAACAGGGATCTATCACTTAAGGAAACATTGATGTCAATGTCTCACATTGTAGATCAAAAGCATACGCGAAATTGGTTGAGGTTTCGCCATATTTATTCACGTTATGAAAACTATTAACCACTAGATTACACTCAATTCGTGAACAATTTATGCATGTGTACTATATTATATTATATTTGTATCACTATGTATATGAAGCCACTTGCGTATGGTTCGAGTCTGGCGTATATGACATATTCAAATTACTTTCCGTAAAGGTGCTCGCAGTCTTGGCTACATATACCTGTCTTTCGTAGAACATTGTTATACACAGCACTTAATTCCCACTGAACTTGTTTAGGTATTCGGATTAATTGAAATGCTGCAGATTTTCACACCCGGAATTCTGATAGCATTGCTTCAGTCAGCTGACTTCCAGAATGAAACAAACCTGACTGTTTAAAGACCCATATATCATTCAGTCTTTAACAAGTAGGGATATTTCCATTGTACCCTTGTGCAGACAGTTCCCGTTCACGCTACGCAGCACATACTGTCCACGTGTGTTTTTTGGCATTGATGGTGTTTTTTGCTATCTTTAGCATCGTAGAAGCTCGTGTCCATCGTAATCCTTAGCGTCTTCGCACGTAAACCTTTTTGCGAGGCATACATGAATCTCTTACAAAAAGATTTGCATAAAAAGTGTGTTGCGCATATTTCCAGATCGTAAAACTGGCTCGTTATACCAGCTGGAGCTACTTTTGCCATCGCCAACGTCTATTTATCTTGATTGGATTTAGCATGCTGTTAGTGAGTTACCTCACTGACATCGCAGATGGCAAATACTAACTTTTCCGTGGCTTACACGGCGTGAAGGCTCAGTTGAGGTTGTTATAGGGAAATCCTATTGGCCCTGTTGTTTCCCTGGATTCCGAGTTAATCCATTCAGTTTGAGTTTTGAAGTCTACTAATTTATAGCGCTTCATAATGGCTTGGGGAAGACTAGCATTGTTACGCAAAGGATTGATTGTAGAGAGCTTCTAGAAAATCCTTGGAGTCATTAACTGTTGCTTGGTGAAAATTTTATTAGGCATAACATCGCTCAATAAATATTGACAAAATTCTGCTTTTAGCGATTTTAGATTTTTATGGAAATGGCAGTATCTCCAGCGGGTCTTTACAATATTTCTGCTCCTATAACAAACTTTCATATGCTCGCTAAAACCGTCGATCAGAACCGTTTTCGTGACTAGTGAGTTCATTAAACTTTAGATGTCACACACCATAATTCTTTTCAACAGACATAGCTGGAATATAGGCCGATATCGAGATGTATCCCAAGTTAGTAGAACAATGAACACGTTTCTCTGACCAATCGATATCGTAATTGAGCTAGCTTATTACTGCACTATGCCCGGCAGGCCAAAACGGACATTCCAGCCCAATAACTCGCAGCAAAGAGTTACTACTTCCTGCTGGTCTTTGAAGCAGCCACTCTAAAATAAATTGGCGTCAAAATTCTACTGGCATCAGAAAATGCCGTTGACTGTCAATATGACCTTTCCTCATTTTACATATCTGTAGTAGTATATCCGGGAAAAATAGAAGTAAAAAGATAGAAGTTGCATTTTTGGCTGCTAAATGTTGTTCTTTAAACGAACGAGCCTATATTGAACGTGTGGAACTTAAGTAACCCTAACAGTATACAATGCTTTATTTATTACACAAACAATCACAAAGAAAAACAAAGTTTAGATTAGCGTTTTAAGCCGAGCGCATCATGCAAAAACGTATTTTGCATTAGTTTTAATAATATTTACTTATATGTCTGATTCTCTTGTAGTTAATAAGAAAACCTCACTTGAAAGCGTACAGTTAGAAGTTTAAGTTTCTCAAGAGTAATTAATTCGGTAGCAGAGAGTATCTCCAAAAAATAAATATATATATATATTACGTACACTTTGATTATATCCGGGTTATAAGCAGCGCAATGCACATAAGTTCGTCGACGATGCTTCTTGTCTCTTGCTAATCTTGTATAAACCTTTGAAGTTTTATAGACGATATTTGAGAGGTTAGGCATTGTTTCAAGCGGCAATAGGCAAACATTTGCTAACCCTATGTAGCATCCTATAGCTGAGATTAAGGCCTAACACGTTGCACTCCGATTGGTTCTTGATTATCAATATAGTATTTTTTACGTTATTTTTAGCTCAAAATGCTTTTCTATTAATTTCTCCAAAAGTCAAGTTTACAATCCATGTAAACATTTAATTTACCACATGTTAGACTACTCAGTTACCATTATTAACATAAATTGTATTTTTTTAACTCGACCGACCCTCGCAACGCGCGGCAAGTTCATTAAGCCTTTTTTTTTTGAGGGCAAATCATATTAATTCTATTTAAGTAAGTCCACGCATACATACACGTATACATATTTGCGCGGTGTTTCCGATGCCAATATATAGTTAGGTAAGTAAGAATATTGGTAATTGATTAAATAGATAAATAACAGTTTAATATAATACTAGTAAAAATAATAGTTTAGAATGAATTAAATAGCTAATCTAACTGATCAAAGTGCAGATAAGGCGACTGCTTTTGTCCGCACTGTCTTTACAGTAAGTATTTAGAATTATAGAGAATCTAGTACGGGACGTATGTATTGATGGTTGAAGAACTACTACTGCTTTTTTTGTTGATAGCTATTTGGTGCAGATCAAATACGTTTCTGTGCTTATTTTTTAATTTCTCCAGTTATTAATAAACGTATGGCATAAATCAGTATCACGTACTATAAGTAAGAGCTTTCATAAAAATATTAAACTATTTAGTCAGTGGTGGAAAATGTTTCTGTGGACTGTATTTAGTGCAGAACTTGTTTTCTCAAGAGTTATTCGAGTATTTGGAATTTTTAAGGAATGAAAAAAAATACCGATTAATTTTATTTAACAGAAAACAGTTACATGTTGGAGGAAGACTAAATGAAACAACGACAAGCTTTTTAAGTTCAATTTTTTTTAGTTCTTTTATCAATGTTGTTATAAAAGCAAATGATATTTGCATTTTCGTACAGGTTACGAGGGCCATTTACGCGAAGATGCACACCCAGGGGGAAGCCTTTAGGCACTTCATAATTTACCATTTAAGAAGCTTGGCCCGTCACATACGCCTTTGCTTTTTGTCCTCTCTTTGATACTGGTAAGTGATAAACAAGTGTGTAAAACATAAATAAAGGGACATGATAGACCACCAAAAGTTTCTTCTTCATCTGACGAAAAAAATGTCGAAAATGAGTGCAGTAAATGCCTCGTCTCCGACACCGACCCGCGAAGTAACTTGGATTTGTTTCACCGAAACGGTGGGTCGGCGGATTAACGGATGATTCTGTCCATTTGCGCTGCAACTTACCCTTGGCAATAATCACACTTTTCATTATTAATTCAAGCACGAAGGTTACGCCGGTGTACAAAGCTGCGATTAGAGTACGTGAGGTTCTGCTCTGTAGCTGGTGGAACGTTTAGCTTACGCTTCACGGATAGCTTTTTTAATGGGGGCTTGGAATCAAAACCAAACGACTCAAAGAGAATTAAAAGATTTACGAGGGACACTCAATCATCTTGGCGTTAAAATCATGACTTGTTGGATCCAGCTCACGCCGGTAAACAAATTGTTTCTTGCAGATGAGACCTTAATAATGGTTTATGTTTTTGTAGATGGCTGTAATGATAACGTTCTTACAGTTCGCGCAGACAGTAACTTTCGACGAAATATTATTGAAAATGACACGTATATATGCAGACTGGAATGCCAATGCGCCTAAATCAAAAATTTGTGCTTATATGTATCTTTCCGCAGAGAAATCTGCTTAATTTGGAACAATGAGGCTGCTTCGCACCGCAAGGGGTGTCCAGAAGTTCAATACGGAAGTTGACCACACTGGTCTCACAGAACGTATCTTTTAAGTAAAGTGTAATTAGTTCAAAGGATGGAACGTGTATAAAGAAGAGGTTATCTGAATATGAGAATAAAACAGTAATAAAAGTTGATCGAAGCGGACAATATAAAGGAACTGATAAGCTCCTCAAGGGTGTGAGGAAATAATGTGGCAATAGTCTCAAAGCGCATAGGATGTTGTTGCCATAATAGACATATTTCAAGTCATTTTTAATATATTGGCACAAACATTGTTTTCGTTTCGATAGAGATTTATTCAAGCATCAGATGCTTTTACAGTTTTCTACTATTGTTTATTGAGGATTTTGCTTTTATAGCTTGAATTAAGTCTATCGCACCTATCTTACTGTGTCAACATCCGGTGGCTTTTCTTATGCTTGACTAAAAACCAAGAGCATTAGATATTGAAATGATGACACCTGTGCTACATAGCTAGAAGTTTTCATTCAAGAAAAGTATCTTTCTAACAATGCACTTGTTGAAAGAATGTGCTGTAAACGTTTGCATAAGACTGTCTGAAATAAATGTTTATTGGTAATCTGAAGGTATATTCACTGATGAAATAAGACTTTTGTCTGTTGTTACTATTTTCGATAGTTCGATCTAACCTAGATTTTGCACTATGGAAAGCAAGTCTGAAATCTATTCTATTCGTGATTAACCAAAAAACAATAGCAATTAGAAAATTCACCGTTTTATGCATCTTATAGCAGTTATTCCGAAAGAAGGATATTATTTCCCGGCCTATATTTGCATAACCAGTCCTTAACGAATTATAGAAGGTATCGAGATCGTGAAAAAATAGGCAAACCTAGATACGCATCGAGGCTCATAAAAATTCGGAAGCGACTGACCATTTTTTCAATTTCAAATTTTACAAAAATTATCACAGCGTAGTTGATCAATATGTGTGTGATAGCCAGAAAATAAATTTGAAGTTCTTCCATTTACCACTTTTATTCTGAGAACTATATCGCATATATTATTCATTACACGTCGACCGCGCTTATCAGGCGGGACATCCTGATGTCGCATTAGGCGTCTCGTAACGTCGATTTGGTTTATGACCCCGGCACTGTAGACAAAGAGAGATAAATTGAGTTAGCGGTTGCTTTTATGATTGTCATACCGTTCTATAAACCTGTTGTAAAAACCTAGATAGGTCCAGCAAAACCGACCCGGTTAAACCTTTTTTCTAGAAGGATTATAGCCGAGAAATGTATAATAAATAGGAAAATATCGGTAATGAGTGCAATAATCGTGTTGTAACTCTAACACTCATTCTCAGAAGTAGCTTCGTTTTACCGAAGTGGTAGGCGGCCAGATTGACGGGCGAAACTGCGCTGCCGCGTATTTTTGGATGGCAATTATCACACTGATGTACATAGCTCTAAACTCGAGGCAAACTTCTTGGGCCGAAAAATGTCATCCCTAAATTGGCGCACGGTTCCTTTTTACGCGTGAGCAACAGCCTAAAGGTGCCAAGCTTTTAGCTGACTGTGAAAGTTCTACACAGAAACCTTCCGGCGCATAGTTCTAGTGGGGGCAAGTTATTGATGCTATACCTAAAGCGCAGCAATTTAGAGGATATTCAAAAAAAAAAACAATTTGGCTGAAAATGCCTTCTTTGAAAGCGATTTATAATGATAATAATAAATAATAATAATAAATGACGAACTTCCTAATCTATTCACAACACGGTTATTGTTGGTCCCTTAGGGGACTGATCTATTGATGGCGTCCCATAAAAATATTGCAATTGCTCCATATAAATGGTTGGTCTTCGGGTGATACAGATACTGAAGTAGCCCGCCTGGTATCATAAGCAGTTTTACATTAGTCGCGTGTTCCAGTTTGAACATTTGTGAAGAATATTTTTATCGAAATCTTTCCCGCAATATGAAAAAATAGTGAGCATTCATGTGCAAGTCACTAATTTTTTGACGTGCAGTTCTATTGAAGTGGGGGAAGGAAAAAACAACCTGAAACTAGTTAAAGATGCAGACGTGAAGGATGCAAATAATATGAATTTGCACGCGAA